GAACACGCGCGGCGGCGCCGGGCGTCACGTGTGAACCCACCCACCCACCCACCCTCAGGCGGCCAATGCTTACCTTAATGATGCTGCTCCTGCGAGGGGTCGCCCTGGCCGCTTCGAGGAGGATCGCTTCGGGGTCGGCGGCGGCGGCGGCCAGAGACACCCCGCTCCTGCGCTCCCTCCTCCGGGGCGCCTCGGGCTCCGGGAAAGGCTCCGAGTCGCCTTCGCCCGCCGCGGGCGCCGGGGTTGCTTCTGCCATCGCGAAGCGGAGCCGCGTCAACTTCGAGGGGCGCCAGGCTGAATTAAAAAAAAACAAAACCCTTTTCTCCTCTTCCCCCTTCCTAAAGCGCCGCTGAGGCAAGTTTCCGCGAAGGAGACGCCGCGCTCGCCTGCTGCATTTTCTGTGGGAATATGAGGAGAAAAGCCGCCCCGCTCGCTCGCTCGCTCGCTCGGGCTCAGGCGCCCCTCGGCAGCCGCCGGGGCTCCGTCGCAAGCGGGGAAGGGCAGGGCGGGGAGGCGCTAAACTTGGGACAATGAGGGAGTTTTGCAGCTGAGGAGAACCGTGAGGCGAGGCGAGAGGCGCACTCCGCCTCCTTCTCTTGCTGCTGCGCGCGCTCTTCGTCCTCTTTCTCGCTTTCCCTCACACCCATTCACTCGCGCGGGGGGCGCCGGTCACGGCCAGGAGGCGCCCCCTATTTCCCGCCCCCTCAGAAGCCACATTTGAGCGCGCACATCTCCGGGCTCCCCGCCGCCGCCGCCAGCCCGCCAACCGGCAGGAAGTGCCGCCGGTTTCAACTCCCCTCACACACACTCGCGCTTCTCTTTCTTTTCTGTTGTGACAGGGCCGGGGCTGGTGTGTTTTGACAGGCGGAGGCTGACGGGCAGCATCCCCGACCACTCCGCCGAGGGGAAGCGCTCCGCTCGGCCAATCGCCGCGCCGAGGGGGCGGGGCCGGGGAGGCCCAGAGCGAGCGGAACGCGCTCCCTTCTGGAGATCGCTAGGTTTCCCGAGGGGAGCAGAAGAGCCAAGCCGGAGGGGTTTCGACGGGGAGGGCATTAATTAGCCTTTGGCTAATGAAGCGGCCTGTGACCTTTAAAGTTGTGTGTGTGACGGGGGGTTGTTTTTGTTTGTTGTGTTTTTATATTGTAAACTGCCCTGTGATCCTCGCAGGAAGGGCGGTATAGAAATTTTAATAATAATAATAATAATAATAATTATTCCCCATGCAGGAAACCCACAACTACAGCCCAGTTTTATGTCTCTTTTCTCAAAAAGTAACCACCTTTTTAATCATTCAGGTCCACTGTTTGCAGCCCTGTCATAAGAGATCTGGAGGCCAAGATCACTAAGGAGTCTAACAGCCCATAATGATTTCAAATATAATAACAGCATAAAAACTCAAGTCGGCGAAAGTTAAAAAGGAACGCACGTTTTAAAGGGTTTTGAAATTAGAAAGGTAACATTTCCTGGCACCAAAACAGCATCAAAAAAGGTCCGCTTGGAAAAAGGCGCTCTGGAAAGGGCGTTCCACAGCCAGGGAGCCACCACTGAAAAGATCCTGTATCCTGTGGCCACTTTACTATAGGTTCCGCCTTCAGTATTGTAAAACATACCATACCAAATGCATTTTCAGTGATGCTGGTTACTGCCCAAACATAACTTAGTTAACGAAAGAGGAAGAGTATGATCCGAAATGAGTCTTATTTCTTTTTCACTTCACAGTTAGATGCAGTTTTGTATAAAGTACATATTTTATCCCCAGAATCCACACAGTGTTCAAGGTTTCTTTCTATTTAAATAAATAAAACACTCAGCGCTGTAAAATTACTGCAGATACGATGCATGAACATGAAAGGGGATAAAATGTTGGATATTTCTGGAGGTACTGGGGAAATTGCTATCATAAATAATTAAGGGCATGTCATATCTTACCTTTAGCCAATTTACTGGTGGACATTTGTTCATGCAGTCCGTAAACAAACACCCAGGAAAAAGTGGAATTAGTTAGGTTAGCCTAAACTAGCTGTCAGGCTTTGTAGCTGGTGAAGTACCAGGAAATGATAGGATCTTTAGGCAGATGCAGTATTCATCTCCTCACTTACAAGGATTCCTATGGGATGAAAGATGTAACTGTTCCCCCACCACCACCATCTAGAACTGCCGTATTATCCCAAGGTGACTTGGGAAGAGCTGTTGCTTTCTTCTGATTGTGTTTCCTATGTGCACTGGATAGCTCAGTTGGTTAGAGTGTGGTGGTGATAACGCCAAGGTTGCAGGTTCAATCCCCATATGGGACAGCTATATATTCTTAAATTGCAGGGGGTTGTACTTCATGATCCTCAGGGTCCCTTCTCAGTTCTATGATTCTACTTTTATGAGAGCTAAGGGATCTCTTTCTCTATTTCCATTTCTGTGGCCAGAATTGGATTAGTAAAGGGACCCCTGACCATTAGGTTCCAGTCGTGACCAACTCTGGGGTTGCGGTGCTCATCTCGCTTTACTGGCCAAGGGAGCCAGCGTACAGCTTCCGAATCATGTGGCCAGCGTGACTAAGCCGCTTCTGGCGAACCAGAGCAGCGCACAGAAACGCCATTTACCTTCCCGCCGGAGTGGTACCTATTTATCTACTTGCACTTTGATGTGATTTTGAACTGCTAGGTTGGCAGGAGCTGGGACCGAGCAACGGGAGCTCACCCTGTCACGGGGATTCGAACCGCCAACCTTCTGATCAGCAAGCCCTAGGCTCTGTGGCTTAGACCACAGCGCCACTCACGTCCAATTGTATTAGTAGCCCGGTCCAAATATCTTGACTCGCAACAAGAGGCTGCATGGAAGGATCAGATCAGTGGTACTTGGGACTTACGTACATAAATCACCCATGTTCAGAAAGTTTCAGAATATTGTTTCATTTATTTTATTTTAGATATCTTTGCCAACGTTTAAAGCAAAGCCCTCACAAGGTGGCTGACATAAAAAGAATAAAACAATCCTATGCAGCCATTTTAAAAAGTACAAATTTCTGTCCCAGCTTCTGCCAACCTAGCATTTCGCAATACACCTGTGCAAGTAGATAAATAGGTACTGCTGCGGCGGGAAGGTAAACGGCGTTTGAGTGCGCTCTGGCTTCCGTCACGGTGTCCTGTTGCGCCAGAAGCAGTCTAGTCATGCTGGCCACATGACCTGGAAAGCTGTCTGCAGACAAACAGTGGCTCCCTTGGCCTGAAGCGAGATGAGCATCGCACCCCATAATCGCCTTTGACTGGACTTAACCATCCAGGGGTCCTTTACCTTTACTTAACCTTACATTACATGCAGGGCTTTTTTCTAGGAGTACTAAAGGGTATGCAGTACTGGCACCTTGTTATTCTAAAAGAAATGCACTGCTTACATGATACTGCACGGTGGTTGGTGTGTCAAGAGAAAAAATACTTTAGCACATTACCCTTTCTCGTGTTCTGTCACAATGTGAAAAACCATGTGCTGATGTTGATGGACTTCGGAGAGCATGCCCAGAACCTTCACTCTTTGGTCCTTTGCAGCCTTGAAGGGCGGTGTACTTTTGAAAGAGTTTACCGTATTTTTTGCTCTATAAGACTCACTTTTCCCTCCTAAAAAGTAAGGGGAAATGTGTGTGCGTCTTATGGAGCGAATGCAGGCTGCGCAGATATCACAGAAGCCAGAACAGCAAGAAAGATTGCTGCTTTCACTGCGCAGCGATCCCTCTTGCTGTTCTGGCTTCTGAGATTCAGAATATTTTTTTTCTTGTTTTCCTCCTCCAAAAACTAGGTGCGTCTTGTGGTCTGGTGCGTCTTATAGAGCGAAAAATACGGTAACTGCTTTGAAAAATAGCGCTGAGATCAGGCAAGAGGAAACTTTTCAGAAACAAGATCGCCCTCTAGCTTTTATCTGTAGAACATTCGCTCAGCAAAGGTTAGCGTTGCTCTCAAGGAGCAGCCAGATCCTGGAGGCTTCCCTTTGTTGGGCCTGCCAAATCAGACTGTTCTTCACCATAGAATGACCCTTGGAATCAAATCAGTTTAAATGCTTTGAATTTTGGTTGATGTCAAGGGCTATGAGCTGAACTCAGCATGCGCCAGAAATAATGACACACGCCAGGGTTACATATGCTTCAGGTTACATATGCTTCAGGTTACAGACTCCGCTAACCCAGAAATATTACCTCGGGTTAAGAACTTTGCTTCAGGATGAGAACAGAAATCATACTGTGGCGGCGCGGCGGCAGCAGGAGGCCCCATTAGCTAAAGTGGTGCTTCAGGTTAAGAACAGTTTCAGGTTAAGAACGGACCTCCGGAATGAATTAAGTTCTTAATCCGAGGTACCACTGTACAATCATACATGTCCAAAGTCTGTTTTGGGGGCCTAATCCGGCCCACCATTCGATTTAATCCTGCCCCCGTGGCAGCTCAACAACTTTGGGGTAAAATTGTAAAAAAAAAAGCTCAGCAACTTCAATCCCGTGCTCTCATGCAATTTTGCAGAGAAACCCCCCCCCCAAGCCATGATATGGCATGTTACCCCAAAACACACATTTATTGGTGCCGTCCGTGCCCAAGAAAAGCACTTTTTTGGAGGGGAAATGTGATGCGAAATCACGCAAGATCATGGCAACCAAAATGGCTGCTGTGATAAAAAACGGGAAGACGATATCCTGGATTTTGGCTTCAAGATGTTGGAGAGAATGCACAAGTGTTGAGGTGTAACATCCACTGAGCTTGAGCATAGATCAGGAAACATAGACATTTGTTTAATTAGTGAACCCAACAACTAAAACAAATTAAATGGAAATCATTAAAGGCTGCATGCTTTTGACTTAATTTTCTGACTTGACGCAAACAATGGCAGAAATTAAAACAAAACCAGCGTCAAAAAGATTTAAAATATCCAGTGACCTTGAAACACCTGGAGAAATCAAAAGGTCTTCAGGTGGTGAAGACAAGAAAGTTGGTGTCAACAGAGCCTTCCGAGAGGAGCATTCAATAACCAGGGCACCCCGGGAGAAAAGGCAAGCCTTTCTCAAACTCACCTTATTTCTGAATTTAGGAATTTGGAGAAAGGCCTCTGACGATTACCTTAATAATTGGGTGGCTCCAAAAGGGAGGAAATACTCCTTCAGGTATCCAAGACTTGAGCCCTTTAAAACTCCTGTTTTTAAATGTGCTAGGAAACTGACTGGGCGCTGGTGTGTTACAGAATTTCTAAACTGGTGAGATGTGTTCCCCGATTCCAGTCCTGGTTAGCAATCCAGCTGCCGTATTTTGTATTAACTGAAGTTACTGATGTTACTGGATGCAACAATAAAGAAGTCCAATAACGCGACGTCAGAGCATGGCAGGATAACCGTGGCAAGGTTACGTATATCTGTCCAGGACAGTTTGCAGACAGCACACCAGCTATAACTGGTAAACTTTGTGTCCCTGAGGGCTTCTGATTATCGGATCAGCTCCAAGCTGCAAACATGATCCTAGGGGAAGTGCAACCACGTAGAAATAAGGTAAAAATCTACTGCTTCTTTTTAATTTCCTTCTGGAAATCTTTTTTTTTTTTAAACAACAACAACCACCTGTATAATTAGTAATAACATTGCTAGTAAAGTAATGTTTGGCAAAAGATAGATGATAGATAGATAGATAGAGATGTTGATGTTTCAAACAGTTTTGGGAGGAATGTTCTATTTCTTAGAAAAGTGTAGGGCTTTTTTTCAGCTGGAGCTCACCGGAGCTCTGCACCTCTCAGGTGGGCGCCATTGCCATTATAAGAGAAGAAGGGAGAAGTTCATGGTCAGTTCTGACACCTCTTTTTCTAGAAAGATAACATGGGAAAAGTGGATATGCTTTTGCAATTCTGGAATCAAACAAGTATTTGTCGCAATCTAAGCTTAGAGGTGTAAGAAATTATATTTAAAAAATACACAAAATGGGCACCCGTGCTTAATCACATTTTCTTTTTAATGTGAGTCTTATATGAATGGTCCACTGAATATGTTTAAGCCTTAATCAATTGCTTGCTAATTGATGGAATGTTTAATGCATGGCATATTTAATGACAACCTATTTCGTGTATTGTGTATATACACTTTTTCCTGTTTGTATCGTTTGTGATATAGCATAGCTTAGTGATAGCACCGTTTACAAATGAATATGCTGTGTCCCATCTTTTTGATATATTGGTATATTCATTTCACTCAGAGGCAGCTTACGCTAAAATCCCTCAAGAAATGCAATGAGGCACAAAAATATGAAGTCTGGATCAGAATGCACAGGTCCATTAAATTCACTTATGGGTGGGTTTTTTTCAATTTTATGAAGAAGTATTATGGACTTGTAATGTCAGCTGGTACAATGGAATCTATTTTTAATCTCAGTCTGCGACATAAACCTTAATTTTATACATATAAAATCATAGACTCATAGAATTGTAAAGTTGGAAGGAACTGTGAGGATTATCTAATCCAACCTCGTGGAATGTTATATGTCAGTCTTTCCTCTTTCTCTGTATTTCTTTCTCCTCCTTTCACGGACCTTTCTCGTCTTAAAAATATCACTTTTTAAAGGGGGAAGGCTCAGCTTACTTGTGGGTAAGCTGAAGACCACTTATCTGTACATCAGAAGATACAGTGGTACCTCGGGTTACATATGCTTCAGGTTACATACGCTTCAGGTTACAGATTCTGCTAACCCAGGAATAGTACCTCGGGTTAAGAACTTTGCTTCAGGATGAGAACAGAAATCATGCAGCGGCGGCGCAGCAGCAGCAGGAGGCCCCATTAGCTAAAGTGGTGCTTCAGGTTAAGAACAGTTTCAGGTTAAGAACGGACCTCCGGAACGAATTAAGTACTTAACCCGAGGTACCACTGTAATGTTGTTTGATAGTGTAGCAGTAATAAACCAAACTGGGGCAGCATTTCATGGAAGTGAACGGGGACGAAATGTGAAAATGGACTGCCATTTTACAATGGTACCCACAATGACTACAAACTCACTTCCCTAAGAGTTTATTCAGTGTGTGTTATTGTGCCAATATAATATTATTTTTTCCAATGTGCACCATTATTATTTTTCAACATGAAAATCCATCAGCCATTTTGCTTCCCATTCACCTAGCTAGCTCTCTGGCATCCGTTTGTTCCTATTCACAGCCAGCTTAGACTTAAGTGACCTAAAGCAGTTGGTGTCGTAATTTTGCCGTTTCGCTCCCCCACTTAGCCTCTAGACAATTCATTAACCTTTTTATTAAAAGGTAATAATGTAGATCTGGAGGCGGACAACCTTCATCTACCCCTGGTATTGTGAAAACTGACAATTCATTCTTATCTCTCCTCGAAGCAATTACTGAACAGTAATTACCAATACAACAGAATCGGTAATTTGTATCTTGTCATCAGAGCATCACAAAAGTTTATAACAGTGTGAAAGTAACACAAGGTGACGTCAGCAGAAGTTAACTCGCACTCTAATAATAATAATAATAATAATAATAATAATAATAAATTTTTATTTATACCCCGCCCTCCCCGGCCAGAGCTGGGCTCAGGGCGGCTAACACCAATAAAATCACAGTAAAAACATAATGGGAGGGGGAAAGAAAAGGAACCCCCCCCCAAAAAAACAATTTAAAATACAGGTTAAAATGCAGCCTCATTTTAAAAGTAGCCTTTAAAATAAGCTGCAACACACACTATCTCAGAATGCTACATTTCACTGGCAGATTGTAACATGCCCCTCTTAAAAACCTCTTTTAGCAAGTAAGAAAATGAAATATTAAAATAAAATGGGATGTGGAATAAAATGAATTTATGCAAATCCGAATAAAATCTAAATGAATATAAGGATAAAACAAACTGAAATTTCTGATTCTTCTCTGACAAGACACAGCATTCTCTCTTAAGAACTGTCTCCTCTTATCAGTTACTGCAAATAAGTCATTGTCCCAGGATAAAAACATTATCGAATTTGTCAGATGCTTTTTCCTGAAGGATGGGGCCTCACTCTTCACCCACATTAGGAAAATCCCTACTGAATTACAACAGGACATTGCCTATTATTCCATAGCTTTGTAGGAGATGTGAGGGTTAGCCCATAAGGTTAGGTTAGCAGTGAACAGTGAGATGAGATGGGGACACTTACCACACACACACACACACACACACACACACACACACACACACGTCCATAGCTATCAACGTTTCCCATTTTTTAAGGGAAATTCCCTTATTACAAATAGGATTCCTTGCAAGAAAAGGGAAAAGTTGACAGCTATGCACCCGTCTCCCATGTCACTGCTGCACACTGGAATGGAAAGGGGTGAGGCAGCAACGAGTTTGCCATGTTGCAAACTCTCCAGGAGAGCTAATTGGGCACGCCTACCAGTGTATTTGGGACACGGGTGGCGCTGTGGGTTAATCCACAGAGCCTAGGACTTGCCGATCAGACGGTTGGCGGTTGCTCGGTCCCTGCTCCTGCCAACCTAGCAGTTCGAAAGCACGTCAAAGTACAAGTAGACAAATAGGTAACGCTCCAGCGGGAAGGTAAACGGCGTTTCCGTGCGCTGCTCTGGTTCGCCAGAAGCAGCTTAGTCATACTGGCCACAAGACCCAGAAGCTCCCTCGGCCAGTAAAGTGAGATGAGCACCGCAACCCCAGAGTCGGTCACGACCGGACCTAACGGTCAGGGGTCCCTTTACCTTTAGCTTTACCAGTGTGTTTGCACCGTGCAGATCTGACCACCGCTGTGACCCTCTGCATCTATGAAGCAGCCTCACAACCCTACCCTGCTGTCTGCTATTGCATAAGGCTTTTTTTGAAATCCAAGTATTGCTAAATCCATGTGACATCTCTGAAACACAGCAGCATTTGGCATGTGTATATGGGCCTCAGCACAAGTCCATACCGATGGCCAAAGTCATACATGTGACATCAGGGAGGGTCGTTTGCTGTTGCACAACTGTGCTCGCAGCAATGCTGTCTTAAAACAATTTGCAACGTTTACCTGTCAAGGGGTGTTTCACACACTAATCAAAAGGCACTATTTGCTGCTGATAGAAGCCTGCCGATATGAATCTAATAAAATTAGCATTTGTTATATTCTGTGCTTTTTTCCGAGGGTACTCAAAAGCATGCAGTACCAGCATACTTTTGTCCTAGAAGAAAAGCACTAGTTATATTCACACTGATCACTGGTCAGATTTTCTCCCTTCTACAGCCGAAAAGGAACAAATTGCCCTTCCTCTTCATTCTGCAGCACCAGACAAACATGTTGTCCTTGTAGATATGTTGTTCCTAACACAATCAGTGTCTGACGTGTATTAAATTCAAAACTCAGGAAGGCAACCTTGAGTTTCTTTCTCCCTTTGCTTTGTTTGGGCTACAGCTTGCAGGATATACATTTTAAAATAAAGATACCTCGCAAAGAAGCAGAAAACAGAGAAGGACAAGGTCTCATGACACTGTCTGCAATATATTGGTGGTGGATTAGACACTAGTACAGCATGATAGGGAACATGCCCCCCCCCCGGCAGCATTGTTGGACTACAGTTCCCATAATCCCTGGCCAATAGCCTTGCTGGTTGAGGCATATAGAAGTTGGAGTCCTACAACCTCTGGCGGACCACAGGTTATTCACTATGTAGCCAAGCATTCAACAGTGGCCAACGAGATGCCTCTGGAAAGTTCACAAGAAATTGAATTATATTGAAATTGAAATACTTTATTGTCACTTGTACGACTTGTATACAGCGAGATTACACGAGCATCCCCCACTCAGCTCTCTGAGTCTTAATTCCCCTCGTTTACTGACGCACACCCACCAAACCCGAAAGCCAGTTGCCCTGTTGTTATCTTTTCATTCAGCAGCCTAACAGCCCACGGATAGAAGCTGTTCTTTACCCTGTTGGTGCGACTAATCATGCTTCTATATCTTCTGCCTGAGGGCAGGAGATCAAGAAAGTGCCAGCCAGGGTGTGAATCATCCCTGAGAATTTTCCTCACTCTCCTGAGGCAACGTTCTTCTGCTATTTCATCCAGTGGATTCACGGGACAGCCCATAATATCTTGTGCTGTATTCACCACCCTCTGTAGGCACTTTCTATCAGCTGATGTCAAACCAGCGTACCACACCGTGATGCAGTATGAAAGGACACTTTCTATTGTTGACCAGTAGAAGGAGATCATCAAATGTTGATTGACATTGTTCTCCCGCAATACTCTGAGGAGATGGAGTCTCTGTTGGGCTTTCTTAACCACCTGGGTTATATTTATCTTCACTGAGATAAATTCCTAGGAAATTAAAGGAAGAGACTCTCTCCACACAGCCCTCCCTGATGCACAGCAGGGCTAGTTCTCTCTTCCTCCAAAAGTCCAACACCATCTCCTTTGTCTTGCTGATATTAAGGTGCAAGTTGTTCCCTAGGCACCATGTAGAAGAAGAACATGATGTAACACTCTCCTCTATTGTTCAGCCCCATTTTTGAATAATGGAGGCTCTATTTGTCTACATATCCCGAAACATTTCTCGGATGAAAATAGGGACATCCTATTTCATAATAATAATAATTTTATTATTTATACCCTGCCTATTTGACTGGGTTGCTCCAGCCACTCTGGGCGGCTTCCAACACATATAAAAACATAACAAAACATTAAACATTTTAACACTTCCCTATAGAATGCTGCCTTCAGGTGCCTTCTAAAGGTTATCTCCTTAACTCGGGAGTCACATAACTCATAAACCTCAAACATATATCTGATGAAAATAGGGACGTCCTACCATACCCTCCAACACTTCTCTGATGAAAATAGAGATGTCCTAAGGAAAAGTGGGACATTCCAGGATCAAATCAGAAACTGGGACGGCTTTTGTAAATCCGGGACTGTCCCTGGAAAATAGGGACACTTGGAGGGTTTGCTAATATCCAGTGATAGACCTGTCACGGCTAAAATGGCCGCTGTTTCTTTAATGCGAATAAAGCTGGGTCAGCATGAGTCAGCGGCCTGCACTGGGTTGTATATATAGAGAGAGAAATGTTAGTTTGTTTGCTGAGGCTGGTGTTTGGGTTGGTTGGTTGGTTGGTTGGTTAGTGCTGGTGTGTATAGTTATTCAGTCGTGTTTTGCACAAAGATTTTTAAGAATAAAACTCTGCAAGGGTATTCTCGTGGACTCTTTTTGTGCCGACAAGGGTCCGAGGACCAGGCTGAGGAGACAAAGGGAGGTCAGAACCTTTTCCTCCTTTTTTGCTTTTTACAAACCTGTATTCCATTAATCTGTATAATCCGTATTTAATCACCCTCTGAAGATGGTTATTCAAATAGGACCGGAACGGCTGCAAAACAGTGCTACCCACACCAACTGAGACATCTGCTCCAGAAGAATACCATGGTTCATGGTATGAAAAAGTGCTGAAGGATCAAGGAGGATTAACAGGGACACATTTTCCCTTTCTCTCTCCTGATAAAGGTGTAGGGTGACAAAGACAGTTTCCATTGCCTGAACTTTGCTTTAAATTGATCTAGAAAGTCAGTTTTATCCAAGAGAGCTTCAGTCTGGACCACTACACTATTTTCCTTTGGGTGTCTCCTGAAAACTGTGGGTGGGATTCACCTAACATGCCCCATCTGTGGCAGCCCTGTGCAATGACTTCCACTTGCACAAAGGCCTTTCCCACTTCTTCCCCCCAAGTCGCTGAAATTGACTCGGAGGGGTCAGGAGAAGCCCCAGAACAGCACATGAGGGGAGGAGACTGGGGATTGTTCCATCTGGCAAACTGAAATGCAACATTCATCATAGCTCTACATTGAATTCCACCGTATTTTATTTAGACAGGCCTTTAAGATGAGAATTTATTTTACCAACCAGTATTTTATTTATTGGTCGTGCTTTCACTGATCTTATTGCGATGCTGTGTTCTAATACGTTCTGCCTTGCTAATTTATTTATTTTTATTCCAGTGCATTTTATAAATATGTAAGTAAACAAATAAACGTAAAATGCTTTTTAGGTGCCCTTCCTCAGAGAAGTGTACAAAAATACAGAAACAATTTGCACAGCAGATAAATATGTTAATGACAAACAACAAAACCAAAAGTAGTCCTAAACCATAAAACTAAAACATGGGGTGGAAAGCAGTTTTGACTAACATTCTATCTAAAGCTCTGGGCAATAACTACCAGTAAAAGGAGCAAAGAGGAAGCATGAAAGAGAGTGGCAAATTATGTCCGAAATGAGAATGCAAGAAGAAATGATAGAATAATGTCAGTATTTTTCAAATGATTATGCTAGTCTCTGCCTCTGGTTGCCACCATTTTGTTAACACGCGCTGGCCTAGGACCATCGTTTTTGGCTGTCTTAAGTAGGCTCTGCATGTAGCAAGACTGAGAACCTGTGTGTTATGTACTGAAGTTCTCACCCTGGGCCAGCAGGGGGATACTGTAGTTAGTTTTCACTAAGGTCTGCATATGCAAATAAGGGATTGAAAGTGATGTTCAGTGATTGGATAGTTACAGAAAGTGTTACAGTTGCGTTGTAGTGGAGCTCTATATAAGCAGGCTGGCTGAACCCTTCAGTTCAGTTCAGTTCTGGCCTGTGAATAAACAAGAGCTGTTTGAAGAATCGCTGTGTCGTCTGATATGTTCACCCACAACTTAACACTGCGTCCATCCAAAAATGTGATGTTGTACCGTCACACATTTTCTGAATGTACATATGGCAATGCAGAGGTGGTCAGTGTGGTGGCCTCAGATGTTTTAGACTGCAACTCCCAGCATCCCTGGCCACTGGAGCAGATGATTGTACTCCACAAAATCTGGAGGGAACATTAGCCACCCCTGAGATATACAACAGGAAATTGGTTTCTTTTTTAATCCACTTGTCTGCTTTTGCCACCTTGCTTGAATGCCGTCCACTTTTCTTAACCCCTTATGCTATTCTGTTCTGCTATTCTACTAGTATGGTGGCATCTCAGACTGCAGTCCTATGCATACTTACCTGTGCATCTCAGTGTTTGCTTCACTGAACTACAACTCAAGCCCTCTGGAAGAATTTGGTTCCTATTGCTGTGCTTGTATAATCAATCCGGTTTGGAGCAAGTAGAAAACTGTTAAGATTCTTCCACCTAACTAATACTTCAGTCTTCTACGCACTTACCTGAGAGTAGGTGGAGTTTACACGTACAAACTTGGGCTGCATATTGCTGTTCATGGTGCTGCCAGAAGATACATGTTTGGCAGTCAACTTTACCTTCTTCGCTTCTTACTTCTAATGCATTTGTTCTCATTTTCTGCACTCCTTTTGTGTAAGAATGATGCATCTTTTCTCTTCCATCTTTTCTCTTTTGATGATTTCTGACTTTAGTGACATTTCTCTCACTCCCAGTCCTTCCTGCCCAGTTTTTAATTATTCTGATTTCATTTTCTCACTTTTATGGAAACCTTAGGTGTTTATTTCAATTACATTTAACAACTGGTACTAGGACTTGTGCATCGGTTTGTGACTTCGTTTTTCCTAGAAGGCAAATTTTGGGGATGCGGGTGGTGCTGTGGTCTAAACCACTGAGCCTTTTGGGCTTGCCAATCAGAAGGTTGGCGGTTCAAATCCCAGCAACGGGGTGAGCTCTGGTTGCTCTGTCCCAGCTCCTGCCAACCGAGCAGTTCGAAAGCACACCAATGCAAGTAGATAAACAGGTACCGCTGCAGCGGGAAGGTAAACAGCGTTTCTGTGCACTCTGATTTCCGTCACGGTGTCTCGTTGCGCCAGAAGTGGTTTAGTCATGCTGGCCACATGACCCAGAAAGCTGTCTGTGGACAAACGCCAGCTCCCTCGGCCTGAAAGCGAGATGAGCGCAGCAACCCCATAGTCGCCTTTGTCTGGACTTAACTGCCCAGGGGTCCTTTTTTTTACAGGGCACAGTGAGAGAAATGTCAGCCACAACACAGTGGCATTTTACATATTGTGTTACATGTTCATGATCCAGTTTATCATGAAAACTCTTGCATCACTCGTCTCTACTACCATTCCTGTTGAAGCCTGGCTGTCAACCAGCCTGGAATCAGGTGTGTGCGTGTGTGATTGTTGGCAAAACGATACCCCGAAAGGGGGAGGAGGAATGCAAGTGTCAGAAAGCAAACAGCACGCAGGAAGGGATCTGCAGCCAACGGCTAGATGCTGCCACCTTCTGCTGCTCTGGGCTTAGAAATAAGATATTACCCCTGCTTGGTCAGGCCAAGGTGTAATAATTCTCACTGCGCAGAGGTGAGTAACCCCCCCGACTCCACACACTTTGTGGTTTGTGTGTGCAGGAGGATCTATGTAACTCTTGAGAGCTGAGCGTGCGTATTTCAGGACAGCAAGTTTCTCGGAGTGAGTGACAGCAGCAACAGGACAAGGGGAGGTGGCAGAGGTGAGCAGAGAGTCTTCTTTCCCAAGCATGGCAAATAAACGCTGGTCTCTTCTAAGCAGCACTAGGGGCGGAGGCTAAAACTACAGATAAGCAATGCAAGGATAATACGGAACGGTATGGGCATGAGGGAACCGGTGGTGATGATTTTTGGGACGGGGAGGTGGGACTACGAGGTGCAATGGACTGAAGGGGCAGGGTAGGTTTTCAAGGAGGGGACAGAGTTATGTAATCCTGGGGTGCAGGCTGAGATGTTATAGAAAGTGGCAAAAGGAAGGACCGACAGGCAACAAATGAAGGGGAATAATTAATGTGAACTGTTTAAACTGCACAATGCAATATGAAAAGATGGAATTGTATACTCTTTTGGCAGCCGAGATGTTGAGCTATCTTCCTCCTCAATATTCTCCTGAAAGACTGAAAAATGCTTGGTCTTGCAACCTTAAGATCTCTCCCTATAGGCTAGTCCATAATGTGCGAACACATTCAAATGAATTCTGTAGCTGTAATAGGTGAGGAGGACCAATGTCAGAGCTTTGTGACTGCATGTAAGCCGATTTGTTAGGATGTGTTAGTTGGACCAACGATTATATAATGCTGGTGTGTAACGATTAACATACATAATTGCTGTCTAGCAATACAAGGCCGAAAGAAGAATGTGGGAAATAGGTTCAGCTACAAGATACCCATAGATGTCAGTTTATCAACAGGCCAGCCTTTTACTGGTCTGTATATAATTTGTTCTTCAAGCCATTTCATAGAAGGGAAGAATATAAAATCAGAAAAAACCCATTTGTGTCTATGTTTTCATTGTTAGCGCTCACATCTGTTTCCAAGAGTACAGGCTGGCTTGTCTCAGAATGTTGTGAAGTACCTAAAGCTCATGCTATTAAAAAAAACAAACCCAGACTTCCTTCCTTGACCTTTTTGCCACTACCAACTTGCATAGCTATAACCCTAATTTTTTTACTCAGATTAATTTACGGCTGAAAGCATTAAGGGTGAGAGCACAGTGGACACACTTGGAGACACTTGTCCTTAAGGTGCCAGGATTGCTGAAGTCAGGAGCTGAAAATCCTGTATATAAATTATGGTAGCATTTGTGTGGAGGCCATTTTTGGGAGAAAGTATGGGCTGCCGAGTGGCAACTAACACAAAATAGTCTTACGGGAGAGATGTGTAGAGATGTATACGATATTAATCCAGAAAGCGGCAGCTAGACTGGTGACTGGGAGTGGCTGCTGGGACCATATAACACCGGTCCTGAGAGATCTGCATTGGCTCCCAGTACGTTTCCGAGCACAATTCAAAGTGTTGGTGCCGACCTTTAAAGCCCTAAACGGCCTCGGTCCAGTATACCTGAAGGAGTGTCTCCACCTCCATTGTTCTGCCCGGACACTGAGATCCAGCGCCAAGAGCCTTCTGGCGGTTCCCTCACTGCGAGAAGCCAAGTTACAGGGAACCAGGCAGAGGGCCTTCTTGGTAGTGGCGCCCTCCCTGTGGAACACCCTCCTACCAGATGTCAAAGAAATAAACTATCTTACTTTTAGAAGACATCTGAAGGCAGTCCTATTTAGGGAAGTTTTCAATGTTTAATGCTGTATTGTTTTTAATATTTGATTGGGAGCTGCCCAGAGTGGCTGGGGAAACTCAGCCAGATGGGCGGGGTATAAATATATTATTATTATTATTATTATTATTATTATTATTATTATTATTATACAATACGGCAGCAAGTATAGGGAAGCCTTTTAACATGTAATGTTTTACGTGTTATGTTTTTATATACGTTGGAAGCCGCCCGGAGTGGCAGGGGCAATCCTGTCAGATGGGTGGGGTACAATTATTATTATTAGCGTTAAAAGTGCTGTTCCAATGCGCATATACTTGAGGGAAAAGCTGGATGCTGCTGCGTGCGTTAGGCCTAAACCAGCCAGGAAAATAGCGATAGCATTTCTGATACAGCCATATGGATGTGCTTGTGAATAACCTGAAACTAACAAGACTTGTGCTTTCATATTTGGATTGTATTTGCCTCGGAGGTCTGCTCAGAAACCTGAATGGAAATAAGTGTGTGTGTGAGAGAGAGAGGTTGGAGATGAAATGCTAAATAGGACAAAATGCTAATCTTCAAAGTCGTTCCTCTCTTCCTGCCTAGAGATTACACGGCTCACAACTGGTCATGGATGAAAGCCGAGTTTCTGGGCTTCCAGAAAGTAGGACTTAGGTGTAATTTGGGGGGCCAGGAGGCCAAATAAAGCTACCGCCCGCCTAACTTTCAGGCTCCGCCGACTCCCCTAAACACAACCTCAAACCCTTTCCCTCCCGCTCTTACCCCACCTCTCCGCCCAGCCGAGGCTCCCACCACGTGTGGGGAGCGCGAGTTTGCCGCGCCCGCCCGCCCCCCGTTTTGCCCCAACTCCCGCTTCGCCCTGGGGCTGCGTTGAGGGAGAAGAGCTGCGTGCGCGGAACGTGCCCGCCGGGAGACCGCGAAGGCCGCCGTGTATACGCGCGCGCGAGGGGAAGAGATGGAGCCCGACCCCTCGGTTAGTATTATGGGGGGGGCAGGCCGCCTATGGGGAGGAAACCGTTGGTTTCCTGAGGAAACCGTTGAGGCAGGTTATCTAAACGCGGGGAGGCCGGCGGTTGCGGCCGGGCAGCTCCGACGGCGGCAAAAAAAAAAAAAAAGCGTTTTATTAGGCGGTGGCGTTATTTTGTGTGGGTGGGCGAGCGAGAGGCGGGTAAGAGAGAGGGCGCGAAATCTCCTCAGAAGCCTCGACGGCGGTTTCCCGCCAAAACCGGCGAGCGAGGCCCATAACGCTCCCGCTCCCTCCCCTCATCGCTTTAGGTCACGAGACAGGCGTTGGCCACGCCCTCCCTCCGTCAGCACGAGCCCCTTCCCGCTTTTATCCTTCTTCCTAAGATCCAGCCCCGGCCAACCGCCGGGCTCGCGCCAGCTGCTTTTCTCCCCCAAGAGCGAGCGCTCCTTTTGCGCGTGCGCCCTAACGGCCGGAGAAGGGCGGTTGGAGCTGGGGGGAGGGGAGCGAGGTTCTGTCCCGCCAGTAGATGCCGAGGAAAAGTCCGTGCGAGGTGCTCCTAATTCCCCCTCATTCCTTCTGTAAGTGCTTCCTTCTCTCCGCCCGCCACTTTTCGACACCTTTTTGGCACTCATTTGTTGTTGTGTCGGCCTTTCCCAGTTTGCCCCTCTCCCCCCTCCTCTTTTTAGCTTCTAAAACAGTGTTTCCAAACAGCTGTTTTTGGACTACAACTCCCATCATCCCTAGCTAGCAAGACCAGTGGTCAGGCGCGGTCTTGCTAGCTAGACGCGGGTGGCGCTGTGGGTTAAACCACAGAGCCTAGGACTTGCCAATCAGAAGGTCCCGCGACGGGGTGAGCTCTCGTTTCTCAGTCCCTGCTCCTGCCAACCTAGCAGTTCGAAAGCACACCAGTGCAAGTAGATAAATAGGTACCGCTCCGGCAGGAAGGTAAACGGCGTTTCCCTGCGCTGCTCTGGTTTCGCCAGAAGCGGCTTAGTCATGCTGGCCACAAGACCAGCCGGCTCCCTCGGTCAATAAAGCGAGATGAGCGCCGCAACCCCAGAGTCAGCCACGACTGGACCTAATGGTCAGGGGTCCCTTTACTCTTTACCTTTAAACAGCTGTTTTTGGACTACAACTCACATCATCCCTAGCTAGCAAGACCAGCGGTCAGGAGCAAGAGCCTAGCCAGGCTTTATGTAAGGGGGGAGCAGAACCCCAGTTAAGTATTTGTTATTGATTTACTTGATTTGGGGGGGCAGATGCCCGCCCTTGTCTCCACCCATGGTCAGGGATAATGGGAATTTGGTGGTCGAAAAGCAGCTGGAGACCCAAGTTTGGGAAATACTGTGGAATCTAGAACAAGAGAGAGAAAGAGAGATAATAAAATTAAGGGAGAGCATCCGCTTTCTAGTAAATAGTCCGCGAAGAACTTGGCAGTGCCAAGTTGGTAACTTAACTGTGGCACTAAGGAGTTTATTAGATATGCCTCTTTCTCATTTGGTGGGTGTGTTTCACACGTGGTGTAGAGTTTTGGATCTGCATTTGGCGATTTGAATATAAAAATGAGAAGTCTGATTGCAGATTTATTTGCTAATGCCGGAATAAAAGGCGGAGTTCCTCTCGGTACTTCCAACTCGTGACACCTTTTGGCCTACTTTTGGTTTGTTAGTTAGTTTTCAATCAGTTATGTACATGGAATCTCCCAGTCCTTTTTACAAAGAGTTATTGATTGATTGAATTTATATATCGCCCTATACCCAGAAGTCTCAGGGTGGTTCACGGAAAAGACCACAATATATAAAACCAAAATAAAAGCAGTAACCCAATAACATCCCCCAATAACACCCCCCCCCCAAGTGCTGGAGTGGGGAATACAAACACAGATTTTAACAAGTATACAATATGACAAAATACAAAAGTAGTAAACAAAACATCCTGGGTGATTTTTTAAGAATGGCTTCATCTGGAGCTGCAAATGTAACCGAAATTGCACCAGTAATCTTCCCTGGGGAGACAATACATGAGGTGGGGTGCTACAATAGAAAAGACTCTATCCTGGGTCAATCCCATATATACACACAGAAAGATTTCTGATGAGGATCTTAATAGCTCGGCAGGTTCAGATGGAAAAATGCAGTACTTAACCCAGCAAGGATGGAGTTCCATGTATATTGAACATACTGAAAACCCTTGTTTTCTTGGTACCTCTACATATCCAAAAGAATCGTTTTTGATAACACATATGCCATGAAGAGAATGCCTCAAAATCATCATTTGTTTTATGAAGAGTGTCTCCATTTCTAGAGAACTTGATATTTTGGTTAGATTGAAGAAGTGAGGGGTGTTGTCTCTGTTATTTGCTGGATTGAATGAAATATCAGGACAGTTCCCTCGCCACTACCACTCTGCTCCAATTGCAAGTAGAGGACAGCAACTTGTTGCATTGCTCTTTGAGAATGCTTGGAATGCCTTATAGGTATTCCATACCTGATGGGACAATCTACCACCCTTTTCTCCAGTTTGAGGCTTGGGAATAGGCAAGGGCTTTTCACATGCAGTATGTCAAGCAAAATTGTGCATCCCTTTTTCTTTATACGTGTGGAGTCTTAGCATATGTACAAAAACATGCAGAGTTCAGTATGTTCAACAGATGTGGAAATCCATCGTGGGTTATCTCATGGGTAAAACTTGCTATTGCTAAAACTAAATGTGTAAGTACTCTACAGTGGTACCTTGGGTTACAGACGCTTCAGGTTACGCGATTTCGGGGTGTGCACCGTGCCGAACCCGGAAGTACCAGAGCGGGTTACATCCAGGTTTTGGCGCATGCACAAAAGTGCTAAATCATGCTTTGCACATGCGTGGAAGCGCCGAATCGCGACCCCCGTGTGCGCAGACGTGGCGCTCTGGGTTGCGAACGGTGCAGGTTGCGAACGTGCCTCCCACACGAATCACATTCACGACCCGAGGATCCACTGTAAATGTAATGCCAGGAACAGATTCAGGCGCAGACAATATGCTACTCACAAACACCTTTAGAAAAGGATAAGCTGTTTTGGAGTGGAACTTAACCTCTTCCTTCCTGCCCTCTGTTTCACTTCTCCAAAGTGCCTCCTGTAGCTTCTCCCCCAGAAGGGTTTCCCATGCATGTTGTGAGAAGTCACCAGGGTTCAAGCAGTTGCAGTTGAGGCCTCAATATGTATGTTCAGTGTTATGGCTAGAAGAAATCCACATATTCATTAAATCCATTTATTCAGAAGTAGGTCCCGCTGTGGAGGCTTCTCACTAGGACATAAGTTTAGGGTTGTAGTACTAGGTAGGTAAACAGAAACCCCAGCCTGATAGAAATTGAATTACCATAATGGGAATACAGTAATATTTTGTGTTGCAGTAAGAAATTATGCTGTGGGCAGAGCTTCAGTGCTGAAACTGAAAATACAGTATTAATGTTTTTCTCTTAATGGCCTATATGCACGTAACATACGTAGTAAAAGATTTCATTGTTAATAACATTAGAAGAAAGGACATGATTTTGTCTATTATGAGATCTCTGGTTGTGTAGGCAGCAGCTATTTTAGGCGCTGACTTGCGGGTCCTTTTTGCCCTGGGGGAGGGCCGAATCGGGGCTGGGCATGCTTATGAAGGGTATGGGGAGTGGGAATGGAACCCCCAGGCGAAATGGTCTCCGCCTGTACAGTGGACCCTCCGGATACGAACTTAATTGGTTCCTGGGGTCCGTACATACCCCCAAAAGTCTGCATCTAGAGGCGCTGCTTTTGCACACGTGTACAGCGCAATAGAGGGCTTCTGCGCATGCACAAAGCACGCAGGGTGCTTCTGCGCATGCACGCGTGGCAAAACCCAGAAGTATACACTTCTGGGTTTGCCGCATTCGCAGCCTGAAAGTTACGTTACCTGAAGGTAACATAACCCGAGGGTCCACTGTACTTCCTTTTACATAACCTTGCTTTGTGCTCTTAAGTTATTGTGGGGGAAAGAGTACTAATTTTATAATTTTACTGGATAAAATAGATTAAAGCTACTCTGAGGTTCTTTTGGTTCTGATTAGTTCGATATGGTCTGTTTGCTTAACTGATTAGCTATTTAAAACTCCATTTTTAAACCAGAAAATACACTTTAAAAATGTCAGAGTTGTTCCATGGAAAAGTTTCCAGCCAATATCTCAAAAAAGAGTCTCGGTTTTTCACAAGCTGCAGTAGATTTTAAGAGGGCTGCAGGTGGTGCTGTGGTCTAAACCACCAAGCCTCTTGGGCTTGCCATTTGTAAGGTCAGCTGTTCAAATCCCTGTGACAGGGTGAGCTCCAGTTGCTTTGTCCCAGCTCCTGCCAATCTAGTGGTTCAAAAGCATACCAGCATGAGTAGATAAATAGGTAGTGCTTTGGTGGGAAGATAAACAGCTTTTCCTTGCGCTCTGGCACTCGTCAGTGTTCCGTGTGCCAGAAGCTGCTTAGTCATGCTGGCCACATGACCCTGTCTGTAGACAAACACTGGCTTCCTTGGCCTGAAAGTGGAGAGGAGCGCCCCACCCCATAATCAAATTCAACTGGACTTAACCGTCCTGGGGTCCTTTACCTTTTACCTTTAGATTTTTAAATGCTTCTTTATGAAAAATTGTTTTTAAATCATGGTGAGGAAATATAGGCTAAATTGTGTTCTTCAATTATAATTTACTAATGTCTTAACTATTTCCTTTTAATAACTTTTAACCTCTCAATTGACATATCAGTGTATTTTTCTTTTCCAAATTGTTTTTGTTTTTTTTTCAACAGACTCAGGAAGGACCTTGTCGTGGTTCTGTTGCTCATAGCAGACTGTGCTATGCTAACGCTTCCTGTGCATTCCTAGATACTACACTATGAACAATTATGACAATTTTTTCCTGGAAAAGAAGCTGAAGTTTGGAATTTATTGGCTGAATATTAGGGACACTGTGATAATGTGTTTTTTATTATTGTTTGATGGTTAACAGCAGTAGATCTTTATCTCATGTTGTTCATTGTCATTCTGTGCCTTCAATCTGAAGCAAAGGGAAAGAAATTTATTATTATTTTAAACAATGATGTGTTTTAATTATTAAGCGGAGGTTTGGGTTTAGAAATGGTTAAAATAGGTATAGTGAATTTTTTCTTCCAGCTCTTCATTTATTTTTGATGGGTATCCATTACCATGATTCTTGTTGGGGGTGTGGGTTGTATATACGTATACAAATACACAAACAGTATGTACTGCAGGAATATATATTTATGAAGTTGAAATGGCACCATTTAGAAAATCTTTCTGGAACACCAGTGCCCCTCTGGTTGGGAATCACCCAGAATTGCCAATGAGAACTGAGCATGCTCAGTGGTAATGTAATGCTGACTGGCTGTTGGGAAGGATGGAATGGAGTGCCCTATAGGAGGGTATGGCAGGGTGTCTGAAATCCTGAACACGAGCACTCAATTTTACAACATTTTCTTGCAGGTTACACTTGTTTCAGTCTATTCGAAAACAGTTGTTACAAAGCTTTACGGCCATGATTTTTACAACAGAATTTTGTTCGGATTTTATACACCATTCCCATTCTCTGATAATTTCATGTTGTGGGAATATTTTTGCAGAAATATTTTGAAGAATATAATTTCTGCTGTGAAGACTAATTTTTAAAAAATGAACTAGATAATGTTTTGTACAATATAATTGTGGGTTTTTTCCTATGCAAATTTCAGTCTTTTCCTGGTGGTCTTGCCCGGCATAACCATAGTTACTACTGGTTTTAGTTTCTAGCTTATAAACTAATAGTGGTGTACTTTTTTCATTATTTCTAGTACAGAAATAATGTTACTAGGGAAGAAGGTGTGGTTTTTTTAGTTAATTTTTGATAATTTTCAACATAGGATACAGTAAAAACTGAATCAATCTAAAGAAAGAAGTAACAAACCAAGAAAAAGAGAGAAAGAGAAAGCTTTCCCCTGTTCCTTCAGCCTCAAACCCTGAGAGAGCCTCTCTGGCTTACCTCACATGCAGGTCCCTTCATCTTCTGTCCATCACCTTCCTATTTGTATCTTCATTTATCTCAAATATAAATATTCAAAGAACAAAACATACATGTAAATAGGGTTAACAGAGAGCTAGAGTTAAAAGTCATAAAGTAAAGGTAAAGGGACCCCTGACCATTAGGTCCAGTCGTGAATGACTCTGGGGTTGCGGCGCTCATCTCGCTTTATTGGCCGAGGGAGCTGGCGTACAGCATGTGGCCAGCATGACTAAGCCGCTTCTGGCAAACCAGAGCAGCGCACGGAAACACCGTTTACCTTCCCGCCACAGCGGTACCTATTTATCTACTTGCACTTTGACGTGCTTTCGAACTGCTAGGTTGGCAGGAGCAGGGACCGAGCAACGGAAGCTCACCCCGTCGTGGGGATTCGAACCGCTGACCTTCTGATCGGCAAGCCCTAGGCTCTGCGGTTTAACCCACAGCGCCACCCGCGTCCCGAAATGTCATAGAAAAAGCAAGATATGAAGAAAAAAATAAAATAAAGGAGAGTCTTCCAATTCTCTGTCTACCAATTATGTATATGACAATTATTCAAAATATTTAAAGTATGCACTTCAGAGAAAATTCTAGCTGTATTAATAACCAGCTTTTTCTCATTCTGCTAGATGGTATTTCTCACCCTCCCTGGCATCTTGAATTCACATTTTTTCACTCATGAAGTCCAATATAGCACTTCAATTATTACCTTCTAGTGTCCAAAATAATCTCAGAAAGTAAATTTTAATCACCATGATTTTGCAGTCAGTAGCATTTCATTTGAACTGGGTCATGGATCTGTAACCAAAAGTTCTCTTCCTTTGAAAGAAGGAACTTCTCCCATCAAAAAGTTTGCAGAGGGTAGAAAAATGGGGTTCTGCTGCGCCAAATCGCCAATTTTAAATTGTCCAGCAAGCCACACATAAAGAATGGGAATGTCTACTTGCTTGTTCTGCTAATTTAAATTTTGGAAGAAGCTCTTTTAAAAGATCGCATAGTTTGCAAACCTACACACGTTTAGCTCTAAGTCCCACTAAATTCACTCGGACTGAGTGGACATATACAGGATTGCACTGTTAATCAGGTGTGATGTCTCTTTTGCACACATGTATATTCCCAGCCTCTTTCATACATGTCCCATCTCATCATGCAAGTTGTAAGGCTGTAGTCCTGTAGTCACACTTATCTGGGAGTAAATCTTTGAGTGGGTTTTCCCAAATAAATATGCACAGGACTGCACTGTAAATGACATAGAGAAAGAGGTAAGTTGTCTTCTTTTCATAACTATGAAAGGATCAATCTGCCAAGCTGAAATTCATCTCAGTTTCTTATTTTTCTGATACAGTACTAAGTTCAGTTCTCCACCTTAAGCTGTTGGAGTCAAGGGTCTTTGGGGCAAGGAGAGAGTAATTAGGGATGTAGGAAGTGCTTTCTCTTGGTTCATAATTCCTTAGCTTCAAAGGGGTTAGAACCTTTAAAAACTTGTAGAGTTGGCATGCATCATGCGACACGACCCGCCCCCCAATACCATAAACAGTTAAGGAGTATGTATATCTCAATTTCCCCATCGTGTTTTCCTCCCCCTTAGACTATTTAGGGTGTCAGTTGAAGAAAAACTATCTCATGGAGGTCAGTGAGCGTGGTCCTTGCTGGGTCATTTAAGGGGTGGTTTTTTTCTTCTCGCCCTTTTAATTTACAAACAAATTGTTCTGTGCCCCACATAAGCTGTGAGTACCCTGGTTTCACTATTCCAGTGAGAGGCCTGAGACCAAGTTTGCTATTGGATATAGCATGATTATGATAAGCAAAAACTTGGTCCTCTTCATTTTTTATTTGATTTGTATTGTATGAACCTTTTGAATTTTTTAATAAACCGTATTACTTTGCATGTGCATATAGGGTGGGATATAAACACATTAGTAAAATACTTAAACATTCCAGACCACAAGTGAATTGGGTGTGTGTGGAAAGGTTTCAGTTTGTTCTTATTTCTTGATAATTAAAATAAGAAAACATATAATTAAAAATCATAAGAACATTAAATATTATCTACCATTCTCTTGTTGCTTTCAGAATGAATTTATTATGATTTCTAAACATAACTAGGTGCAACAGGTGAAAAAAAGGTAGTGTGTACCAGGTTGAAACCATTTATATGAAAGCAAATTCTATTAAAGTCAGTGGAATATACTTTGAAGCAAATATTCAGTGAACTAACTAGCTTATATGTATGTAGAATTTAGCTGGCAATCTTAGATTTAGTATATGTGGCATCCTGAATGAAGATACTACTGAAGGTAGCTTAGTACATCAAAAATTAAATAATAGCTGTGATTTGTCTTCTTAGCATTTCAATTTTTTTGTGTTGAAAATATATCTTAACAAGACTATATTCTCTTAAACAGCAAACTACAAATCAGATGCAAACTGATTCTCTGTCGCCGTCTCCTAACACTGTGTCGCCAGTGCCTTTAAATAACCCCACAAGTGCCCCAAGATTTGGAACAGTCATTCCTAATCGCATCTTTGTTGGAGGAATTGATTTTAAGGTATTTTTTTTCCTGATCTTTGTTCCTTAGCAATACAATAATTTTTTTTTCACTTCTGTCTTAATAGGTTGCTTATATCATTGGTTGTATAGTTTTATGTGTATAAATGTAGAAATTAGGCTCTAATTTTATGTATTTGTTGGACAGGTATATTGCTACCGCACAAGAATTTCACGATACAAACACCAACCAATGAGAAAATACTGGATTTGTTCACTTTGCTGGTCCTTCTCATCTCTAGTAAACTGTTACTTAATAGAGAAGAAAAGGAGAAAGAGTTGTAATTTTGGACCTGGTAGAGCCTAGAAAGTATCTAGCCCAAATCCTCTTCCAGCACTGGTTCTAAGGGGGCAGGAACTTCTACTTAACCTCTGCTTGAAAGGTTGCCTTTAAGGCCAGTAGACTAAAAAATAGCATTCACATTATGATTTTTGAAAATTGAATTTAAAAAGACAACAGATATGATTCAGTTAGTGGAACTGTTGATACAGAATGGTGTGATCAATATTAATGTGATTTAAAAAATAAAACATCCCATAAAGGAAATCAAAGTTAAATGATGATTTTAAGTACATTTATAGTAATGATTTGATGATGTAATCATTTTCTTTTTCTTTTACTAGACTAATGAGAATGACCTAAGGAAGTTTTTTTCCCAGTATGGCTGCGTCAAAGAAGTAAAAATAGTAAATGACAGAGCTGGAGTATCAAAGGGGTTAGTACAATAAAGCATTTGTTCATCAAGTAGAAATAATACTAGTTCATGCAATATGTGCAGGAAAAATTCCTTATTACATAATTAACAAGACATGAGCACCTTAAAACGACAACCCCATAAACACTTAACTTGGATTAAGTCTCATTAAACTTAGTAGGGCTTGCTTTTGGGTAGATGACTTGTATAGAATTGTTTTTGTTGTTGTTTAGTCGTTTAGTCGTGTCCGACTCTTTGTGACCCCATGGACCAGAGCACGCCAGGCACTCCTGTCTTCCACTGCCTCCCGCAGTTTCCTCAAACTCATGCTGGTAGCTTCCAGAACACTATCCAACCATCTCGTCCTCTGTCGTCCCCTTCTCCTTGTGCCCTCAATCTTTCCCAACATCAGGGTCTTTTCCAGGGAGTCTTCTCTTCTCATGCGGTGGCCAAAGTATTGGAGTCTCAGCTTCAGGATCTGTCCTTCCAGTGAGCACTCAGAGCTGATTTCCTTGAGAATGGAGAGGTTTGATCTTCTTGCAGTCCATGGGACTCTCAAGAGTCTCCTCCAGCACCATAATTCAAAAGCATCAATTCTTCGGCGATCAGCCTTCTTTATGGTCCAGCTCTCACTTCCATACATCACTACTGGGAAAACCATAGCTTTTACTATACGGACCTTTGTTGGCAAGGTGATGTCTCTACTTTTTAAGACGCTGTCTAGGTTTGTCATCGCTTTTCTCCCAAGAAGCAGGCGTCTTTTAATTTCGTGGTTGCTATCACCATCTGCAGTGATCATGGAGCCCAAGAAAGTAAAAACTTCCACTGCCTCCATTTCTTCCCCTTCTATTTGCCAGGAGGTGATGGGACCAGTGGCCATGATCTTCGTTTTTTTGATGTTGAGCTTCAGACCATATTTTGCACTCTCCTCTTGCACTCTCAATAAAAGGTTCTTGAATTCCTCCTCACTTTCTGCCATCAAGGTTGTGTCATCCGCATATCTGAGGTTGTTGATATTTCTTCCGGCAATCTTAATTCCGGCTAGGGATTCATCCAGCCCAGCCTTTCGCATGATGAATTCTGCATATAAGTTAAATAAGCAGGGAGACAATATACAGCCTTGTCGTACTCCTTTCCCAATTTTGAACCAATCAGTTGTTCCATATTCAGTTCTAACTGTAGCTTCTTGTCCCACATAGAGATTTCTCAGGAGACAGATGAGGTGATCAGGCACTCCCATTTCTTTAAGAACTTGCCATAGTTTGCTGTGGTCGACACAGTCAAAGGCTTTTGCATAATCAATGAAGCAGAAGTAGATGTCTTTCTGGAACTCTCTAGCTTTCTCCATAATACAGAGCATGTTCGCAATTTGGTCTCTGGTTCCTCTGCCTCTTCTAAATCCAGCTTGCACTTCTGGGAGTTCTCGGTCCACATACTGCTTGAGCCTTCCCTGTAGAATTTTAAGCATAACCTTGCTAGCGTGTGAAATGAGTGCAATTGTGCGGTAGTTGGACCATTCTTTGGCACTGCCCTTCTTTGGGATTGGGATGTAGACTGATCTTCTCCAATCCTCTGGCCACTGCTGAGTTTTCCAAACTTGCTGGCATATTGAGTGTAGCACCTTAACAGCACCATCTTTTAAAATTTTAAATAGTTTAGCTGGAATACCATCACTTCCACTGGCCTTGTTATTTGCAGTACTTTCTAAGGCCCATTTGACTTCACTCTCCAGGATGTTTAGCTCAAGGTCAGCAACCACACTACCTGGGGTGTACGAGCCATCCATATCTTTCTGGTATAATTCTTCTGTGTATTCTTGCCACCTCTTCTTGATGTCTTCTGCTTCTGCTAGGTCCTTACCACTTTTGTCCTTTATTATGGTAATCTTTGTACGAAATGTTCCTTTCATATCTCCAATTTTCTTGAACAGATCTCTGGTTCTTCCCATTCTGTTGTTTTCTTCTATTTCTTTGCATTGCTCATTTAAGAAGGCCTTCTTGTCTCTCCTTGCTATTTTTTGGAAATCTGCATTCAATTTCCTGTATCTTTCACTATCTCCCTCACATTTTGCTTGCCTTCTCTCCTCCGCTATTTGTAAGGCCTCGTTGGACAGCCACTTTGCTTTCTTGCATTTCCTTTTCACTGGGATGGTTTTCGTTGCTGCCTCCTGTATAATGTTGCGAGCCTCCATCCATAGTTCTTCAGGCACTCTGTCCAGCAAATCTAAATCCTTAAACCTGTTCCTCACTTCCACTGTGTATTCATAAGGGATTTGATTTAGATTGTATCTTACCGGCCCAGTGGTTTTTCCTACTTTCTTCAGTTTAAGCTTGAATTTTGCTATAAGAAGCTGATGATCTGAGCCACAGTCAGCTCCAGGTCTTGTTTTTGCTGACTGTATAGAGCTTCTCCATCTTTGGCTGCAAGAGAATATAATCAATCTGATTTCGGTGCTGCCCATCTGGTGATGTCCATGTGTAGAGTCATCTCTTGTGTTGTTGGAAAAGCGTGTTTGTGATGACCAGCTTGTTCTCTTGATAGAACTCTATTAGCCTTTGCCCTGCTACGTTTTGATCTCCAAGGCCAAACTTGCCAGTTGTTCCTTTTATCTCTTGATTCCCTACTTTAGCATTCCAATCCCCTATAATGAGAAGAACATCCTTCTTTGGTGTCACTTCTATAAGGTGTTGTAAGTCTTCATAGAATTGCTCAATTTCAGTTTCTTCAGCAGCAGTAGTTGGTGCATAAACTTGGATTACTGTGATGTTGAAAGGTCTGCTTTGGATTCGTATCGAGATCATTCTATCGTTTTTGAGATTGCATCCCAGTACAGCTTTCGCCACTCTTTTGTTGACTATGAGGGCCACTCCATTTCTTTTACGGGATTCTTGCCCACAGTAGTAGATATGATGGTCATCCGAACTGAATTCGCCCATTCCCGTCCATTTTAGTTCACTGATGCCCAGGATGTCAATATTTATTCTTGCCATCATATAGAAATGTACTCATAGTTAAAAATCAACATTTTTTCCCTACAGCGGAGGAGGATATCCTCGTCTGAGTTGCTCCCCCTGCTCACTCCAGAAGGCAGAACTATGCAGTCATAGTCATTCATGGTACATTCAGGTCCTGGAAGGAAAGTACCAGCTCTTTTACAAAAAGAGCTGCCCACTGCCCTGCATGCTCTGCTTGAATTCTCTGCTCTAACCTCCCTCTTTTTCAAAAGCCCACACTCCCCATCCCCAATTGGACTGCACAGGTACAGTGATGGGTAAGAGACTGCATGCATTTGAAAGTAATTCTGCTGTCAGATCTTGGTTGGGAGTGGTGCCAATTGAGGCTTGCAGGTAACTGAATGTGGGTGGGAGTTTGCTTCCCCACTCTAAAGGTGAGCTAGCCAAATATGGGCCAACAGGCCCCACCTCCCAGGGTGGAAAATCCAACAGGTTGGTGCAAGACTTCTTATTTTCACCACCACCACATCCACATTCTCCTTCAGCTCTTGCTACTGTCCTGAGGTCCTGGTGCTCCTCACTGCTCTGAACTGATAGACCAAAATGCCATAGGCATTGCATTTCCATCTCACACAGAGTGCTGAAGGAAAGCTGCTCCTCCCTCCACTTCCATTCGGCCCGACCTGCCATGGGATATGCCGCTACTTCTGTCAGTCAAGTCTTCCCAGTTCACAATGTGGCAACAATCTAGTGAAAATAAAGTATAGAGAGTATACATACATACAGGCAAGCAAGCATGTAGACAGACTTCTGGTTCATTATGTTAACTATACATATAAACATTTCTGTCAGTTATCTTTTTATTTGTGTCATCTTGGTTTAATCCATTCATTCACAAACTTGAATATGTAACAAATCCTGAAATTAACCCATAATAAGGTGTTGCGCATTGATAGAACAGATTAAAATAGGAAATTTTAATGACTAGTTTTAAGTAGAATAGTTTAAACTAAGTTTAAACCGCGGTAAAAAGCCACCATCCTGGGCCATGAGAATTTGTTTTGGGAAGCCAGCCAAAAGATTAGGTTTAATGGATTTTTAAATCTGGCTTTGTTTGATATGGTACATATACTGATCCATAGCGCTCAAGTCAGTCAATGGTTCTTCCTCATTTTATGTGATATTAGAGGAGGCATTCATTTTATGCATGTCAAGCAGCAGCTCTTGTTTGGGAAGGATGCAAATATAGTATATGCTAAGAAAAACGTATGCTGTTTTACTTAGGTATGGTTTCATCACATTTGAAACTCAGGAAGACGCTCAGAAAATACTACAAGAGGTAAACATGATTTCATTAAAAATTATATATTTGTGCACAGATAGGAACTGGTAATACCAAGTAACATTTGTTTATAGTATGGTAGTGGGGAGTGCCTGGTGCTGCCCACAAACCAAATATATTGTTATTTTTAAATGGATAATGTGGTTTGTGAGTTTGGACCTGCCATACCAAAAATCAAGTGAAGTTAATCCAAAGTCTCGTTTTGGTCCACTGCCTTGATTCCAAATGGTGCCTGGCATTCCAACGACAACAATCTCTTCCATCCCCACCTCAAAAAGTTTCATGCCAAGTTTGGGAACCATATTTTGAGAGGTGTCCAAACGTATAGGGTACAAACAGATGCACAGAAAAACGAACTACTTTGCAAAATAATGGGGTACATTAGACATGGGGACTCTATTAGTTATTGGTTCATTTGTTTAGTTTATAATTTCACTCTTCACACAATATTCGTAACACAAGAGTAAAAGCATTGAATACAAAATATAAAACAGATAAACGTTACCAAAGTATAAATAAACAGCAACTGTCAAAATTACTGGCATATTAACTCAACCACTATCTGAAGGCTTGGACAAGGAGGTACATCTTCAACCGCTGTGGAAAGGTAAACTATTTCAATGCCAGATTTATTTCAGAAAGGAGGTGATTCCAAAGATAAGGTCCTACTACTGAGAAGGTCCCATTTTGTGGTACCTCAGGGAGGCTTGCCCAGCTTTCTTCATTACATATCTTTAGGTGCTAGGCCAAAACATTCTTCTTCTCCCAGGCCTTTGGCTAATTTAGCAATGCATGGGAGCTATTGTTTTTTGTTTGTGGCTATGGTTAGTTATAGTTATAAAAGTTATAAAATTTATAATAGTTATCAAAGTTTTATGGATCAAAATATTATGCATTTATATCCACTTGAGATGGTTTTATTTATTTTTTAATCCACTCTGTTTGATTCAATCCTTATGATCACTGTAGTTAGTTATAAAGCGCAGTTGAATACATTATTTAAACAAATACTTGTCCAGTTCAAAAGAGTCTTACTCACCATTTGGCACAAAACAAAGGACTGAGTTCACAAGACATTTCCATTAAGATTTGAGGTGAACTGAAGGTATCTGTAAAACGTGTTGTTGAGATGTTATTGGGATTTTTGAGACATTCATTATTTGAATATATTTGAAAAATAAACTATTAAGGTAAATAATTGTATGTATTTTCTTTGCTTTGGCTTAGGCTGAAAAACTAAATTATAAGGATAAAAAACTGAATATTGGTCCAGCAATAAGAAAACAACAAGTAGGGATTCCTCGTATGTATTTGCTTGCTTGCTTGCTTCCTACCCCCTATCCCCATCTTTTACGGGTGTTTTGGAAAAATCTTGGGCTATGCCAGTGCTGTGAAAAATTATTTAGGCTACAATCCTATACACACACACTTGGGAGTAAATTTCTTTGAACTCAGTAGTATTTACTTTTGAGTAGACATGCATAGGATTGTACTGTTACTGTTCTATTTGCCTACTAGTGAGTGTTAATATTCTCTTAGCAAGATTACCGTATTTTTCGCTCTATAGGACACACCCAACCATAGGACGCACCTTGTTTTAGAGGGGGAGAACAAGAAAAAAAAATCTCCCCCTCTCTGCTCAGCACTCCTTCAGCAAAGCGGCAGGAGAAACGGAGCCCCTTCCATTTCTCCTCCCGCTTCACTGAAGGGGCACTGTGCAGCTCTCCCTCTCTGCCGAAGCCAGGAGAGTCTTGCTCTCCTGGCTTCAGCAAAAGGAACCCAAAGCCTTCGGAGCACAGTGCGACTTCCCGCTGCAGTCCGAAGGCTTCAGGGATAGCCGCCTGAAGCCTTTGGAGCGCAGCGGGAACTCGCGCTGCGCTCCGAAGGCTTTAGGCATCTATCCCTGAAGCCTGGAGAGCGAGAGGGGTCAGTGTGCACCGATCCCTCTCGCTCTCCAGGCTTCAGCAAAGCAACGCGAAGCCTCTGGAGCGCGGAGGAGTGCACCCTCTGCGCTCGGAGGCTTTGTGTTGCTATCGCTGAAGCCAAGGAGCCTGCATTCGCTCCATAGGACGCACACACATTTCCCCTTAAATTTTGGAGGGGGGGGAGTGCGTCCTATAGAGCGAAAAATACGGTATCTATAGTCGAACTCAGGCTCATGATAGTGGAAGGCTTCTGGCCCAGCTGAGGCACATGCCTTCTGATGGTGATACAGAGTTGCTTCTTTTCATCACATTAGTCCAGGCATAGGCAAACTCTGGCCCTTCAGATGTTTGGGACTACAACTCCCATTATCCCTAGCTAACAGGACCAGTGGTCAGGGATGATGGGAATTGTAGTCGCAAACATTTGGAGGGCCGGAGTTTGCCTGTGCCTGCATTAGTCAGTTTCATAGGATGATTCTTACTATTCTTAATATTAAATTGCAGTGAGCTGAAATTTTCTGTCAACACATTTTGCGATTTAGAGGGAAATTCTGATGTTGTAATTTGAGGGGTGGAAATGCTTCTCTGCTCTGTGTTGATGGGGGACATGTCTGACCCAGAGCCCACAGTCACATTTGTGGAAAGTTCTGTAAGCTTAGAGGTACAGGATCAGAAATGGGACATATTGGAGATTCCCTTTGGTTTGCTTGATCCAACAGCATTAATTCCTCTGAGAGGCCCTAGGATTGGATCTCTCAACTACACCAGCCTGGAGCTGGCACAGTTAATCCCTCCAACCAATTATTATAGTTAAGTGAATTGGTTTCTTGCCCCAAAAACTAATGAGTGAGAAATTAAACAAAAGAACTGCCAAGATAAAAAGAAGAAGACCCAAGCATGCACACGTTTCCTACCTTGGCCAGCAGGGCCTTCAAAATGGTGGAAACGTCTGCTTCGCTCCCTCCCACCCACTTCCCAGTTAAAATTGCTCTACTCGTAATTGATAAAGTATATTTACAAGCATCATAGCTTGGATCCTAAAAGTGTGTGTGCTGTGTTCTGCTCACAGAATAGGGTTTTTCTGCCTCTCTTCCCATTGCAGTTCTCTGCATCCTTCAAAAAGCCACTTGTTGAGAGTCAGCCCCCAACCCCTCATCGCGTTTGTGTGCTATGGAGAGCTGTAACTGCAACCTAAGAAATTTGCAGAGGTTTAAGAGCTCTCGGTGTGCAAGTAGAAGTGCTTTCTGCTCTCTTGGGTTCAAGTGGTCTGTTGGATCCAAACCCATATGTATTAGAATTTTTTTTAAGGATAGAATGCAAAGTACCTGTGAGTTTTCAATTTTGTTACTGCTTATTTTAGGATCCAGTATAATGCCAGCAGCTGGAACAATGTACTTGACTACTTCAACTGGATATCCATACACGTATCATAATGGTGTAGCTTATTTTCATACTCCCGAAGTTGCTTCTGTTCCACAGCCATGGCCTGTACGTAATTTCTTTTGTTCTGAGACAATGCTGATGTACCAATAGCTGTTTGGGTTTGTTATTGTTAAATTTTGGAAATTAAAGCTAATCGTCTTCTCTGAATAGCTATCAGCACAAATTTATATAGTATACATTGTTGCCTTTCTAACTGTGCAACCTTGTTTCATACCTCTGTTGTAAGCAACTTTTGTGAAAAGTGCAACTCTGCTGTCCAGTAACAACTAAAAAGTATATTTATTCAAAGGGTGCAGTATATTCCCCTGAATATAAAAAAGCAATTGAGGGAGTCAGCAGGAATAACTATGAAAAAGAATTTGGATGGGCAAGCAAATGGCAAATGCATGCAACACAGAATTGTAGCCATTCTATGGGCCCTTGTAACTTTGATTAAAAAATAATAATCATAGGAATGATCCTAGTCTGATTCTCCATAGGATTTCAAAGAATCATAGAATTGTAGTTGGAAGGGACCACAAGGGTCATCTAGTCAACCCTCTGCAATGCAGGAATCATTTGCCCAATGTAGGGCTTGAACGTACAACCCTGAGATTACTGGCAGTTTTGTGTATGCAGTATCCCATTCCAAATTCACTTTGTGGTGAGTTTGCGGCGTTCGGGAGCCAATTTATTTGGGAGTCAAGCCGTTCCAGTACCAAGGTACTACTGTACTGTGGTTAACGATGAAAAGTGTATTGAAGGGGAATTTGTTTTGGAGGATAAAGGAGGATAGATAGCAAAAGCCCAAATGGCACTTCTGATCTGTGACTTAATGTAAATGATTTGTTTGTTTGTTTATAATTTAGTGTTTTAGTGTATTGCATAAAATGTATTTCTTAGTAGCATATTAATAATTCTTTGGACAACTCAGTAAGATTCTAATTGCTGTTCTCTTTTTTAAAGTCACGTTCTATTTCTAGTTCTCCTGTGATGGTAGCTCAGCCTGTTTATCAACAACCTACATATCATTATCAGGTAAAAAAAATAAATGATGCGTTTGGCTACTTTATGGCAGCATAGGAGAGGAAATTGTGCTTCATAGTTTAATTGACTTCATAGTTGTTTGTTTGTTTGTTTGTTTGTTTGTTTGTTTGTTTTACCACTCTATCCTAAAAAAAAATAATCTTAAGTGGTTTACAGTAATATTTATATTTAACAAAAAATATTTTCAGAAACCATAAACCATTATGGAAAGATGTATTCTTAATTGAAGCAGGCTCAGTAGTACAGTGGTACCTCAGTTTAAGAACACCCCGTTTACGAACTATTTGGTTTACGAACTCCGCAAAACCGGAAGTAGTGTCCCAGTTTGTGAACTTTACCTCGGTCTAAGAACGGAAGCTGAACAGTGGAAGGGCACCGGCGGCGGGAGGCCTCATTAGGGAAAGCGCGCCTTGGTTTAAGAACGGACTTCCGGAATGGGTTAAGTTTGTAAACCGAGGTACCGCTGTAGATGGACAGCCAGTGTATATATTTTAACAATGGTGTCAAATGGAATCTTTGAATGTTGAATTGGAAGGGACATGTTCTTGGCCATGTGCCCCCATCAGTAGTCTGCCCCCCTGCCCCCCCCCCATTCTGCACCAGCTGGAGCTTCTGAACCGGGCACAAGGGCACAGTGCAGTAATCCAACCTTTAGGTTACCAACTCAAGAACTACTGTGGTTAGATTATCCCTGTCCAGGAGCAGTCCTAGCTGATGAACCAAAGCTGGTAAAAGCCACAGAGGACACTTGGGCCTCTGGTGACATAAATGTATCCAGAAGTACCCACAAGCTAGGCACTTGCTCCTTCAGAGTACAAGCTCAGCCAGAACAGGTAACTTGCCCATGTCCTGAACATAGGAACCAAAGATGATTAAACTATTGTATGTTATTAAAGAAAGAAAGATTGACAATATGTCCACCTTGGCGTATATTGTGTTTAACTCGGCTGTATTGCTGTTAATGTCTTCAGCATATATTTTATTTTACAAACGGTGTAAATGTGGAATTTGGGGTGTGTTTTTTTAGCATACTGTTGTTTTCAATTACCACAGGCTCCTGCACAGTGTCTTCCAGGACAATGGCAGTGGAGTATTCCACAGGTAAATCATATTCAGTCTCCATAATCTGTTTGTTTATTTATAACATTTATATTGCACCCTTCCTCTAAGTAGTGTAAGGTAGTATAAATAGTCCCCTTTCCTCCACTACTATCCTTGGAACAATTATGTAAGATTAGATTAGGGCTGTCAGATAGTAACTGGCCAGAGGTGACTAGTAGCCTTTGTGGCTGGGATTTGTGGTATGGATTTAAACCTAGTATACCATACTACTCTCTGTGGGTTTGAGGTATACACTTCATGATGCCACGTGATATACTGATTGTTCCTGGTAGACATGCAGGTCCAGACTTAATGGAATGAAATGGACTTTTAATTCAGGGGGATACTGCTGGTGGATGGGAGTAGGAGGAGTAATTTTTTGCTGTTTTCATGGGGTTTCAGCCCCTTACCATTCCTGAGAGTGGGGCTCCCTCAGCCCTCTGGGAGCAGTTATTCAGAGAGTGAAAGTGAAGAGGCAAAAGTCTGCCTATAGGAGCATCCCCTTAGTGGAATGCTGCTCAGGGAATATTCCTGCTGGCAGGAGCGAAGTGTGGGTACAAGCCAGTAAATTCACATCCTAGAAATTTCAAAATTATACAGTTTCAAAATACGGCCTTCAGTAGATTCATTACATTACCTCAGGTATTAGCTGGGACTGTTTTTGGCGCATAGTCCTAATTACTTGCTTGTAGAATTTTGGGAGGAGGGAATGTGATGGAGATGGAAGAGACAAACTCTTTGAGTAAGCTAGAATTCAATTCAAACTGGAAACAAGCTATCATTCAAATGCATGCACACGTTTCTGAACACATGGGTTTGTAAGTGTCAATGCTAAGAGTACGTCCAGGGGGAGAGCATTCCACTTAAATAATAGTTATCATATTTGCATTGAAATCATATATTACAATTTTTCTTCTTCTTTAGCTTGAATTCTTCTAACAGTTGAGAGTGTCATACGCAAAACAATGTTTTCTCTTTTTTAGTCTCCTGCCTCTCCCACCTCATTCTTTTATCTACATCCTTCTGAAATTACTTACCAGCCCCTGGAGATTGCGCAGGATGGTGGATGTGTCGCTCCTCCTCTTTCCCTAATGGAAGCTGCAGTTCCAGAGGTACTTATACTCAGAAAAAGTATTTGTAGGCTGCATCTGCTCTACCTATTTAATTATTTGTAGATAATTTGATAAGATTGCAATGTATGAAGAAAGAATTTGCTATAATCAAACATTTTAGAAATCTGCGGGGTACCTTTCAATGAGGGCTGTGTGCTAGGGGGCCAGTCATAGACTGAGTATTCTCCATTCACATATGAGAGAAAGTAATTAGCAGTACTAATTAATTGAGTATACTACAGTGACACTTATCCCTTCAGTAGTCTCACTGAATGTAGTGATCCCTTTATTTTATCTTACAGAATTTTGAGGGAACAGTTTGGAAATAAAGCCCACTTCTATCAGTATAGCTCTGGTCTTTTATTGGTTCGGTATTGCATAGTCCTGATCTCATATCAATTTTGTAGGGTGCTTCCAGACAGGGACCTTACATCACAAAAAGGTTATATAGTAAAGGCACTTCTGCTTGTCCTCCATGCCAGTGGGTGGAGCTTGTCAGATTGTATCTGGGTTGGGTTTTTTCTGTCTCTCCCCTCAGTCATTCCTCCCTTGTTCTCCCCTACCTTTTCCCATTCTGGGCATGTGAGCAGATATTTCTGTATCTGTGTCCATCCACCTTAAAAAATAATTATCTGAGAAGTGGTGCAAGAGCAAATGTTGTGCAGCTATGAGTTGAGTTTTTGATAGGTATTTCAATAATCCCCCTTTATTCCTGCTGCCAACATCAGATAATGTTTATCTGAACACACCCCTAGTGTAACCAAATAATAGGCATGTGGTATAATACAATTTATTTATTTATCTTTCTTTATCTTATTTGTTACTTTATTATATGTACAACAATGGCTACAATAATACTGGTTCTTTACTAATCAGCTAACCCTGCTACACATTCATCACCAATTCACACACCATCTACCAGGCACTCCCAACAACACTCCCACCCAGTCACCACTCATTCTCTCCCACTCTCCATAACGTTTAATTCCTCTAATTTACTTAACATTCACCTTGGGTACTCCATACATACATGTGCTTACAATATTATGTACAAAAGCACCAGTCTCACAAGGTCTACATTAAATTGCTGTATTAATCTTTAAAAAAAGTCTGATGCATATATTGCAATGTACTCCAGCATAATCCTTCACATGTACTATGTGGAAACCTTGAAAGAAGAGTTCCTCTGAAGTGGGTTAGTGGAAGTAGACACATTTACATTGGTTGGATCTAGACACAGCCAGGAAGCGCTTCAATTAAACACATCGCAAACTTTGTACAGTCATACATTGGAAGTCAAATGGAATCCATTCTGGAAGTTTGGCTTCCAAAATATTCAGAAACCAAGGCGTGGCTTCCAATTGGCTACAGGAAGCTCCTGCAGCCAATCGGAAGCCGCAGAACCTGTGTGGGACATTTGGGTTCCAAAGAGCGTTCGCAAACTGGAACACTCACTTCCGGGTTTGCGGCGTTCGGGAGTGAGTTCGACTCGCAAGGTGTTTGACTTCCGAGGTACGACTGTGAGAAATTGCGTTGGCAAAAACGGAACTTCACAGCACCATCTGGTGTCACAGTGTTATAATGCATATAAAACGCTTTTTCTAGCTGAGTCCATTGTTTTGGCTGCTAGAAACAAAATAGCTAACTTACGCTCATGTGAGGAGCCAGTAGAAATAGGGGTGCACTGATAGAGCCACCCACTGAAACATCATCACACACATGACAAACTGCCCACCCTAAAAATCCAGATGAGCAGTAACCATGGATGGATAATGGGTTATTTTTACTTCTGGGTTTTTGTGTTGAAATCTAGTTTAGATGTAAAAAGTATGTGTTGGCATTTTGATGGCAATGACATCATGTGGATGCTGTAAAAAACATGTCATCCACAATCCGTCTGGAAGCAATCTTAGTCTTGCTACTGTGTGACAGAACCCAGTAAACTAGCTTTTTTATTATATGCTATTAAATTCAGTTTGGGTTCTGCAAACATAGGCAGTATATTCCTGGCTGACATTAGAAATCCCTTTCACCACCAATGCTCATAGAAGCATTTGAAGGATCAAAATAATAATAATAACAGTAAAATGTATTATTATTATTAATTAATTAATTATCACTTTCACAACCCAGCTTTACATTTCATGTGCAGTTATGTGTACTCTATTACGATGGTCTCATTTATGAGGTGAAGCCCTTAGTCTTGAAACTTGGTTTTAAAAATGTCACATAGAGAGAAATGTACAAATGTCCCACTTTCAAATTTTTAAAGTAATCAGGATGTCTTGACTGCAATTTGACATCTAGCAGGACATAAAATTTAACTCATACTGAACAGCAAACCAGCACAGAATGGTCAAACCCATACATATTAGTATAGCTAAATTTATATAAGTGTATGCATGCATGCACACACACACACACACACACACACACAATAGTGGCATTCAAGCAGGCATGGAGGCTTCCATCAGTGGAAGACTGATGGAATCAAGTGGAAGGTTTTCCTGACCATGATTTGAGAAGTCGAGAAGATCCCAGTTAACTTAGGTGTTTGAGAGCTTCATTGTCCCATTCATATTGTTGCATGCCACTCCAATCTCCAACCGGTGTGGGATTCTAGGGTTCCAGGTGCTTACTCGGGGTTTGGTTTCCTCGGGATTAGGGATGGTGGAAACTGTGGTGTCTTTATGATATATGGTTTATTTGCACATATATACAACCTGAGCCTACAATAGAGGGGCTCACAGCACCAACATTGCAGAACGTATTATTCCCCCAATAGCCACAGCCTTGGATTCAAGCAGAAATCAGACATGGCTCTCACTCAGGCTTCTGTCTGCTTCTGGCTCCCAGCTCACCCCCCTAACTCTGGTTTTTGTCCTTCCAATTGCTAGCCGGGGGGGGCACCCAGCCAGGTGAAGGGGGATCTACCCATTTATCCTCTGACACAGAGCAACTTCCTTTCTTATATTAACAACCCATACTTAGGGCCATTATGGCCCTTGGCTGGCTAACTCAACAATGGGATATTCCATTTCATTCCAGCCCTTTTTGGAGCCAGGAATTAGAAGGGACTCAAGCATACAGCCTAACTCCTGCCCCTAAACTCTCAACAGTATGAATAGAGATAAATAGGAACCCTGATATCTTAGCAAGTTAAACATATTTTTTAAAATAAAAAATAGAAAAGAGAGTATAAATATAGCTGACCCCATAATTGTTAAGGCGTACATGGAATATGAAGTGCTTCAGGTTTGCTAAGTTTAACAAATATTTCAAACAGCTGCTGGACTCCCCAGTAACCCTGCTGACTCCGGAGGGTTAAAAATAAATAACTTATTCATTTCTCATCTACTTTCTGTAGAGTTAAAATAGGAGACACATAATCTGCAAAGAGCCTTGAGTGCCAGTAGGCATAGAAGGGGCATAGGCAATCTTTAGTCAAGATATGTTGGCTCAATAAGTACCTGAGAGCAAGCTAAATTGGGGGCAGGGGGGGCACTGTACAGTAGGGATGGAAGGATCTGTCAATTTCAGTTCTCATTTTCTCATTTTTCTGATCTTCATTTCAGTTCTCCACGCTTCTGCAGCAATTTGAGAAAATCCTCATGAAAATTCTTCAGCATTTAATTTCTCCTAATAAACACATATTGTATACATGTTTGACTAATATACACATTTCGCAAGCAATTTTTTCTAATATAATGCATTTTAATCTGTTGTTTTCACTAATATATAATTTTATGCACACTTTTCCCTAATATATGCATTTTTTTATAAACGTTGAGAGAACTGCATCGCAAAATGTGGATAGGTCTGACTTTCTTACAGTGGATGGGTTTTGGTTCTTATATTGTTTCGGAAAGTGCAAATTGGATTGATTCGTTTTTAATGCAAAAGCAATCAAATTTCTTCCCAGCCCGTTGTGCAGTAGATGGGCCAAAATACTATAGATATATTGACAACTTTATAACTTGCAAACCAAAGAATAAGATTTCCCCCTTGCATCATACATTATATACATTTAGCACTGCCAGTTCTGCATTATTACATGCTTCCACTAATTATTTAAATATACTGTGGATCTCTTCCAGTCATTTTGAACCTTCCTGGCCCCAAATCAGGTAAAAGGGTGTCTGTAATAGCCCTAACATCTAACCTACAACAAGCAGAAGTCAGAATCAGGTCTGTACCTTTACATCTATTCTGACAAAAAAACAACAACCTGGAAATTTGCAGGTAAACAATTAGCCCAAGGTCAGTTGGGTTCTTGGATAACTAACATAACATTAAAAAGGAGTTCTGAAATGATGGAATGAAAATTGCTTTCTGTGCACTTTTTTCCTGTTTACGCTATTTTTAATATATACTTGTTTTGTAAATATATTTGTTTGTAAATATGTTTTTCAATATTCATTTGTTTACCAGCCATATTCTGATCATGGAGTTCAAGCATATCACCAAGTTTATGCTCAAGGTGCCATAGCCATGTCAGCCCCTGTGATGCAGCCTGAGTCTGTTAAAGTAAGGTCTATAACCTTCTTTTTCTTTGGGGGCGTGTTTTAGCTGATGGGGACACAATTCAAGTTGGATTGGGAGGTGATAGTGTGAGAAAGGCATAAAATACCCTTTCCCTTGCAAAAGTATAGGCATACTTAGTTTTAATTTTTTTATTGTAAATCACATTGAGCTTTTGGAAAGGTGAGGTAAAATAGATTACATAATTAACAAAAAATGAAAATCCTTTGCCACTTTATGTTGTTCTTTTTCTGACTTTACACTTGAAATTCTTTGAAACATTAGATGTTTGAGTAGATACTTAGTATATGCCATAGTCACAAAAATATTTCCAGTAGAGGGTGCTACAGTACTAAATGACATCACCAACAAAATTCAGTAGGAGCTAATCAATAACAAGCTATGAAAAATAATAATCATAGAAATGTTTCAATGAATTACAAATTCTATTTTCCTTTTCTATATTTTCTTTTATTTTTCAAAAAATTAATTATCTGACATTGTTGCTAATTGTGTGAATGGTGACCATTAGCAGTAGCAGCCGGTGAGGTGGGATGAAAGCAATACTCAGCTGCGAGTGGGGGCGAGTGTCCTTGTGGCCATCAGCAGCTGCCTCTGCTGTAACTTTGTGGTGTCTTACCAATAAGGGCAGAGGGTGCCTATACTCCCCACTGTCTGCTATTGATTTGGGTGAATATTTGGTGTGTAGTTAAGCCTGGCAGAAACTATTAAAAGACATTAGTCTACTGCAGAAGAAAGAGTTGCTCTTCCTTTGTTGTTTTAGTTAGATTTGTAAAATCATTTTGTAAAAGTTATATCACGATGTCTTATTTTTTTCACTTCCCTATTTATGTTGCAGTATATACTCTTAGCAAAGTGTAAAGGAATTTGTCCTTCAAAATCAGTTCAAATTAAGCTAATTAGCGATACACATACTTGCTTTGGGCTAGACTCATTATAGGCAGAAAGAGGGCTAACAATTTCAATGCAGTCTTTTTTTTAACTTCCTGAAATAATTCTACACACTGCCCTGCTTACTTACGCTATTGTACTGTACAGTACAATTGCATCATGCACAGAGGTTATGTTCTGGGGATGGCACTTCAACCCCAACCCCAACCCCCCTCATGGCCATCTTTACCTTTAAGCAATTTGCAGGGCCGTCCAAGTTCTCACAAGAGCCTCCGAAAGCCCTGCTAGCAAGCTCAAGAGCTTAAAAGCTCTTTCCATGCCAGGAAAAGCCAGGGCAGAACAAGGTTTTGAGCTCTTCATTTTGCGTGCAGTTAATTTGCGGTATTTCAACCAGCCAGCTTTCAACCACATAAGGTTGAAATCATGCAAGACACCATTGTACTGTAGTTCTTTTTTCCTTTATTTCAGGCTTAAAGAATTTTAGCTGTAGTTAGCTGCATTTAGAGCTTGGGTTCTTTTCCTCTCCTTTGACCTTAATGGGCTACATAGCCTTCTGATACTAGAACAAGGAGTAAGAATCCTAGCCAGACATGCAATTGGATCTGTGATTATGTTTCTGTTTTCCTCCTTCTGTGGAGTATGTCTTCCAAAGCAGAATCATGCATCTACCATACTTGAGAAACTTGCATGTTTTTATTAATATAGCTGTCTACATGTACAGCTCTGAGTATGGAAAAGTTCTGAAGCTTGGCTGACCAGTGCTGTAGCAGATGGTTTACAGGGTGTGCATAGAATCATAGACTTGGAAGGGACCCTGAGGGTCATCTAGTCCAACCCCCTGCAATGCAGGAACGTATCTTCCTGCTTAGATTTTTGTGTTTTGCTGCTGCTGCTGTGGCAACAGGAAATTTTGTTTTGTGGCTGCTAAGTAGATTCTTTTTCCTTTTCACTAGTTAGAATTCATTAATAAAGCAAGCTATTGGGTAGTTGTGTTCCCTCATATATTTTCATTTGGGAATCCTGTAGACCTCTGAAAATTGGGGAGGCATGATGTGCCCAACTCAGTATTAATCACAGCTGAAGAGGCATACTCAGAGCAACATCGTGCATCAGCCCTTGGTACTGAGCTGATTTCTAGAGATGAGGAAAAAACATAGAGAAGGAAATGGCTAGAAAGCAGTCTACATAGGCCACAACTTGCTAGACTAGCTGTGCAATAGGCCACCCACAGCTGAGAAAATGGCACACCCATTGAGTTTTCAAAGTCAGATTTTCTGAGCTCTGAATGAGAGGCAGGTGTTTTAGTTTTAACATTGTGCATATTCCCTGGAAAAGTGAGTGGAGAAAATGTGGCAGTTCCACAGTAAATGCAAAGTGTGGAAGCAGCCCAAGTGACAATCTGTCAAGGAACTGAGAGGACAGAAATTCTCTACACCATGAAAACTGCATGTCTGAAAGATGACTAAGCTAGAACCCTACTATCTGATATCCAGTATTCAATATGTTGAGAGCTTTAGCGCCTTCCCTTTTATGCCCACCTGGGGAACTCAGGTATATGGTATCCAATCTGGGCTGCATGTTCATGTGTTTTCAGCCATTTTAAAGAATGGAGTGCCTTGACTCCTGAATGCATAGCATCACAAGCCAGTAATTTCTTTTAAATAAGATTAAGCCTAACGTTTGTTATCTAGGGATGTGCCTTTTAAAACAACAAATATGCAACTAACCAGGACCTATTATTTCAACTTAAATTTGTTATAAAGCTAATGAACATGCCCACCAATATCTTCTAAATGTCCTACAGCTCACATACCATTGCCACCCAAATTCGCCAGAAATCCATCCATCCCTGGTTGTATCCTGACAGGTTATAATTATTTGGCTTCAAATAAATTCAGCATTGTGTTTAGACCCACCAAAGAGATGGCTACCAAAAGCAAACTTCTCCAGTGAAGAATCTCCAATATTATAGAATGGAGTTGCTACATCTGGGCATTTCAGTAAGAATGGGGGGCCAGTGGGCTGTTTTCATGGAGCTGGATACCATGTCCCTAAATCTTGACACCCCACTGTTAGCCCTAGTATGTCACAAGTGCTTCCTTGCCTTCCATGTTCACAGAGACACCTGGAACTGGAAATAGGCAGCTGCATAATGTAAGAGAGACAGACTGGAGTTTATGCCTTAATCTAAACCAGGGAACCTTTGGCCTTCTAGATGCTATAGGCTCAGACATGTTGGCTTCTGTCTCTTGTTTTATCTGCAGTTATTTGCTCAAACAACAGTTTTCTGTGACTTACCTTGGAGTAGATTACAAGATGGATTTAGAAAATCCGCCCCTCCCCAGTTTTCAACATGAATCACAGTATATATAGCTCAATTGGGGTGAGGAATCTCCAGCCTCCCAGTTGGGCCTCTAGGTCTAAAACAAATGGGGAAACCTTGAAATAAACAGGATAAGCTTCACATGCTCACTTAGGAATGTAAAGTGAACAAAGTAAACACTAACGAATATTCAGATAGCAATTGATCATACTGTTTCTGTCTAATAACTAACAAGGTGGAGTTAATTTATTCTCAGGGTTTGGAGATGCTGATGCAGTACTTCTAGGAGTGATAGGTATGCTACAGTATTTTCAGTACCAGTTCATCAACCTGGGTATTGTTCATCAACCTGTATTTTTTCCCACCCAGTTATGGGCAATTCTAAAAGACTTGGGTAATCTCTTTCCCTTAGATTAGAACAAGACACATTCCTTTGAAACCTCAGCCTTGTTCAGATAGTTCCAGGCTGATGAATCTTTCTTGTGACCTCTGTGATTACTTCCAGATAAGTACTGGGGACAGAGGAGAGATATATATTTTCTAATAAAAATTGTAACCCATTCCCCCCCCCCCCAAGAAGAGTTGTCCAAAGTGGCTAACAACAAATATAAAAATAAGCGACAGACAAAGCAACTGATTTAATAAAGTGTCTCATAAGATTTAGCAATGGTTGGGATTTTAGGAGCGTTGTCTTTCTACACAATGCACACACATTGCAATAATCCTTTCTAGGAGCAATGAACATGAGTGACCATGGCTGGGTCTAGCTGCCCAAAGAACAGGAAATCAGAAATTAGTCATGCTTTAATGCCATTAAAAACAGTGGGAATTAAGTTAGACGTTACTACCTTAAGTCTCATTAGTTCCAGTGTGGCTAAAATAGGACTAGTTTCCTCTGGAATACGTGAATTAACCCAGATAGTACTGGGACTACCTTGACTGAATAGAGAGCTGGCGTCCCGCAAGTACGTCATTACTGAAGCTACCTGAGAGCCTAGGAATTTCATGGTTGTAAAAAGAGAGAGAGAAAGGTGATTTCAACCTCTTTCAGAAGCTGCTGTTCATGAACCTGATTTATAGGAGACTGTTCTTGGCACAAGACTAATTGAGAAGAACGATGTAGTACGTAACATGCTGAAAATCAAGTGTAGGAATTTGCATACATGTACTAATTATTTGTGGATAAATAGAAAATTTTGCATAATTGACACTTGGTAATTCACATTTAACCAGAGTGATCACCTAGGACTGATGGGTTTGCTGATCAATCAGAAAATTCTTTGAAATTATTTTCCCTCAGGAAATTGAAAACAATCAAGAGCAAATTTGCTTTATTATGGTATAACTCCATAATCTTCAACAATTCCATGGGAAAACTAACGTGCCAGAGTTTCTTTTAGTGCTTTTTTAAGTCGGGTAGGAAATAGTTTTATATAGTCTTGTTGTTGCTGTTACTGTTTTAATGAAATAGATTTGTGTACCACTCTTTATCCAAAGATCCCAGTTTAGTTCACATGTGGTCATTTTGTGTTGTAAATTAATTCCTTCCTTTGCAGACTTTGTTTATATATTTAGCAGAATTGTCATATACCTGCTTAAAATGTATTGTAATAAACTGCTATTTTGAAATGTAGTTTTTTCCTCTTTATAGGAAGCCAGGATACATTCTGTAAGAAGAAATTTTTCTCATCCTTCTTCTATGAGTTTAAAGCCTCGTTACGCACGAAGTCCTCACTTTCATCCTAGAAAAGATTACAGATCAGATGACACAGTGCTCACTGCTCCTTCCTCTACAGACACTGTTAAATAGCACCATAGTTATACTTTATAGCTAATATGAAGGTGTGTAATTTTGTAGCTCCTAATGTATATTGAATACTGCTAAGTCAAAATGTCCTTGCTTTTTGTAAGGTGTTTAAAGACCTTGCACTTGTAAACATAAATTGCAGGATAAAATCATGGTTACCTTTATCAATTGGTATTCTTATATGGTGACAGACTTGTAATTGAGAAATATGCAGGCTATACATGTGCTGTTTATTATGCCATTTAAAACTAGCGTATTTGTGCTGCAAACCAAACTTAAAATTCATTTTCATCTGATAGGTTACAAGAATGACTAAGTACAATATTAAAAAACGTTTTTGCTTGATGGAAAACGCATGCTATGCTGGAATCTGAATATTTTATTTAACATTTGTATTTAAGCATATTTTTGGGGTTTTTTTAATAATTTGGTGCAAATACTGTTTTACATATTGCAACTGAAATAAAATCAATCTTTTTTTTAGTTTATAAAATTTTAAAGTAGTTCCATCTGCTTATGTCCACATATTTTTTCCTGATTTTTGTGACGGATACTGTTCTGAAGGATATAAAATACTACACACATTTTTGATACTATTTTGGATGTGCAAAAATACAAGCTTTGCATTAATAACATAATCTATTACAGTATTTGAAAACTTTCATTAAGCCTTTGTCTTCTCCCTGTGCAGGATCAAAATGAATCACTGCCTGTATCATGTCCTGAGGAGGAATACAATTATCCTCTTCACTACAAGGATTAGAATTGTTTATTCCCTGCTTTTGTTTTACAAGCTTTTTGCTGTAGTCTTTCAATTTATACTTATTCTGGCATAATAAATATGCCTGCTGTATTCAATTAGAATTGAAGCCTTTTTATCAAAGGTGAAGTCCAATTGTTTTATTTTTAAAAAAAGTCAGGTAAGGATTTCATAGAGTCAGTAATACAACGTCAGCAAGGTAGCATTTAAATAAATCTTTTAAGAACTACTGATACTGTCTTAACAGCGAACTGGAAATAAACAAACATTTAAATACAACCATATTACCTGCTTTTCCCACAGTGTACCTACCATTACACGTGGTTGGAGTTCGGATAAATTCAGACTTTTACTAAAAATTTATTTATTTTTCTAGTAACATGTTCACTCTTGAGTCTTTAAATAGGTTTGCACCTTTATAGAACGTAAAAAGATCATATGCAAAAATAATTTATACCTTTTGTAAAAATGTTTGTGATAACCCAGCAACTATCAGATTTAAGTAGTTTTTATGTCAAGTATAAAGAACTTGAATGGTTGGGGGTTATCTGTTTAATGTTACTGTTTTTATATTTGCAGAGGTTTTAAAATATATCTGTATAAATGTGTTCACATCTATTGAAACTGCTTTATAACTGTGAAAGGATTTGCTCAGTTGTATATATCCTTGTAAACAATATAAAAGTAGCCAAGAAAAGGCCATGTGTTCTGTTACTATGGCATTATTTCTAAGTATATCATGAAACCATTGTATATAGCTAATTTCATCCAAGCAATCAGGATCAGTTTTGAATCTTTTGCTTGGGTTCCCATTTTTACTTCGTGTATTAGACTAAAAAAAGCATAATATTCTGAAAATATTTCAAAATTGAGATGTCCAAAGAATGTCTGGCATTTAGAACTGCAATTTAGAAAACAATGTCATTCATACTTGAAATCCTTTGTTCTTACTGCTTGCGTTACGGAGTTATTGATATTTATATCAGGTTACATAATACCCAAGACTTTCCATTTTAGTTAATTCATTTAAGAGAGCAATATAAACGTCAGGATTAGATTTTTTTATCCCTGTTTGGCGAAGAGTAACTCAATACACACAAGTATAGTAATATAAAGAAATGTCTAATGCATAAACAGGTCCCTCCCTCATACCTAATTCTAAGGGGTTATAACAGAAGTAAGAAAGCTGTCTTCTACCCTTTGTATCTGAGGGCTGTTATCAATCCTTTTGAAATGCATGGATTTTTTTTAAATGCAACATTACATTATAGAATTTGGGCTAATACCTGGTCAACCATATTATCTTGAAGGCTAGTTGAATCTCATCTATTCCTTCCCCTGTATTATGTTTCTCCATAGAAAAAATAACTCCTGAGTCTAGTGTACTTATTAATTCACCTCATTTATATATTGAGGGTTAGCAAGCAAACATTAACAACACCACTCTGTGTTACAATCCTGATTTTAAAACTTTTATTTGGGATACATGAGAGAATCATATTTGCCATAGATTTAGAGATTGAATGAATTATTTAAGTAATGTTTACGATCATAACTCCAAACGTATTTTAAGAAATAAGTGAAGAACTACCATAATGTTAATTAAAACAGGACTTTTCCTATGACTGTTTTGAAATGTTCGAAAAATGTGAACACCAAATTGTTATTTGTGCTAGTGAACTGGGGAAAATTCACTTTAATCATCACATTGTCATTTGACATATCACTTTGCTATTTCTTTATGCTTTTTAACATACTCTATAATCCATGTAACAAAATAAACTACTCAACAAACTGCATTCTACTAATAAGATAGACAAAAGTAACAGAACACATGGCTTTGCATACAGACTTTCTACCTGTATTTTAGTATAGTTTTACAATGTAAGTTTATTGTAATATGTGTTAGTGTAAATGTTAGGGTAAAATGGTAGTTTTGAGACGCTCATACTGCACCAGCTTTTTAAGAAATGTAAATGTCACAAGCAAGATATTTGAAGAGATACGTATACAAATATACTAAGACACTAGATTTTTTTAATACACGGTAATTCCATATTACTGTGGAGCTCTGATTTTGAACAATGCTACAAAGTATAGCAGAAGAGTATTATTTTGTTTTGGGCTTCATTATTGGACAGTGTCGATCAGAGCTTTTGGTGTGATAACAAAACATAGCTGTAAAATGGCACTTGAAAGCAGGATGTATCGTGGGGTATTCTTTAACATATTTTCAAAGGAATATAAGAGTTTACTTTTGCCATGGTAATAAGGAGTAGTTCATAAAAATGCTGATCATAAGTAGAGTATTTTTGCATTGTCATACAATTCTAGCTAAATCAACAGGGTACCAACATGGCTCCTTATGCATTTACTATAGTTCCTGCAACCTTAAGTAAGTTAAGATAAATGTACAGAAAGATGTTTTATCAATAATTTTATAGTACTTCAAAGTTTTACAGATTTGTTCTCTAATCATTTTTTGTTTCAAATATGGGTATAATCCAGTCACACTGAAGGATTCTGTTAGGCTCAGTAGAGCCTTGATTTACACAAATCCCAAACAAGCATGAGGCAAGGAAGCAGCGTTGTAGGCCTATGTATGGACTTTCCATTCAACCTAATGCCTTTTGCACAACCTCTATACACACAATGGAGAAAGCATGTCTCTATGAACTATTTGTGCAGGGCTGCTAGGCCCACACTGGACTGGATTCTGCCATGAATGTATGATATACAGTAACAATATTGGTTCCTGTAGCTTGTACCATTTTTAAGAAGCCAATGGCTTTGTAACAAACGTTTCATCTAAATAAAGTATTCTTTATGTACTATTGGTAATGCAGATTTATTTTTAGAAAATAATAGAGACAGCAAAATAAAAGCAAGTTAGGGGGGTTTCATATAACACCTTATGATCAAGAAACAGAATCCTGGATAGAACTATTTTGAAGGTGTCGGGTCATGGAATAGTTTAGATCTTAATTATTCCAGTTCAGGGGTATCCTAGAGGGAGGACAAGGAGGGGGGTCATTGCTCCCCTTCTGGTGTTTCAGACCACATGGCCACATTAACTCTACCTGTGTATTGAGCAGCTATTGTTATAAACAATAAACTGGGCAATGTGTTGCTGTTTGATCTTAGTTGCTGCTGCTGTAGTAATAGGATGTAAAACGAAATTAACCACAAAACATAGATCCTTAAAATACCCCCCCCCCCCGTTTAATCTTGAACAGAATTTCCAAGAGTAAGCCTTTAAACCTAGTTGAGAAACTCCTCTTCTCAAATAATTTTGCCCCTTTCCATGTGAAATGGCTCGCAGCTCCGCTTGTATTCTATGGACAAAATTAATGGAATGCAGTATAAGACCAGGTGCCCCTCACCAGCTCCAGTTGTGCTATTGGATGCATGCCTTTAATTTGTTTCTGACCCAGCTACGTGAGAAGTTGAGGCAGCTGTGCACAGGAGGTCCTGGGTCCCCAGCTATACATAGGAAAGGTGCTCCGCCTACAAGAATCCTCATCCGGTGTACCCAGTGACTCCAGTAGTTATCCTGACACCCCGGTATGGCTCCCCTTTATCACATACACAGCCCAACAAGACAATGACAATAATCCACCAACAGCATACAAATCAATATGGCTAACCTGATCCAAAACACCCACCCACCTCACTCACACACGAAAACAAAGATCACCACAGCCAATCACACCCTAGGCCAACCCCAACCTCTCTCACCACCAAAGGAACACAAGTAACGCTGACACCAAACTCTACATACATTAAGCATAATAGAAACATTGCCACCCGACCCCACCCCATCCATCTTCCCTCCCCCCACTCCCCCTTTCTTTTTCCTTTCTTTTTTTTTTCTTCTCCCCCTAATGCCTCAACAAATGAAATGGATTTGTAAAAATGTTACATGGGAAAAAAATACGAGGCATTACACTTACTTCTGTAAAACAAGAAAATCCTTAATAATAAAAAAAATAGCAGTTATCCTGACTCCAAGGAGCCTTCCACTAGCAAGTGAGGTGTTGTAGGCAAGGTGCAATAATGGCAAAATGCAATATCTAGACAGCATTTTGGCTCCTCGGGTACAACAGAAGAACTGGCTTTATATTTGAGGGCAGTTGGTTCATCAACAAACATATGGGACATTTTGAATTGTTTTAAATATGGTTTTTAATGCTGTAACCCACCCATCTGTTGTATGTGCAGCCTTTGAAACCTTCAGCACGTTCCTTGAGAGGGCAGTGGGACACCCAACAGGTCACCCACTGCCTGGACATTTTTTGTTTGTTTGCGGGAGCTGGTGAATCCAGGGGCTGCCAGGACCTGCTAGCGGCCTTCAAGTGGCTATATGATGACTTAAGAGGTAGTTCCTCGCTGCCCACAAAAAAGCTTAAGGGTCTTCAGGTAAGCTCATTTATTTGGGCCTCTGGGTAGACTCTGGTAGCTTCCTCAATCCCTTCCACTCCTGTTTGCCATGGTGGCGTTTAATGCTGTACATCTCCCGTGGGTGCTTCCCAGCCGACTGGCAGCAAGAAACATCCCAGCAGCAAGGGCTGATGGAATGCAGACCAGATCTTTGCCCTCCTGCCATGCCAACCCTGCTTATCTGCTGTAAAACCAAAATTAAGTGGCCTGTTTCAGCCCACAAATGCCTATTCATTGTGCTTATTTCCACTGCTCCAACGAGCCTCGTACAGAATGATAAACTGATGGAGCAACATGAGATTTTTAAAATCTCAATTTGACATGAAGACCAGGAACTAAAAATAACCCCTGCATGACTATGCATTTTTGTTGTTGTTTAGTCGCGTCCGACTCTTCGTGACTCCATGGACCAGAGCACACCAGGCACTTCTGTCTTCCACTGCCTCCCGCAGTTTGGTCAAACTCATGTTAGTAGATTTGAGACCATCTTGTCCTCCGTCGTCCCCTTCTCCTTGTGCCCTCAATCTTTCCCAACATTAGGGTCTTTTCCAGGGAGTCTTCTCATGAGGTGGCCAAAGTATTGGAGCCTCAGCTTCAGGATCTGTCCTTCCAGGGAGCACTCAGGGCTGATTTCCTTCAGAATGGATAGGTTTGATCTTCTTGCAGTCCATGGGACTCTCAAGAATCTCCTCCAGCACCATAATTCAGAAGCATCAATTCTTCGGCGATCAGCCTTCTTTAGGCTCCAGCTCTTACTTCCACACATCACTACTGGGAAAACCATAGCTTAAACTACATGGACCTTTGTCAGCAAGGTGCTGTCTGCTTTTTAAGATGCTGTCTAGGTTTGTCATTGCTTTTCTCCCAAGAAGCAGGCATCTTTTAATTTCATGACTGCTGTCACCATCTGCAGTGATCATGGAGCCCAAGAAAGTAAACTCTCTCACTGCCTCCATTTCTTCCCCTTCTATTTGCCAGGAGGTGATGGGACCAGTGGCCATGATCTTCGTTTTTTTGATGTTGAGCTTCTATGGGAAATTTGGGCTGCTTTGTCTTATACAGCTGCCCCCAGTGCCTTTCTCTATCTTTGCAAGTCTAAAGAGAGAGATAAAAAATTCAAAACAGTGTTAACTAATATGAATAATTTAATAATAATTTTATTATTTATACCTATAACTATAAATGTGTTGTCTTACTCTCAAGGAAACTTAAATAAGCTGTATAAAGAAATCATTCATAGACGGGTCAAAGCTGAAGCAGTACATTTACTTGTAAGCGCTGAGATCATATAATCAGAATTGTAGAGTTGGAAGGGACCTTTAGGGTCATCTAGTCCAACCCCCTGCAATGCCAAAATCTCTAATGCTAGCTGCCAACTTGCAGGGGGCTTAAGACGCCTTTGAACAATGCAGTTGATAAGATTGTGGCTTAACTAGGCTGCATGCCCTGAAGAAATTAAAACAAATACAGTGGTACGTCGGGTTAAGTACTTAATTCGTTCCAGAGGTCCGTTCTTAACCTGACGCTGTTCTTAACCTGAAGCACCACTTTAGCTAATGGGGCCTCCTGCTGCTGCCACGACGCCACCGCGTGATTTCTGTTCTCATCCTGAAGCAAAGTTCTTAACCCAAGGTATTATTTCTGGGTTAGCAGAGTCTGTAACCTGAAGCGTATGTACGTAGCCTGAAGTGTATGTAACCCGAGGTACCACTGTATAAGCAACTAGTTGAAAATCCACTCCTTTGCTCTTTGTTTGCAAAAAGCCCCTAAAACAGAAGTTTTAAGAATTAACAGAAGCTTAACAGAAAGATTGCCATAGAGCTCTTTCTTGTATAATGTGAATCAAATCCCTCCTCCGGGTTTGCTATGATGTACATTTCATACTGTTTCTAAATGGGACCTATCAAAAGCAGAGAAGGTGCTTTTTTATATTTTTTAACTTACTAAGTTAATTACTCCAAATACAATTTGTACTGCTCTCTAGCCAAGAGAATCTTTTGCTATTGTGTGCATTTTCCCCCCAGCTGTCCTGTGCGAAGGAAGTCAGATCCAAACTCACATTTAAAACAAGAGTCTGAACTGCTTTTCATTTACTTTGCTCCCCTTTGAGATGCCAGAAGCAATTTCCTCTTGAAGTTGACTTCCTTTCTGGAAACGATTTTGTCTCAAACCATGTTGAGGCTCTCTGGTCCCATTATCTGACTGACTTGCTCTTTTTTGTTCCCTTTTCTTTGCTACTGCAGCAAAACAGACCTTCTGGCTGCAAGGGAATCACACTGAAGTTTTGCAGGAACTTTTTATTTCGGTTGTTTTCTCACATCATTATCAGCCAGCCAAGAGGGACAGACAAAGCACTCATTGGTGCCCTCTGCAACAGAACACTGCTAGCGGGGGCTGGCTGTAAATTGACGTGGCATGGAAAATCTCTGCTAAGTTTGTAACACTTTGTATGTTCCTGCAAGAGCAGTAACACTCTTGCCCAGGAGGACTTCGTCGCCTGAAAGCATAAAGGGTTATACGCCTGGGTGTAACTATGGCTGGAAAATTCCTCCTGTTTCTAACTTGGGACTTGAAGATTCTTTTTTCTTTGGTGTTGTGGCTAGCAGTAAACAGCATCTAAAACTTTGAGATTCCTTCCTCTTCTTTTTTTTTCTCTCCAATCAGAGGGAAACAGATTTTGTGGCATTCTCCATTTCTACCTCCACCCTCTTTGCACCTTCCTGCTCCCTGCCGGCTGTGACCATGGGGTGCGGACTCAGAAAACTAGAAGACCCAGATGATAGCAGCCCTGGAAAAATATTTTCAACGCTAAAGAGACCGCAAGTGGAAACAAAGACAGACTCTGCTTATGAGTACATATTGCTTGATTTTACTTTGGAAGGTAGGTATCTTGTTTCAGCAGTACTCTGTGCCAAAGGCTTAAAGGGGCAAAAGTTTTCCTTATTTTATTTCTTTGGGTTAGATACGGGGAAACTAATTCACGAGAATCTTTCAACACCAGTCACTGTTAATCATTAGGCCAATGGTTTAGAAATGTGTTAAATTGTGCGTATGAATGCCAGAAAAAAATGTGTATGCACGTAACAGTTAGCACATTGGTGCCTCTGTTCAGAAAAAAAGGTCTTTTTCCAAATCTGTGCATAGCTGAAAGCCAGTTTCTGTCAGTATCGGCAGTTCTGTTAAACTTGACAGTAAGCACTACTTAAGAGCACTTCTACAGTGGAAAATACCTTTTAGCTTCCTATTCTTTGTTTCATGTTCTGTTTTGTTTTTGTAGCTCAGGCATGGAAGGAAAACTGAATTTTGTGCAGTTAAAAGGCAGACAGTGTGGGTCTACTTCCCTCTTTTGTAGGGTTTTTCTTGTTCCTAACCGACTCCCTGTCCCAGAAAACATAAACAACCGACCCCAGACGGCTTCCCATTAAAAACAGGCAGTTCTATTCAGCTGTACAGTAGTTGCTTCAGGGACTCATAATTTTTGCTGAAACGTTTTGGTGTAGCTTCTCCATGGCTATACAGCAGTTCTTGTGGGTAGCTGATACTAGTTTTAAATGCTATGGTTGCAGTAGCCAGAATATATTAATGCAGATTACAAGTATAGATTTCATGAAGATTGTTGTGCAGGACACATTTTAGTCCATTACCTGCATTTTTGGCTTTTCATTCCGTATGCAATTCATTCATTTCTCTTTGGGTGAAGCAAAACTTATTTGTGTGGAGAAACAGTAGCAACAACGACAACATACTTTTGAGTCTCATGCTGGATTACCTAATACATAAGCAATATACTGGTCTATAAGTTTAAATTGGCAATTGATTTAATGCATTCTAGATTTTGTTTGCAGCTTTTGTTTTGCTACATAGTACGTAGCATTTTGAGTTGCATAGCTTTTGCGTTCCTGAAAGTAGTCTGATGGTGGTTATTTCTTGTGAAAAACAATTATTTTTCATTAAAACATACGCTTTAGCAACTGAACGCAAGGAGGAGGGGAGGTGTCTTTACATCACTGCAGTATTCCATGACATATACCAAAAAAATCAGGGTTCGAGCCAGAATTTCGGTTTTGCAAATGGAAAGACTCTATTCGTGGAAAGGGTTGCAATCCAGCAGAGACTCCTTCTGGAGGAATGGGGGGGTGGTAATCAGGCCCAGAGTCAGCAACTGGCCTGGTGGGGGGCAAATGTTAAGCCCCAAAGAACCCACTGGGGCTGACAACAGTCGCTGGCATCTTCCTTCTACTTTTTCACTACTAGGGCAACCCACCATTTTCTTTTTCCCAGAATGCTTCTGGGCATAGATGGCTGCAGCCTTGGGCGGCACTCTGCTTCAAAGAAATAAAGATGTTGGTGACCAGTCATCCCTCGCGGCTGTTCTGGAACCCAATATTTCTCCCAACACATCAGCTGTGCCCTCTGAGCTGGACTGCCTCTGCCCTACCCTGGCCACTGCAACAGGAGCCTCCGCTGAATTGCGGACTCTTCTGCAAACAGGAGTCCTTCCTGTTTACAGAAATCTGGGACTCCTGTGCACCACCTGGCGAGCTTATTACGGAGGATCTTGCCAGCATCATGGATGTTTTGTGTGTGTGTGTGTTTCCCAGAGGGCATCATGCCCAGATCCCCCCAGAACTGGTGCCAACCCTGGAAGCAATTTTCACAAATTCATCCTTCCTCTCCACTGCCTCCCACACTGTTATGGAGTACCCCTCCTTGACCCTCTGGAGCAGATTTTCAGAGAGGAGGAGAGATCTGTTGAAACCCATTTCCCACAAGCAGCACTGTGAGCGGAGTTCCCGCTGCAGCAACTCTGAATCTATAATCTGTCAGCAATATTGTGCTTAAATCCTTCCCTGTTGTTAAATTCGCAAACCCTTCAATGAACACGATCTGAATGTTTAGATGCACTCAGCTAGTTTTCTGTACAGTGGTACCTCGGGTTACATACGCTTCAGGTTACATACGCTTCAGGTTACAGACTCCGCTAACCCAGAAATAGTGCTTCAGGTTAAGAACTTTGCTTCAGGATGAGAACAGAAATCGTGCTCCGGCGGCACGGCAGCAGCAGGAGACCCCATTAGCTAAAGTGGTGCTTCAGGTTAAGAACAGTTTCAGGTTAAGTACGGACCTCCGGAACGAATTAAGTACTTAACCTGAGGTACCACTGTAATCTCATTAGGATTTCAGCAAAGACACAAGACCCCTTTTACTTGCAGTCTGATACAGTGATGCATATTTACGCAATGTAAGGCTCATGTTCAAAGGGACGCAGGTGGCGCTGTGGTCTAAACCACTGAGCCTAGGGCTTGCTGATCGGAAGGTCGGCGGTTCGAATCCTGTCAACGAGGTGAGCTCCTGTTGCTTGTTCCCAGCTCCTGCCAACCTAGCAGTTCGAAAGCACATCAAAGTGCTAGTAGATAAATAAGTACCACTCTGGCGGGAAGGTAAACGGCATTTCTGTGCGCTGCTCTGGTTCGCCAGAGGCAACTTAGTCATGCTGGCCACATGACCTGGAAAAACTGTCTGCGGACAAACGACAGCTCCCTCGGCCTGTAAAGCGAGGTGAGCGCTGCAACCCGAGTCATTCGCGAGTGGACTTAACTGTCAGGGGTCCTTTATCTTTACCTTTTTAAGGCTCACGTTCAGGCAAGTATTATTGCAACCATAATCACCTAATTATGGATGTCATCCTAATCCTAAAAGTTCATAATGATGTGTCTGTCTGCAGCTCAGAGGCAAGAGATACATCTCAGCAGTTCCATGGTACAATTACTGCTTCTAACGTTCTTGTGCAGTCTTTAGAACACTTAATCTTATGTTTTCGTTTGCTATCTTACCAAAATTTTGGAGCTGGCTATGTGTGTGTGTGTGTGTGTAACAAACAATGCCATCTAAATATGACACTTACATGTAAACACTGTACAAAACCAAGAAAACACACTTAATGTTTGGAATAATTCATCTACCTTACATGAACATTCCCAACAAGCTTCAGCCACATGATACAGCTATAATATAATACCATTTATGTGTGAATATTTTATTTAAGAGCATCCACACATTAACTGGTGAATGTCTAAAGGGACTAATTATATTGTACCATTTTATGGCTACAGTTGGGTACTGTCCTGCATTGTCCTGTACTGCATATTTTAATGCATAAACTGGAAATTTATTTACGTATTTAAAAATGTACTTATAGATTACCCTTTCGGGAATAGTTGAACATTGATACATCTAGCATACACATATTTGTTTAGGTCTGGTTCCTGCCTAAATACTGTCATCAAGCTGACTGAAAAGTAATTTATAGACTCTGCATGTCATTTAAGTACAAAGTTTTCATTTCATTTCATTTTTTATTTTTATTTTTTTGTTTGCCTTCTGTCCATCCCGGGGCAGAAAGTTACTTCTAGCATAACCGAGTTAGCCTAACAGTGGTTTGCCATAAAATGTTGATGTCTGTAATCTATTGTTTTATATCTGTGTTACTGGGATTCAACATTATTTTGTTTTCTACGTTCTTTAAGCCACCTTGAAAGGTCTCTGTCCTGAAAGGAAGCTTAGAATATAACTATACAGAATCAGTTCAGACCCCAAAACGAATGTGAGCAAACCAATGGAAAAATGCTGGCATCTGAGCTCGTCTAATTTTGCGATTTCCATTGACTGAAATTATGGTTCAGAGCTACCGACAACTCTATGGTACAGAATCTAATATTGAGCAGGAATTCCGCCTGCTGAAAATCTCAGCTTTTCCTTCTTATTTACTTTTAATAGATACAAGTTCCTAGCTCCCATTGATGCAAAAATAGGTTCGACAATATGTGAACAATGCCTGATGAAATCTAAAAAGCCATGGGATAGGTTAAGTAGGACTTGTAGGGGACAAGGCTTTGGTGCCTTATCCAACTCCTTAGCCCTGCCCACAAGTAGCAAAAACAAAATAAATTGTGCCAGGTAAATGCCTATCTACAAATGTGTGTGGTTTCTATAGGTCAGAGAATCTAGCTATCTTGATGTATAGAGTTTGCGTTTCTTAAATAAAGGTTTTTAGTATAGACTACATTCCAGCCCTCGATCTGTACTGTAGCCGTAATAGCTACTATTTTAATTTTTATAGCTTGCTCCCTGCACCTGTTGTTGTAACCACTAATCCTCCCAGCTTCTCTGAGTCAGTGGTGTGATATAGAGCCATAAGCAGAACAGCCAAGTTGTTTTAATTTCTCCTATTAGCAGATACCTACAGCGAAACCCCACATTGCAGCTTAAATTTTATATACAGAATATATATATAAGCTACTGTTTCTGTCCAGTGCCGTTGGAAGTCACTGAAATGTTTGTGTAATTGAAATCCCTTTAGCTTCCTCAAATCCAGAGGCGATCAAGATCAGCTCTGTGCTGGAAATTGCAAAAAAGGTGGAGGAATATTATACGAAAGGATATGTGGTAGGAGCTATTCACCCTGTTTTATTGTCAATTGGACGAAGAAGACACTTCCCAGCAAGTCACATTTATCGAGTCGTACTACTGCGTCTCAAACTGAGGTATGCACCATAGTAAATAAGTGTTTCTATTATTGTTTAATGTATTTATATCCTGCCTTTCTCCCAAATAGATAAGATAAACATAGAGCCAGGCCATAAATACTTTGTCTCAAAAGGTAATTCGGTTGCGTTCCAAGTAACACATTTGGGCGACTTTGTAATCAGGCCTCCATGGAGCATTAGCCAAACAAAAGAGTTGCCAAGACTGAATTCATAATATTTTGGAACGAAGGAAGTTGTGCGTGCTGGCATTTTGCACAAGATACATCAGACTGTAACAAAGGCTGCTTTCTTTCTGTCTCCAGCCAAAAGCATCAAGCATCCAGAGGACAGAGACAACCCAGACTCGTGATTGAGGAGTGTCCTTTGACATATGAAACGCTAACAAATGAGGTGGTAAAAGGACTGTTGGAAAAGGTAGGACGGTCTTAACAATTTCTCCTTGAAATATTTTGCTTGTAGGCTTTTCAACATGTCATGTAGGTTAATTTTTTCCACGTATGACTGAGCCTCCTCCCCTCATGTGCTCTTCTCAATTAGTCACCTCTTGATTTGCAGACCATAGTTTCATTTTAAATATGAACCTGCAAATGATGGTTTGTTCTTGTCTCGCAAGCCTGGGTTATACACCAGGATTTAATCCTGCTTCATAGGGCGGGCACAATCCATAGTTTGCTAGTTCAGATGTAATGAACTATGGCTTGCTACAATCCGCAATGTAACTGATGATGGATATGTTGTCACGTCACTCCTTGGTGTGTGGAGTGCCGCAGGGCGCAATCCTCTCCCCGATGCTTTTTAACATCTTTATGCGCCCCCCTTGCCCAGATTGTCCGGAGCTTTGGGCTGGGTTGTCACCAATATGCTGATGACACTCAGCTCTATCTGCTGATGGATGGCCACACTGACTCGGCCCCAAACACACTGACCAGATGCTTGGAAGCTGTGGCTGGATGGTTTCGTGGCAGCTGATTGAAACTAAATCCTTCGAAGACAGAGGTCCTCTGGCTGGGTTGGGATGGCATGGGGATGAGGGACCAACTCCCTTCTCTTGCGGGGGCCCAATTAGTGCCATTGCCTTCCGTTAAGAGTTTGGGTGTAATCCTTGACGCCTCCCTTTCCATGGAGGCGCAAGTTATAGCAACAGCCAAGGTAACAGTTTTCCACCTTCGCCGCATCAAGCAGTTGGTCCCTTACCTTTCCTGCCCTGACCTGGCCACAGTGATCCATGCGACGGTCACCTCCAGGCTTGACTACTGTAATTCGCTCTATGCAGGGCTGCCCTTGAAGCTGTCCCAGAAACTCAAGCGGGTGCAGAATGCTGCAGCGAGGCTCCTCACGGGGTCTCTGACATGGGAGCATATTCACCCAGTGCTTTTCCAGCTGCACTGGCTCCTGGTGGAGTACAGGGTCAGATTTAAGGTGCTGGTTTTGACCTTTAAAGCCCTTCACAGCCTAGGACCCTCATACCTATGGGACCACCTCTCCTGCTATGCCCCCCGGAGGACCTTAAGGTCCATATAGCAACACCCTAGTAGTCCCGGGCCCTAAGGAAGTTAGATTAGCCTCAACCAGAGCCAGGGCCTTCTTAACACTGGCTCCGGCCTGGTGGAACGCTCTGTCTCATGAGACCAGGGCCCTGCAGGATCTGATTTCTTTCCGCAGGGCCTGTAAGACAGAGTTGTTCCACCTGGCCTTTGGCTTGGAATCAGTTTGATTCCCTCCCCCTCTTTCTTTTTCCTTTCTCCTCCTATGAAGAGATTGCACCCTAATGTTTTAATGTTGTATTTTAATCTTTTAAATTGTATTTTAATCGACATGTGCTATTTTCGCACACCAGTGCGCACTTCTTTCTTCCCGCACCCAGACTCCTGTATAAGGAAAGCATCACATGCAAATGACCCCTCACCGTGTTTCTAATTTCTGAATAATAATTTAGAAATGATTTCTAAATGCACACAGCTTAATTATAACTGTATTTGTGTGTTGGGGGGGAAATATATAGATCAACGATGCCGCAAAAAGAGGAATGAAGTTTGTCGGATTTATAACACAACCTTGTCCAAAATCAAAAATCTGCAATGGCACAAGCACAGATGGGAATGCAGAGTCCGATTCAACCCTAAGCAGAAGGAGTAGGGAACAGAGAAGACACAACACAGATGACAGTGATAAGCCCTGGAATGAAGGGACTCTGAGTGGACAGTCCTCTGAGAGTGGCATAGAAGAAGAAATCCAGCCAGACATTGGGCAGTTGCGGGAGACAGATTTTCATGATGGAAGAGAAGGCAGTCCTAGCCCCACTAAACTGAGGAAAGAAGGTACTGAAAATTGCTACATATATAGTCTTAACTATTTCCAAGGAATGTAAGTATCCATTTTTGGACACGATTACCATCCAGACTGGTTCAAGATCTGAAGGTGCTTTTGGACCCAGCCATCCCCCCCCCCCTCCAACATTAGCAAATACCGTATTTTTTGCTCTATAAGACTCATTTTTTCCCTCCTAAAAAGTAAGGGGAAATGTGTGTGCGTCTTATGGAGCGAATGCAGGCTGCGCAGCTATCCCAGAAGCCAGAACAGCAAGAGGGATTGCTGCTTTCACTGCGCAGCGATCCCTCTTGCTGTTCTGGCTTCTGAGATTCAGAATATTTTTTTTCTTGTTTTCCTCCTCCAAAAACTAGGTGCGTCTTGTGGTCTGGTGCGTCTTATAGAGTGAAAAATACGGTGGTGATGGCAGGAGGTGATATATCAATATATCACCCAAAACCATTTCGAAGTCCATATTGTTATACTGGTTTCATAATTTTTGTCCTGGCAATATATCGCAAATCATGGTGTGTGTGCGTGCTATGCAGAAATCACAATGTGGAGAAAACCGTGACGCCAACCACCCTTAGCTCCATCCTTATTTCAGACATCATGATGTATCAGTATATCACAATGTTTAGCTGGCGATATATCGTGATGTTGAAATCCAGATATTGCCCAGCCCTACTGTTCGCCTCTACATAGTTCCATCCTTATTTCAGATATTGTGATATATTGATATATTGATATATCATGATGTTTAGCCGGTGCTGTTTCGCGATGTTGAAAACCAGATATCACCCAACGTGGCTTCCCAAACACAAAGCTCGCTGTGGGTAACTGAGAGGAGGAGGGGCAGGGCAATCAGCATGGCAAAGGCACAGTGTCAAGAGTGTCCGGTTGGTGGCAGTGGTGCACCTGCACTGCTCCAACCTCCCACCTCCTTGCACTTCTCCCTCTTAAGTTACTGGCAACAACCTCCATGATGAGAAGCTGGGTAAGCTCCACCAGCCACAATGGCCAGCTTCAACTTTTATGAGTTCCTCTTGCTGTGCAAGCTGTGCCCCTTTTTAGAGCAAGGAAATCTTACCATGCTGATCCATGGTTTTGTGACCTTTGTTATTGCAAGGTACTCCTTAAGTGCGGGTGGTGCTGTGGTCTAAACCACCAAGCCTCTTCGGCTTGCCGAGCAGAAGGTCGGTGGTTCCAATCCCTGTGACTGAGTGAGTTCCCGTTGCTCTGTCCCAGCTCCTGCCAACCTAGCAGTTCGAAAGCACACCAGTGCAAGTAGATAAAAAGGTACCACTGTGGTGGAAAGGTAAATGGCATTTCCATGCATTCTAGTTTCCGTCACGGTGTCCCATTGCTCCAGAAGCAGTTTAGTCATGCTGGCCACATGACCCGGAAAGCTGTCTGTGGACAAACACCGGTTCCCTCGGCCTGGAGTGAGATGAACGCCACAACCCCATAGTTGCCTTTGTCCAGGGATCCTTTATCTTTACCTTCACTCTTAAGGCTGCTCTTGAAGATGAACTTCCACAACAGGGGTGGGTCCCCAACATCTGGAGAGTCACAAGTTTGCCACCCCTATGGTATAAGATAATCTAGAAGAGGCAAGGGCTTTCTTGACAGTGACATTCTCATTATTGTAAGGCCCTCTCCAAAAAGGTTCACCTGGTGACAACACTGCTGACATTTGATAGCAGGCAGCAGAATTTTTATTTGCCCATGCATTTTAATAGATTATATTAATTTAACTGAACAAGTTTTAGTCTGTTTGAAAGTTTTTTGCTGATTTCTTGTTTTTGATGGGGTGTGGTGTGCTTTTATGCTGCACACCGCCCTGATATCAGATTGTTTATTTTTAAATAAAATAAATATTAATTTAGCCTGGAGCGCTTACAAAATGCTTCAGCCCATCTGCTGATGATTGTGGCAAGAACATAGGTAACCCGTTCCAATGTAACTCCACTGAATGCTTGTGGCGTTTTGGGCCCAGCTCAACATGTTGGTGTCGACTTTACAGCCTGAAACAAACCTAATTCAGGGAACTGCCTCTCTCTGTGTGAGTCCCTTTGCCAGCTGCAGTCCTCAGAGAGAGCGTTGCTCCATATTTTCACATGATGCCGCATGCAGTCATCATCAGCTGGTCACAGGACTTTTGTTGCAGTCACCCTGAGGTTTTGGAATGTCCTCCTGAATGAGGTCAGAAATAGCGTGTCCCTGATAGCATTACAGAAAGCTTGCAAAATTCACCTATTTTGCATGGCATTGCTTCAATGAATATGATGGTCATTGGGTGCAGTCTCAATTGCTAGGATGTGGTTTTGTGAACTTGAAATTGAATTATTGGTCATTATTACATGCATGCATTAGGGACGCGGGTGGCGCTGTGGGTTTTATTAGGGATGCGGGTGGCGCTGTGGGTTAAACCACAGAGCCTAGGACTTGCCGATCAGAACATCGGCGGTTCAAATCCCTGCGATGGGGTGAGCTCCCGTTGCTCGGTCCCTGCTCCTGCCAACCTAGCAGTTCGAAAGCACATCAAAGTGCAAGTAGATAAATAGGTACCACTCCGGTGGGAAGGTAAACGGCGTTTCCATGCGCTGCTCTGGTTCGCCAGAAGTGGCTTAGTCATGCTGGCCACATGACCCGGAAGCTGTACACCGGCTCCCTCAGCCAATAAAGCGAGATGAGCGCTGCAACCCCAGAGTCGGTCACGACTGGACCTAATAGTCATACTTGCCTAAGTTGCTATAACTTTCTTCTTGATTACCTATCTTCGTGCCCTATATCTGTTCTTTGGTTAATACAGAATGCCTACACTGCCTCTATCTGGAAAATGCAAAGACCAAAGAACAGATATAGGGCACGAAGACAGGTAATCAAGAAGGTGAAAGGTGAATCTTGGAAATGTTGAAAAGGAAGTTGCCGTTGTCTGAAGTTCAGTATGGGGAAAAATCAGAACTCTTTGAAGGGATGTCGGCAGCATAATTGCAGAGACCAGATTATGCCGTGAGATGCCAGCAGTGTAAAAATAGATTGGATAGATGAGAAAATTAGAGCACTGAGAAAGGGGATGTAAAACAAGACGGGCAAAGTGCCTAGGACTGGGCAGGGAAGATTCAAAAGCAGAGCTGTCCAACTCAAAAAGAGACAGAGAATGAGCATTTTGAGAGTTAGGAAAAGAACTCAAAGATGAGACAACCTTGTTCTGTCTAAGGAGAAGGAGGATTTCAAATGTTAAGCACCTCTATTAAGTTGTCTGTCGGCTCAGAAGCTTCCTGCATATTGACTTTCAACACCCCACTTGAGTTTAAATAGTTTTCATTTGCCATGTTGAGGCATTATGTCATGAGGTATGGACAAGTTTAAGTCCTCTCCACTTGAAATACTGATAACTGCTCTTGATAAGTGTTCCATTTTTAAAAGGTTAATCTTAGTTACTCCATTCCTCCAAACCCTCGTTATCCCTGACTTCTTTATTTTCTAATATCTTAACAGATAACAAATTGTATACAGTCTTCAACGTCTTCGAGGATGATTCCACCTGTTGGACTTATCATGACGGTGTTTTGTCTCTAAAAGTGTCGAGGAAAGGACCGGTGATTAGTACTTTGGATGCTGACTGGCTAGAGTTAACCACGTTTTATTACAAACAAGGGTTGTCCTTAATTGACTCATTCGTACACTGGGAGGCTTCTAAAGGTAACTGTAATCATACCATTCGTCTCTTTGCACCTGAAAAAGGCAATAATAGTATTATTTATTTCAGAACAGTAAAGGACCTAGATAATGTAGTGGCTTCTCTTACTTAATCAATGTTGTACAATAAGAGTAGGAAGGAGGAAATGATTATTGTGAGGGAAGACACAAATTGTAGAGAAATATTCTATTTTTTCAGCAAGTATTATTTTTCTAACAACATTACCGTATTTTTTGCTCTATAAGACTCACTTTTTCCCTCTTAAAAAGTATGGGGAAATGTGTGTGCGTCTTATGGAGCGAATGCAGGCTGCGCAGCTATCCCAGAAGCCAGAACAGCAAGAGGGATTGCTGCTTTCACTGCGCAGCGATCCCTCTTGCTGTTCTGGCTTCTGAGATTCAGAATTTTTTTTCTCCTGTTTTCCTCCTCCACAAACCAGGTGCGTCTTGTGGTCTGGTGCGTCTTATAGAGCGAAAAATACGGTAATTTTTCTTACAGAATTAGATGGCAAAAAAGTAGGGGTGTTTGTGAGTGAACCGACCTGATTCACAACTCCTAAACTAATACACGGATAGGAACACATTTGTCTTTCGTTTTTCTGAATTTTGTGATACCATTCATAGCTCTAATAATGCATCAAAATGCATATAAAAATGTGTCTTTTAGGATACCCTATTTGATATGGTTGTTTCTGAAGGAGGAGAATAGCACATAATTGGTTACTTATGTGATTGGAAGTTCAGGCTTCAGTGTGATTGTTTGGTAACTGAAAAGCTTCAAGTTATTTAAAGTAGCATGCTAATTTTTCACCCAATATTCATTTCTTTACTGTTACTATCACTGTTTGTGATAGCTGGGTATGAATGGAACAAAGGGCATCAAGAACAGTTTCTTTGTGTGAGGTCTCTTCTCTGAAGAGCTGCTTCTAACAAACATTTCACACAGTCCTTGTATGGAAGATATTCAAGTGAGAAGCATTAATAGCTAAATGATAACATTAAGAAAACCTCTTAAGTGAGTAATTTTATGCCTGCTTAGTGCTTTATATTTTACACATTAACATAAAGTATATGTAAACAAACAATAACGTGGTTCATTTAAGAGGTCTTCTTAATGTTATCATTTGGCTATTAATGTTCATTTTAATGCTTTCCATAACTGATTTTCCCTGTATGGAAAATAGTTGAACATAAACAATTTTAATATGGCAATTAGATATATTTATTAAAATGTTTTTATTCCTTTATCTTTGGAAACTAAACCTTTCTAGATTTTGTTTTAGTATGTCGTGGGTGATTGACTGTGTTTGGCATTTACAGAGAAAAGTACATACAGTATAGTAACGTAACAGATCGTGGAATTAAGTGTGGGGACTCCACAAGTTGCTAGCACCATTACTTGGAAATAGCAAATGATGCCCTGGGTTGATCTGTAGGAAAAATGTGTCATCTCCCTTTCTCAAAAGGACCTCTAAAATGGTCATGTGTTAAGAGAGAGAAGGAAGAGTGTGCTCCCAATGTCTCACACTGATGATGTCACTTCTGGGCACACTTAATTCTGCAGCATACTTCACAGTGATGATAATGTGTGAGGGTGTGACATCTTGGTATATGCAGGTGGCGCTGTGGTCTAAACCACTGAGCCTCTTGGGCTTGCCAGTCGGAAGGTCAGCGGTTTGAATCCCCGCGACGGGGTGAGCTCCCATTGCTCTGTCCCAGCTCCTGCCAACCTAGCAGTTCGAAAGCACGCCAGTGCAAGTAGATAAATAGGTACCACTGTGGCGGGAAGGTAAACTGTGTTTCCATGCGCTCTGGTTTCCGTCATGGTGTTCTGTTGCGCCAGAAGTGGTTTAGTCATGCTGGCCATCTGACCCGGAAAGCTGTCTGTGGACAAACACCGGCTGTCTCGGCCTGAAAGCGAGATGAGCGCCACAACCCCATAGTCGCCTTGGACAGGACTCAACCATCCAGTGGTCCTTAATATCCTAAGAAGTGTGTGAGAGAGAGGCAGGCAGGCAGAGATCATCTGAACATTATACAGCTACAACAGATCAGAGGACAACAGTTCAAGCACTGTTTCTCTCTCTTTATCTCTCTCACACACCCCCTTATATCTAGCACATGCAACGTGCCAGGAATCAGGTACTGTGGTACCTCAGGTTACATACGCTTCAGGTTACAGACTCCGCTAACCCAGAAATAGTGCTTCAGGTTAAGTACTTTGCTTCAGGATGAGAACAGAAACCGTGCTCCGGCCGCACGGCGGCAGCAGGAGGCCCCATTAGCTAAAGTGGTGCTTCAGGTTAAGAACAGTTTCAGGTTAAGTACGGACCTCCGGAACGAATTAAGTACTTAACCCGAGGTACCACTGTACCTCCTTTTTACAGGCTCTTTAGGAGAGGGAAATGACATATTTCTTCTACACAGTAATTCCATACCAGGTTTTGTGTGTGTGTGTGTGTAATCTCTCATGGAGAATAGCACTAGAAGCTGGTGCAATCCACACTTGATTCCATGATCAGTTTAGTTAGTAAAGGTGACATTATTTTTCTCTGTAGACTCCAAACACAGAAGAGTGCTGACATGCTAAGACAGAATAGGAAGAAAAACACCCTAATTTGAATGTAATAAAAAGCAGCTACAGTAATGATATATTTCTTAACAATTCAAGGTTTCTATCATTTACTTCCTTCTTTTCTTGTTTCCCCAGCTGACTACTTGCCCAAATCATTAGAAGGTTTATTTATATATGAAGAAGAAGGCACAGGAGTGCCCGGTTCAAACAGGAAAGGAAATGATGCCATTGTTGTAGAACAATGGACTGTAATTGAGGTAAATGCCTTGTTTTTGTTTTTATGTATGCAAGTTAGTCTCAAAGGTTTGTTTGTCTCCTGATTCAGAATGATATTGATTACAAATTTAGTTCAAATTAGTAAATCAGTATAAGCCAGTCTGTAAAATGGGTGCAACTGAGTTGGCTTGAGTTGGAAAACCCAATTACTATATTTTCTTGTAAACGCTCTTAACTAATACATAAATATTACTAAGGAAATATTGATAGTGTAGCTGTTGGTCAGGCCTTTAAGGTTACATACCGATTCAAACTTTTGAGGCACACACTAGCAGATCGTAGTATCTGCTACTTAAAATACATCATAGCAGATTATTTCATTCAGCAAGAAGCCTCTGAATAAATATCAGGAGCTTGCCACAGTTGTATATTGCGATTTCTGCGTCACACATTCTTATTTGAACATTCCGTGCAAAATATGCCTGGCAGACAAACTTGAAAAACCACACATAGGTTTGGGTTGATGTTTGGTTTGGGCCAAAGAAATTAGCCACTGTACTGCTGACAGTATATATATGGTGGCAGCTTCTGCTGGAAAAACTGAACCTCTTGCTGAAATGATGAAAATGGTTTCTAGGAAATGACGAAGCACAATTAGCTGACTCGTTAAGTTCCCCAATCAAGGTGGCCTCTCAAAAATGTGTTTGCCTTTGAAATATTTTTTCCCACCCCGCTTTGGGGATGAGGGCAGCTTTTCTAACCACTAGGCATTCTACTTTTAAATTACACTGCATTTCAAAAATCCTTAACTTTGGAAGGGTAAGCCTTTTGAAAAAAAAAAAAAAAAGTAAGGGGAAGTAGTGCATAAAATAAGTACCGTATTTTTCACTCTATAAGACGCACCAGACCACAAGACGCATCTAGTTTTTGTAGGAGGAAAACAAGAAAAAAATATTCTGAATCTCAGAAGCCAGAACAGCAAGAGGGATTGCTGCGCAGTGAAAGCAGCAATACCTCTTGCTGTTCTGGATTCTGGGATAGCTGCGCAGCCTACATTCGCTGCATAAGACGCACACACATTTCCCCTTACTTTTTAGGAGGGGAAAAGTGAGTCTTATGGAGCAAAAAATACGGTATCTAGTAAAGTAGTTCTGTTAGCACAGGGGCTTTTGGCTGAGCAACTGAGCTTCCTCTCCCCGTGTGCCTCCTGCACACCCCATAAATCTGTTCTCCCTCCTGAGTAAATTTGAAGTATGGGGACATGCAGAGAGAGGAAGTTCCATTGTGTAAAAGGAAATCCTAGTGCTCGCAGAACTACTTCAGAACTACTTTGTTGTATTATACCACCCAATGGCTCAATTCTGATGTCCATGCATTCAAACAGAAGGAAGAAGCAGCAAACTTAACTTTTCATTTTAAACATGGCTTGTTTCCTCATCAGCAAAAGTGGCTTTGGCAGAATATCCAGATTTCTCCCCCACACAATTGCTATGTTTGATCAGCATTAATTAAGAAAGCAGAATCACAGACTCATAATTTCCTTGTTTGCTCTCAGTTCAGCGACAGAGTTAAAGGTCAGTCAGGCACATAACATCCTTTTCCCTTTTCTTTTTGTTTCTGTCATGGGAGGAAGGGCAGGGCATACATTAAAGTTAAAGTAATAATATAGTAAAGTAATTATAATAACAAATAACAACTGGGTATGGGGGAAAGAGGGGAGATGAAATTTATATGTGAGAATAACATGGAAATCAGATCCAATGTACGTTTACCAAATTTGAATAGCTAAATAACCAAGAATAGCCAAATAGCATAAACAGACTTTACCAGTAATTGTCTGAGATATCTAACTTCTCAGGTTTAGCAGAGTTAATTGTGTTGGGCCAATAATGCCATTTTTCAGAGTTCATCTGCCTGCCACGCACATTCTTTTTCAGTCATGGGATTAATTAGGCATTGGAACTGCTGTGCCCTTCCTGATGGGGGGGCAGATGCCCCCACCTCCTATCAGGAACTGGATCCTAGCCTGTACCCTGCTTTGGCAACTGGGGATGCTGGCTGGGACTTGGGCTGCGCCAGGGGGCGGAGCTGACAGAGCGGGTAGGCTTCCCTCGGATCTGCCCATTTAACCAGCCCCTACCTGGGGCTCTACCTGTTCGTTCCCTCGCCGATTTTCCCGACCCACCCACCCTCAGTTTTTAGCTGATAGTCAATAATAATAATAATACAGTGGTACCTCGGGTTACATATGCTTCCAGAGGTCTGTTCTTAACCTGAAACTGTTCTTAACCTGAAGCACCACTTTAGCTAATGGGGCCTCCTGCTGCTGCTGCGCTGCCGGAGCACAGTTTCTGTTCTCATCCTGAAGCACAGTTCTTAACCCGAGGTACTATTTCTGGCTTAGCGGAGTCTGTAACCTGAAGCGTATGTAACCCGAGGTACCACTGTATTTGGCTTGTGGAAATGCTTGCTGCTCTCCCCAAATATACTAATGCCTTTGGTTTTTTTTTTTTATATAGGGCAGTGAAATCAAAACGGATTATGGTCCTTTGCTACACACCTTGGCTGAGTTCGGTTGGCTTTTAACGTGTGTGCTGCCTACTCCAATCATCCGACTGGACAGGTAGATGAAAACGGTGCCTTTCTCTCTCTAGTGCATGGCAGCCCGACTTGCGGGGACATACCTGCTCCTGACAACACACGGGGTCTGAAGTGATGCCACCTGGCAGGCAGGGCTTCTGCTTTCACCTGAGCAGCTCTGTCTCAGAGGCACAGTTCTCCAGAAGCGCCAATCAAGGGCTTTCAAATGAGTCACACGCACACCCAAAATTAAAATGCTGAGCAGGGTCTCCGTCCCTCTTGACTATAATAATAATAATTTATTATTTATACCCCACCCATCTGGCTGAGTCTCCCCAGCCACTCTGGGCGGCTCCCAATCAAATGTTAAAAACAGTACAGCGTTAAATATTAAAAACTTCCCTAAACAGGGCTACCTTCAGATGTCTTTTAAAGATAGGATAGCTGCTTATTTCCTTCACATCTGAAGGGAGGGTGTTCCACAGGGTGGGCGCCACTACCGAGAAGGCCCTCTGTCTGGTTCCCTGTAACCTCACTTCTCGCAATGAGGGAACCACCAGAAGGCCCTCTGCGCTGGATCTCAGTGTCCGGGCTGAACGATGGGGGAAGAGACGCTCCTTCAGGTATACAGGGCCGAGGCCGTTTAGGGCTTTAAAGGTCAGCACCAACACTTTGAATTGTGCTCGGAAACGTACTGGGAGCCAATGCAGATCTCTCAGGATCGGTGTTATGTGGTCCCGGCGGCCACTCCCAGTCACCAGTCTAGCTGCCGCATTCTGGATTAATTGTAGTTTCCAGGTCACCTTCAAAGTAGCCCCACGTAGAGTGCATTGCAGTAGTCCAAGCGGGAGACAACTAGAGCATGCACAACTCTGGCGAGAGAGTCCGCGGGCAGGGAGGGTCTCAGCCTGCGTCCCATGTGGAGCTGGTAGACAGCCGCCCTGGACACAGAATTAACCTGCGCCTCCATGGACAGCTGTGAGTCCAAAATGACTCCCAGGCTGCGCACCTGGTCCTTCGGGGGCACAGTTACCCCATTCAGGACCAGGGAATCCCCCACACCTGCCCACCCCCTTTCCCCCAAAAACAGTACTTCTGTCTTGTCAGGTTTCAACCTCAATCTGTTAGCCGCCATCCACCCTCCAACCGCCTCCAGGCACTCACACAGTTAACCAAGTCAGCCTGAGGAGGGAGGTTTCTCAGTTCTGTTTGTAAGCAGCAGCTGTTGGGTTTCTTACCTTATTGTGAGGGTCTCCAGCTGTTTTTTGACTGCAACTCCCATCATCCCTAGCTAGCAGGACTAGTGGTCAGGGGTGATGGGAATTGTAGTCCAAAAACAGCTGGAGACCCAAGTTCGGAGATCCCTGAATTAGAACAATTATGGTATCCCTCTTCTGTGATAGATTCAAATAGGAGTGACCGTTTCACCATAATTACAAAGGCTACCAACTACTTCACCAGAGTTTGTTGCTTGGGAAGGAAAACTGTCCGCGTAATTTTGGTGGTGGGTGGAGTAGCTCAGGAACTGATCCAAGCAAATACGTATTTTTTCCAAGGGAGTTGACCTAGTTTCTGAATCAATTCTTCTTTTTAAGTGGAAAAGCGGCGCTAGTGTTCCAGATAGTGTTGATAAAATACTCGAGTGCAGGGTTTTTTTTCTAAGGGAGAAGAGTACATTGTTGTCCCAGAAAAGAAAAACAGAAGCAACTGAGATTTGGGAGTTCCCTGTTTTGTTTTTAAAAAATTGTAGCCTGAAAATCTCCATCAAGACTTAAGCTCTGATTAAAAATCTGTCCTGAAATATTTGGTGGGTTTTTTTTAAAGAGAAGAATCACGATTTTGTTTTTGTTTTTTGTCCCATAGTTTCATTCTGAATATTTTCTGCACTTTTGTTGTGGAAAATAAATTGGGGATTTTATTTATTTATTTATTTATTTATTTATTTATTTCTAACCCATCTGACTGGGCTGCTAGTCATACAACTGAATCACAAAAACTGTTACGCAGTAGTGAGACATCTGTCAAAAGACATTCATTTTAGCATGAACATGGTATTGCTGTTGTCTGAATATGCTCATTCTTTTCTGATCAACTGAAACCTTTAGAGCAGCATCGCATTTGCTATTCTTCAGGATCTGAAATGATCAAGTAGGAACAACCAGCAGAAGGGAAATTGTCCCAAATTGCTTTCCATCAACATCCTTGCGGATTTTAACCACAACAAGCGTTTAAAGGCAAACAGGAAACGGCTCCTGGCTTGATTGCCTGTAGAAGGGAACTGGGGCATCATAAGCAGAAAAGGGGAGGTAGAGGAAGTCGGAAATATTACATAACTAGCCAACTCTTGCAGACAATAATATGTGAGTTATTGAGTGGTATGATTTATCATGTGCTAATACTGAATGAGCACTGTTTCTGAACCATGATGGGTATGATTGTGGAAATAAAGGTAGAAAATTAAGGGAATATTCCAGACATCGGTAGACTAAGGAATCTCCACCAGATGGTGGGATGCAGACGTGCATTATTGAAATATACTCAGAGTCGAGAGTGGATTTCATGCTCTTTATTCAGCTCATAGTGGTGAGGAGGAATGAAAGTTTCCCCAAAGTATCTGCTTTATATACATTGTTTACACAATGGGCTGCACGTGACTGGCTAATTCCGGGATTCTCCCGTAGACCAATCAGGTTGCGGATTCACTTCCATCTGGAGCTGGATTGGGTGGCTCCTGCAGACCAATCATACTGCTGCATTGTTCTAGGACCAATCAGACTGCTGCATTTTGGATCCTATTGTTCTAGGACCAATCAGACTGCTGCATTTTGGATCTGTAGTGGTTCTAGGGGTTGCTCGTGCGTAAGCCGGTGCAAACATCTGGCTGGGTTGCCTGAGTGAACCTTTTCTGTCCGGACAGCCACTCACCCGTGGCTGTCTCAATCGCTGGCAGAATCCGTCAGTGGGCGTTTCTTAAACTTCTTCCAGCAAAGAAGCTCTTTGATGCCTAGTCTCCTCCTACTCTCTCTGCGCGAAAGCCTTCTGCGCAAGGAGGGCGTAGGCAGCGGAGGACCTCTACTCTCCCCGCTGGTCCCAGGCAAGGAGTCATGGGACCGCCTCGCCGCTTCCCCATCTGCCCCCCTTCTCCACTGGTGCTATGCTGATTCTCTTCCCCAGAAGATGGGCTGCCTCACCCAATCCCGGGACGCTCTCTGGAATCCCTCTGGATTTTGCTCTCTCCCTCCGGCACTGATGGCAGTTCCCTGACAGGATCCTATTCAACTCAGTACATAACAATTATCAACAGCACATGCAGCCAACCTCACAGAATTGTAGAGTTGAAGGGGAACACAGGGGTCATCTAGACCAACCGCCTGCAATCCAGGAATCTCAACTAAAGCATCTTCAGATGTCTTCTAAAGATTGTATAGTTGCTTATCTCCTTGACATCTGGTGGGAGGGTGTTCCACAGGGTGGGTGCTGCTACCAAGAAGGCCCTCTGCCTGGGTCCCTGTAACTTTACTTCTCGCAATGAGGGAACCACCAGAAGGCCCTTGGAGCTGGACCTCAGTGTCCAGGCTGAACGATGGGGGTGGAGACTCTCTTTGAGGATGAATGGAGCCATTCAGGGCTTTAAAGGTCAGCACCAACACTTTGAATTGTGCTTGGAAACATACTAGGAGCCAATGCAGATCTTTCAAGACTGGTGTTATATGGTCCTGCCAGCCGCTCCCAGTCACCGGCCTAGCTGCCGCGTTCTGGATTTGCTGTAGTTTCCGGGTCACCTTCCAAGGTAGCCCCACGTAGAGCGCATTGCAGTAGTCCAAGCTGGAGATAACCAGAGCGTGCACCACTCTGGAGAGACAGTATTCATGTGAGATGTTTTAATTGCTTTCAAACTGTTGTAACCCATCCTGGGACTTCATGGTGAAAGGCAGGCAAGTAATCTCAATAATAAACAACAGTAATAGGAACAATAACAGCTACTCTTAAATAGAAGGGCTCCAATCCAACAAAGTGTGCATATAGACTTCTTTCATTTCATTTCATTAGTAAAGACTAAATGGAGGCCTCCTCCTTTACTGACTAGCAATTCCAATTGCTGTTTGCATAGCCCAGGATGTTAGATCAGGTTGGCAAATCACACACCTTGCACGTGAATTCCTCATCTTGCTAGGGTTCAATCTAAGGAAGTTAGATTGGCTTCAACCAGAGCCAGGGCCTTCTCAACACTGGCTCCGGCCTGGTGAAACGCTCTGCCTCACGAGACCAGGGCCCTGCAGGATCTGATTTCTTTCCGCAGGGCCTGTAAGACACAGTTGTTCCGCCTGGCCTTTGGCTTGGAGCCAATTTTATTCCCTCCCTCTCTTTCTTTTTTCCTTTCCTTCTCCTCCTGCGATGAGGCTACATTTTAATATTTTAAGGTTTCAGTATTTTAATATTGTATTTTAATTTTGTTTTTAAGTTGTAATCATTCAACTTGTTTTTATTATTGCTTGTAAGCCGCTCTGAGCCTGGCCTTGGCTGGGGAGGGTGGGGTATAAATAAAAATTATTATTATTATTATTATTATTCATCCAAATGTCTGCTTCTGGCACACACATATGTGAGCTGGAGTGCTGGTGTAATGTCTGGCAAAACCATTACATGATTTATATTCAAAATTTCAGTGTTATGTCCTTCAACTGATAAATCATTTCCACTGGTATCTATTCTGCAAAGTAAACATAGCAACAACATCATTAAAAATAGGCAGACAGAGGAAATGCCACATTAATTAGTATTTGTCTGATGGGTTTTATGCTGTCTTTCACGTGGCGGATTTCCTTAAGAATGCAAATCACATGTCTGAATACAGAACAGCATATTCTGCAGTCTACGGTTCTCTTTCCCTCCCCGCACCCCCCGCCACTGACTTTGAACTCTTAACATCAGAACTCCCGTTGAATCTTAATAACTTTTAGTATCCCAATGTCTTGTACCTTTCGGTGCTAAATGTAAGGAGAGAGCTGTCGTTTCCCCAAATCAGCTGGTGCAGTGCTCTGTGCAGAGAATTAAATCAGGGAATGCCTACCTAAAAGAATAAATAAAAATGGGAAATTATGGGTTGGTTCCTAAGACACAAGAGCAAAGTTCTACTCACATAACAGGCCTTTCCTGCTAAGTCCCTCTGGGCACTCTGAAAATCAACTTGTGAGGCTTGGGGTATCAGAGATGGAACCAGGGGGACTGTACCTTTTTTGAACAGGTGCCTTACTCACGGTAACCTTTGGATCCAGCCATATGTATAAACTTCTCCGTGCAACTACTAGAGTAAAAGCAGTCACACACTTGAGAATAAATAAAACAGTGAAAGAAGCACTCATTAGCTTCCCTCTGCAGCTTTCGTTTTCACACTCATATTCTACCAATTAACAGTTTTTTGCAGACTGCCAAGCCATCCGACCAAGTGATGATGCAATTGCACTGCTTTGAAAAGGTGTGAATCTCCAGTAACTTAGCAGTAAGAACAGCAAAAGAGTCTTGTGGCACTTTAAAGGCACCTTATGTTCACAGACCACAGTCCACTTATATCATTTTCCTTTTTTTCGGTGAAGCAAATGAGAGCAGAAGGAGCTCCCCTGACTTGAAGACTTTTGGGTCTGGCTGAGCTGTTTCAATAATAATAATAATAATAATAATAATAATAATAATAATTTATTTGTACCCTGCCCATCTGGCTGGGTCTCCCCAGCCACTGGGCAGCTTCCAACAAAGATTAAAAATACATTAAAATGTCACACATTAAAAACTTCCCTGAAAGGACTGCCTTCAGATGTCTTCTAAATGTCAGGTAGCTGTTTATCTCTTTGCCATCTGATAGGAGGGCGTTCCACAGGGCTGGTGCCACTACCAAGAAGGCCCTCTGCCTGGTTGCCTGTAGCTTGTTTCTCACAGTGAGGGAACCGCCAGAAGGCCCTCAGCACTGGACCTCAGTGAACAATGGAGGTGGAGACGCTCCTTCAGGTATACTAGGCTGAGGCCATTTAGGGCTTTAAAGGTCAGCACCAACACTTTGAATTGTGCTCGGAAATGTACTGTGAGCCAATGTAGGCATTTCATTTTTCTCGTTGCTGGCTTGATAGACATATAGACTATCTGCTGCTGTTATTTTTAACTTGTTTTTATTAAGGGTTGTATCCATTGGTGCCCTTCCACAACCAAATTCTTCCGTTCACAGTCTTTGCTAACAGGACAGGAAGAGCAATGATTATTGCCATTCCTTCCTTCCTTCTGCCGCAGCCCACAACCACCATCTTCCATACCAGAATCGTAAAATTGTAGATTTGGAAGGGACCCTGAGGATCATCTAGTCCAACCCCCTGCAACCTTGGCGTCATGAGCATCACATTCTAACCCACTGAGCTACCCAGTCCCAGAATATCGGAAGCAGATTTTCAGGGAACTGTACAGGGGAGGGAAATTGGCAAAAAGCCCCTCTCCTCCTCTTGCAGGGGATGCAGGTGGCGCTGTGGGTTAAACCACAGAGCCTAGGACTTGCCGATCAGAAGGTCGGCGGTTCAAATCCCTGCAACGGTGTGAGCCCCCATTGCTTGGTCCCTGCTCCTGCCAACCTAGCAGTTCGAAAGCATGTCAAAGTGCAAGTAGATAAATAGGTACCACTCCAGCAGGAAGGTAAACGGCATTTCCGTGTGCTGCTCTGGTTCGCCAGAAGCAGCTTAGTCATGCTGGCCACATGACCCGGAAGCTGTACGCTGGCTCCCTCGGCCAATAAAGCGAGATGAGTGCCGTAACCCCAGAGTCGGCCACGACTGGACCTAATGGTCAGGGGTCCCTTTACCTTTACCTTTTACCTCCTCTTGCAGAGTCATCCTGGATCAAAAGTCTTCCCGCGAAAAGAAGAGCACCAGCAAATTCAGCCCCAAGAAGTGTGCAACATGCCCTCTTTAAAAATAATTAAACGTCTAATCCTATATATACAAAAACCAACATAGCCCCAGCAATTAATTCATTTCTAATTACTTCTTTCTCTATAAAATATCATGAAGTAGGAAGCACATCCCTCTGGCCATGACTGCGGCTCCCTAAGCCTGTTTTTCAGTCAACTTTATTTCCTTTCCTAGGATACTGCAAGAGAAGCCTGTTCTGCCCTCAACAAACTTGTAACAGCTATCAGCTTCAACAAATGAACTAAATATACCCTTCAAAGCAGCCAAATTAAAGGAAAAAAACACAACTGTTAGGAAGGCGAAAAACAGTGCTAGAAAGGTAAACTAATTGCAGTGGCGTGCTATCTCCTCGTCAGCCTAAGATATGCATTCTTTGGCAAAGGCGTAAAAGAGAAAGCGGGGTGTGTGAGAGAGAGATTTAACTTATAAAAGAAACTCCCTTTTAAAGCACTTTCCCTCCCTCATTGAAATTCAGTAGAAATTCCACCATCACTCAACTCAGTTGTGAATTAAAGTAAGCCCCTGGACATTGTCGTGTTCAGCATTTTAATAAGCCCAGACATCACACATGTTAAATTTGCTTCCAGTCTAAGTAGCACTCGCTTGCTTCCTTGTTAAAATCAAAGTTTTGCTGTTGTCAAACTATTTTAATTATTCCATGCCTTTGTTCAGGAGGGTACACAGCAAAGGAAATGCCTCGTTGCCAGACAAATTCCTGGGATCAGAATCCTGCACATTTTTTTACCTATCAGGAAGGTTTGCATGTAATACGAAGTTTCTTCCTTCTCCCCCTCTCACCTCCCTAGTCTTTCCTAGTGGAATCTTTGGAGTTACCGTATTTTTCGCTCTATAGGACACACTTTTTTCCCTCCAAAAATTAAGAGGAAATGTGCGTGTGTCCTATGGGGCGAATGCAGGCTCTTTGGCTTCAGCGATAGCAACGCGAAGCCTCCGAAGCGCAGAGGGAGCGCTCCCTCCACGCTCCGGAGGCTTCGCGTTGCTTTCGCTGAAGCCTGGAGAGCGAGAGGGGTTGGTGTGCACCGACCCCTCTCGCTCTCCAGACTTCAGGGATGGCCGCCTGAAGCCTTCGGAGCGCAGCGCGAGTTCCCGCTTCACTCCACAGGTGTCAGGTTCCTTTTGCTGAAGCCAGGAGAGCAAGACTCTCCTGGCTTTAGCAGAGAGGAAGAGCTGCGCAGCGCCCCTTCAGCCAAGCGGGAGGAGAAATGGAAGGGGCTCCGTTTCTCCTGCCACTTTGCTGAAGGGGCGCTGAACAGAGAGGGGGAGAATTTCTTTTTCTTGTTCTCCCCCTCTAAAACAAGGTGCGTCCTATGGTCGGGTGCGTCCTATAGAGCGAAAAACACGGTATTTCAATAGCCTGAACACTGGCTCCTTAGGCACATACTAGTATGTGGTGGTACTTAATGCCAATCGACATGTTTCACAGAAGATGCATGTATCAACCTTCCAGTGTACAGTGGTGCCTCGCAAGACGAAATTAATCCGTTCCACGAGAGTCTTCGTCTAGCGGTTTTTTCGTCTTGCGAAGCAAGCCCATTGACGGATTAGCGCTATTAGCGCTATTAGCGGTTTAGCGGCTATTAAAGGCTTAAAGGCTTAGGGGATTAGCTGCTAAAAGGCTATTAAAGGCTATTAAAGGCTTAGCAGATTAGATAAAGGGGAAAAGCGAAAAAAAACCTCAAGACTCGCAAGGTATTTTCGTCTTGCGAAGCACGCCCATAGGGGAATTCGTCCGGCGAAGCAACTTCAAAACGGAAAACCCTTTCGGCTCGCGGTTTTTCCGTCTTGCGAGGCCTTCGTCTTGCGGGGCACCACTGTATACACATGTCTGTGTATGCATTGTTTTTAATTAAAAGTAGCAGGGCTGCAAATTTGATGGGAAGAGTTGGTCCCTGCCCGCCCCTCAAAAAAACTCCCAAACAGCTTTTTAATTGCTCCTCTTGCAGGACCAGAGACATCACCCAATAACTCAGCAGGGCAGTGTAAGAATATGTAGGAAGCTCAAAAGTAATAACCAGCAATAGCAAAGGGAAATGGAAATGAGCTAAAGAGAGTGGAAATGAGGGAGAAGAGACAGGTTCAGATTATTCGATGGGTTAGGAGGCCCAATAACTGCGCTGCGTGAAACTATCTTAATAAAATAAACTGCTTATATTTGGAGCCCTTCCAGACAGCCTGTTTACGGAGGATTCATTCTGATTTACCTAATGGTCAGGGGTGCCATCGGGTGGGGGGGCTGAGGCCCCCCAAAAGATTTCAAAGAAGGGTTTGGGTTTTGCCGCGGCTGGGTGCACACAGTTGCTGGTGGTTATGTCTTTCTAATAATAATAATAATGTGTTTTTTATACCCCACCCATGTGGCTGGGTTTCCCCAGCCACTCTGGGCGGCTTCCAATAAAACACTAAAATACATTAATGCATCAAACATTAAAAGCTTCCCTAAACAGGGCTGCCTTCAGATGTCTTCTAAAAGTTTGGTAGTTATTTTTCTCTTTGACATATGGTGGAAGGGTGTTCCACAGGGCGGGTGCCACTACCGAGAAGGCCCTCTGCCTGGTTCCCTGTAACTTGGCTTCTCGCAGCGAGGGAACTGCTAGAAGGCCCTCAGTGCTGGACCTCAGTGTCTGGGCAGAACGATGGAGGTGGAGACGCTCCTTCAGGTATACTGGGCCGAGGCCGTTTAGGGCTTTCAAGGTCCACACCAACACTTTGAATTGGGCTCAGAAACGTACTGGGAGCCAGTACAGGTCTTTGAAGACTGGCGTTATATGGTCTCGGCGGCTGCTCCCAGTCACCAGTCTAGCTGCCGCATTCAAGCGAAAGATAACTAGAGCACGCACCACTCTGGTGAGACAGTCTGCGGGCAGGTAGGGTCTCAGCCTGCGTACCAGGTGGAGCTGATAAACAGCTGCCCTGGACACATAATTGACCTGCGCCTCCATGGACAGCTGTGAGTCCAGAATGACTCCCAGGCTGCGCACCTGGTCCTTCAGGGGCACAGTTACCCCATTCAGGACCAGGGAGTCCTCCACACCCGCCCACCTCCTGTCCCCCCAAAACAGTACTTCTGTCTTGTCAGGATTCAACCTTTTGGAAGTGGATGAGATAGACCAGAGATGTCCAACAGGTCGATCACAATCTGCTGGTAGATTCCTGTGAGGTTTTGGTAGATCGCGCTGGATCTCTGGATCCCTTTCCTTAGCGCCGCTAAAATTTACTCCTTCCCTGCCCCCTCACCCCGCCCTCCGTTGTTGTTTGATCTCTGGAAGGGAAGATGGAGCTATCTCTGCGCTGCTGTTTTCATCCATAGTGATCTTTTTGTGAGTGACTTTACCCCTTTGTCCCTTGCCTTTAACCCCCCCCCACGGAAGTTTAACCCCCCAAAAGCTTTTTTAAACCCCCTAAAAAGCGGGGCTTTTCTGCTCCCTAAAAAAGCTCAGCAACTTTGAGCTGAACCCCCTAAAACGGAGGTAGATCACTGCCAGTTTTTAATTCTGAAAGTAGATCGCAGTCTCTTGAGAGTTGGCCACCCCTGTGCTAAACCAGTGTCTTGCCTGGGCAGTGGACTGAGTGGTGATAAAAATGACGACGATAAAAATAATAAAGGAAGATCGTACAGTGTATCTTAATTTTCTTAATGCAGGGAAAGTCAGCACAAGCTGTCCAACCATATCCAGTCATCTTTCTGTGACAAGGCTTTGTGCCTTGAACAGCTGTGATTTGCATGCAGAAATTCAGCAGTTCTGTCACCACGTCAGGAAGAGTTGCACCTGTTGGATTTTATCAAGCAGCTGTTAAAGGCACAGAACATTTGTCAAGGGGGAAAAAAGGTAGCGACTCCAGGCCATAGCTGTCAACTTTTCCCTTTGGTTGCAAGGAATCCTATTCGGAATAAGGGAATTTCCCTTAAAAAAAGGGAAACGTTGACAGCTATGCTCCGGACATAACAGACCAGAGCCTTGTCTTGATTGTTCCTTCAAGGTGCAATCTGTCCCTGTCCAACAAACACGGCTTCCCCCATAAACAGATGGTGATCCAGGATTTAATCTAATATGAAACATTTTAAAGAAATAGATTTTGCCCCTTACCAGATTCAGGAAATAGAAAATTGTTTTCAATACTTCTAGATAGTTCACTGAAAACAAGATTTCTGTTTCAGTTTTAGCTAACTTTAGTTGCATCAAGGCCTAACAAGTCGAAAACATTTAGACTTTGATGTAACTGAATGTAGTTGTGACGTGATTCAGTTCATTTGAAATCAGTGATGCAAGTTAATGGCGACTGAATTAAATCCTGTTGCTTTCAGTGGTGCTGCAGCTGTGCACCTACCTATCTGAGAAAGTAAGAGTTGTTCAACAGTGGGACGGTCTCCATCGGGAGCTTGTGGACTGTCCTTCACTGGAGGTTTTTAAGCAGAGGTTGGATAGCCATCTGTCATGGATGCCTTAGGTGAAATTCTTTCATTGCAGGGTTTGGACTAGATGACCCCTGGGGTCACTTCCAACTCTAGGGTTCCATGAAATACTGTTGTTGTTGTTGTTGTTTAGTCATTTAGTTGTGTCCGACTCTTTGTGACCCCATGGACCAGAGCACGCCAGGCACTCCTGTCTTCCACTGCCTCCCGCAGTTTGGTCAAACTCATGCTGGTAGCTTTGAGAACACTATCCAACCATCTCGTCCTCTGTCATCCCCTTCTCCTTGTGCCCTCCATCTTTCCCAACATCAGGTTCTTTTCCAGTGAGTCTTCTCTTCTCATGAGGTGGCCAAAGTATTGGAGTCTCAGCTTCAGGATCTGTCCTTCCAGTGAGCACTCAGGGCTGATTTCCTTAAGAATGGATAGGTTTGATCTTCTTGCAGTCCATGGGACTCTCAAGAGTCTCCTCCAGCACCATAATTCAAAAGCATCAATTCTTCGGCGATCAGCCTTCTTTATGGTCCAGCTCTCACTTCCATACTCGGCATAGTTCATAGCTTCTCTGAGTTATTCAAGCCCCTTCGCCACGGCAAGGCAGTGATGCATGAAGGGGATGGAATACTGTATCTTCATGCCTTTCCGCCCCCCAAAACCAGCTTCGATCCGAATTGAGAAAAAGAATAACCTCACTGTGTTCCAAGCTAGTAGTGTTGCGAAGATTGTGATCAAAATGGGGCCATTGTGAAATAACAGAAGTATCAGTATGGTTGGGGGAATCCCAAGATTTGCAGAAGTACAAAAATATCTTCACACACACACACACACACACACACACACACACACGATCAGACTGGTGTAAGGAAGCTAACAACAGTGCAATGAGGAACAGTGGAATGTAGACTGTCATCTGGAAAAGAGAAATGGAAAGAGCGTGGGAATCCCAGATTGGAGAAACTAGCTGTCTAGAGCCCTGAACAGAAGCACATTTTACATGCGGATCCTTTTGAATGAAAGGGCAGGGTAGAAATCAGTTAATTAACCGAATATTGAGATAAGGTGATTCTTTATTTACTAGTCTTTTTGCTTTTGTCTGTAAATGCAACTGTCTCGTTAAAACCAAGGAGGAAAATGCACAGACAATACATTTGAAATCTACGTTTGCAAGCGAGTTCTCGATGGAGGTTGCAATGTCGTAGGAGATGCTTTCACCAAGGGGAAAGCCTATAAATGACTGGCCGCAAGCCAGAACAAAAGTTGATATGTTTATGAAGCCCTGTTGGTTTCAGTGAGATTCATGGCTGTTGTCTACGGTCATTGCTATCAAGTTTGTTAATACTGCTGATGGGATTGTGAAATCACAGGAGTGATTTTATGACCTGTTCTTCTTACGTTCTACTTCTGCTTTCGTCTTTCTTCTTTATGTGACGCTTTGCTTCTTCTAACATCCTGACACCTCTTTCTTATTTAAGCCTCAAATAATCTAACAGCATAATCTCAACACGGTCTACTGAGAAGTCCTATTATATTGCAGTTTTATGTTGCAAACTCCCCAATATCTATGGGTATAGGGCTGTATACTAACTAAATCAATCAATCAATCAATCAATCAATCAATCAGTAGGGCTTGCTCTCAGGAGGTGAGGGAGTAAGCACTACTGAATTCAGTGGTATTTATTAGTGCAGGTGTTCCATTTGTACGCCACCATTTTCCTCCAAGAAGCTCAAGGTGTGACATACATAGTTCTGCCTTTTTTCATTTAATTCCCACATAAACCCTGTGAAGTAGTTTACCCTGTGAGAGGCAATAACTGGCCCAAGGTCACTAAAGGACATTCTGGTCTCCCAGATCTTAAAGGTAAAGGGACCCCTGACTGTTAGGTCCAGTCGTGGCCAACTCTGGGGTTGCGGCGCTCATCTCGCTTTATTGGCCAAGGGAGCCGGCGTACAGCTTCCGGGTCATGTGGCCAGCATGACTAAGCCGCCTCTGGCAAACCAGAGCAGCACACGGAAATGCCGTTTACCTTCCCGCCGGAGCGGTACCTATTTATCTACTTGCACTTTGACGTGCTTTCGAACTGCTAGGTAAGCAGGAGCAGGGACCAAGCAACGGGAGCTCACCCCATCACGGAGATTCGAACCGCCAACCTTCTGATCGGCAAGTCCTAGGCTCTGTGGTTTAACCCACTTACCACCCGTGTCCCTCCCAGATCTTAGTCATACTCTAACCACTATGCAACGCTGCCTATCTGTCTACTTCTGAGTATAAATGCTTAAAATTGCATTGTTCGTCTGATTCTTCAACTCTGCATCCTTTTTCTTTGACTGCTTCCATTCCTTTCCATAAGAAGTTCAACTTCCGTCACCCACTTTTAGAGACACAACCCCCATTTTTCTCTGCATTCTCTTGCTGCTATTTTTATTATGCTCACTTGCCTTTCATCCTGAGTATTGTGCCCCTTTGCTCTCTCCTCCCTCCAATCCCAACCAGCTCTTTCTCACTTCCTCTTCAATTGCCACCCTTCCCCCTCTTTCCTTTACATTTCCTTGACTGCTGGTCTGTAGGCAAGGCCACAGCTTCCTTAATCACTAATACAGAAGCTAGTTTTCCTGTAGGAATCCAATAAAAATACTGTTCTGTATCATCAAAGATGCTAAAATTATACCTCCTGCAGAAGATATACCGTATTTTTCGCTCTATAGGACGCACTTTTTCCCCTCCAAAAATTAAGGGGGAATGTGTGTGCGTCCTATGGAGCGAATGCAGGCTCCTTGGCTTCAGCGATAGCAACGCGAAGCCTCCAAAGCGCAGAGGGAGTGCTCCCTCCGTGCTCCGGAGGCTACACGTTGCTTTCGTTGAAGCCTGGAGAGCTCTCCAGGCTTCAGGGATAGCCTCCTGAAGCCTTCGGAGCACAGTGCAAGTTCCCGCCGTGCTCCGCAGGCTTCAGGTTCCTTTCACTGAAGCCAGGAGAGCAAGACTCTTCTGGCTTCAGCAGAGAGGGAGAGCTGCGCAACGCCCCTTCAGCCAAGCGGGGGGAGAAATGGAACGGGCTCCGTTTCTCCTGCCACTTCACTGAAGGGGCGCTGAGCAGAGAGGGGGATAATTTTTTTTCTTGTTCTCCTCCTCTAAAACAAGGTGTGTCCCATGGTCGGCTACGTCCTATAGAGTGAAAAATACGGTAAACATTTGAAGATTGCCTGACTTAATCCAGCCAAAGCTTAACAATTTGGATTGATTTCAGAGTCTTCCTTTCTCGATGAAATGAATTGAACTTTGAAGTGATTGACTTGACCTGGCTGTGTACACATTAATGTTTACTCCAGCTCAAGCGCACTCCCACCGCTGGCATTTGAAGCCAAGTAAAGCGGGTGGTGCTGTGGTCTAAACCACTGAGTTTGGGCTTGCCGATCAGAAGGTCGGCGGTTTGAATCCCCATGACAGGGTGAGCTCCCGTTGTTCGGTCCCTGCTCCTGCCAACCTAGCAGTTCAAAAGCACGTCAAAGTGCAAGTAGATAAATAGGTACCGCTCTAGCGGGAAGGTAAACGGCGTTTCCGTGTGCTGCTCTGGTTCGCCAGAAGCGGCTTAGTCATGCTGGCCACATGACCCGGAAGCTGTACGCCGGCTCCCTTGGCCAATAAAGTGAGATGAGTGCCACAACCCCAGAGTCGTCCGCAACTGGACAATGGTCGGGGTCCCTTTACCTTTACCTATGCATGACATAAGACACTGTCCCTAGGTATCCTGCAGTTTCTTGAAAAAATACTCCTGTTTGATGTGCTTTCCTTCAAACCAGCTTCCATCTGATTAGAAAACGGAAGCCATGGTTGAGCTGAGGTGTGTACATTGCAGGCAGTTGTCGCACATGCTCAGATGACCGCTTCCGTGAATTGGGAGTTTGGTGCAGGGAAACAAATCAGGTAATGGGCATAAAGTGAAGGCATTGCTGCCCCTGCTCAGGTGTCTGCAACAACATAAAAATGTGACTTGAAATGCAACAGGGGATAACGGCCTTGCTGCATTTTAAGCCGCAAATTTGTACGCAGCCTGGGTCGTGCGCTATCTTTGCAAGGACTGGGTTCAGTATCATAATGGCACATTGTGCATCAGCGGCGTAGCTAGCTGCTTGGGCGCCTGGGCAGCGCGGAGCATGCTGGCAACTGAGCCACTACGTCGCTCCCAGGAGAGACGCATGGCTTGGGCACAGTGCAGGCCCCGCGGTAAGGGCTGCCCCCACGCCCCCCCCAGCTATGCCTCTGTTATGCATTTATATGAGTTGCAGAAGAAGAAGAAGAGTTTGGATTTGATATCCCGCTTTATCACTCCCCTTCAGGAGTCCCAAAGCGGCTAACATTCTCCTTTCCCTTCCTCCCCCACAACAAACACTCTGTGAGGTGAGTGGGGCTGAGAGACTTCAGAGAAGTGTGACTAGCCCAAGGTCACCCAGCAGCTGCATGTGGAGGAGCGGAGACGCGAACCCGGTTCACCAGATTGCGAGTCTATCACTCTTAACCTCTACACCACACTGGCTCTCCTGCAGGAATGGGGTGGGCCAAATTGTTTCCCTCCTTTCCAGTCCCTAAGGGGGAAAGGTAATAGGGTTCACAGCAGCTGGCGGTTTCGTTTCATTCCACTTTTAGTTTGCATAACCGCCTTTCTATATTACTCTATGCAAAGCGGTTTACAAGCTGAAGAAACAACAAATATCACACACCTTATAACAATCTGATTCATTTATTTTGTTTTTATATTCTGCTGGAAGCCACCTGGAGTGTCTGGGGAAAACCGAGCCAGATGGGCGGGGTATAAATAACAAGATTATTATTATTATTATTATTATTATCCAATGCAAAACATAAGTTAAAAATAATCAACTTACATCAAATAAAGTAATATTCAATAATCCGTTATTGCGGTATGAAATTAAGTATCAGCAAACAATAATTAAAAAGAAGTTCACTCTTAACAATTACAATTAATGATTATAAAACTGTAATCAATAATCTAGGCTATGTGGGAATAGAGGAAGCTGCTTCATACTCAGTCGGACCATTTGTCCATCTACTCCAGTATTGTCTACACAGACTGGCAGCAGCAACTTTCCAGGGTTTCAGGTAGGGGACATTGCCTGGAGTTGCCAGGCATTGAACCTGAGACCTCCTGCCTCCAAAATACCTGCTCTGCCCCTGAGCTGTGGCCCTTCCCCTGAAGGAGCGTCTCCACCCCCATTGTTCAGCCCGGACACTGAGGTCCTGCTCTGAGGGCCTTCTTACAGTTCCCTCCCTGTGAGAAGTGAGGTTACAGGGAACCAGGCAGAGGGCCTTCTTGGTGGTGGCGCCCGCCCTGTGGAACGCCCTCCCGCCAGATGTCAAGGAAATAAAGAACTATCTGACTTCTAGAAGACATCTGAAGGGAGCCCTGTTTAGGGAAGTTTTTAATGTCTGATGTTTTACTGTGTTTTTAATATTCTGTTGGGAGCTGCCCAGAGTGGCTGGGGAAACCCAGCCAGATGGGCGGGGTATAAGTAATATATTATTATTATATGTAGGAACCCCATGCAAAATGCACATCAGCGTGTAGGTATTTCCATTAACACTTTACTAACCCCGCCTCTCCTCTCTCTTTGACATGCTGCTAGAAAGTGAACCACCAAAGGGTAAGCTGAATTGTGCAGTATGCAAATTTCCACAAGGACATTCCTGTGTTTCTCGTCTTTTGGGGGTCGACTCAGCTTCACTCAAGCCAGGCCTGGAAGGGGTGCTTGGAGCTAGAATCTTTAAATATAGTGGACTGGACTGTCTTAATTAAATGCATGGTGCCCTTGCTGAGGAAAACATTGCTTTGCGTATATTGATGGAGAACAGAAGCGACATGATTTTGGTCACAGCAATTCACAAAGTGTGTTGCTGTTTGTCTTAAGCCCATTTCTGTGTTCAAAGAGAAGTGCTGAAACTGCTTTTGTGAAAAGCGTCTGGCTTAGAGGTGGTGAACATGTGGTCCTCCAAAAGCTTTTTTTGGTACTGTTTTTATTAATATTTCATTAAGAGAATTTCATTTGTAAAAAAGATAAAGAAAGAAGGGGAAGAAAGAAGGAAAAGAATGAGAGAGGTTGAAAAAAGAAAATAAAAAAATGCTGTTACATTTCCATGCATTATTATACAGATCTATGTATTCTTTTTATCCTAATACAGTGGTGCCCCGCAAGACGAATGCCTCGCAAGACGGAAAACCCACTAGACGAAAGGGTTTTCCGTTTTTCAATGCGCTTCGCAGGACAAATTTCCCTATGGGCTTGCTTCGCAAGATGAAAATGTCTTGCGAGTCTTGAGATTTTTTTTTCGCTCCCCCCCCCCTTTATCTAAGCCGCTAAGCCTTTAATAGCCTTTTAGCAGCTAAGCCGCTAAGCCACTAAGCCTTTAATAGCCGCTAAACCGCTAATAGCGCTAATCCGTTAAGCCGCTAATAGGGTTGCTTCGCAAGACGATAAAAACCGCTAGACGAAGATACTCACGGAACGGATTAATTTCGTCTTGCGAGGCACCACTGTACTCATATAATTGTCAGTAACCTAACCCATTCTGTGTAAACTCATTCCAGATACCATTGTATTAATCCAAAGAAAGACTGCGTCTATAAACTGTCCATTCATATGTTCCCAGTGTTATCAAGCCATTGTTAAAGGGAATCGTATCTCTATTTTTCCCATTCATCAGTATCAGTCTCTTGGTCACCATTAGTGCACGTAGAATCCATTTTTGCTGTCCTATTGTCAATTTCCATACAATGGGTATATAGTTCAAGAGCACATTCACCTCTGAAAATCTTAAAAATTTCCCCAAGTGTCTTGCTTATAGAGTCCAGCACTTTCTCCTAAAACTTAATAAGTGTGGGACACAGTAAAAGCATATGTTTCGAAGAAGCATTATCCATATTACATCTCCAACAAAGAGCTACATTAAATAGTCTTTTTGTGCTGGTCCCGGGGGGAAGGTTACCGTTGGCGTAGTCAAAGTCCGGTCCTGGGTCACTAGCCTGGAAACAGTTCACAAGGAGCGGGGCGAGGTCCGAAGCAGGAAGCCAGGCGGGGACAGGAACACTGGAGGGTCAGGTCTGGGTCCGGGCAGGAACAGGTACTCAACAACGACGTTGCTCCCGCAACCTGGGACCGGGCTGACTGGCCTTTATCTTCTCTGAGGCCAGGGGCGGTCCCGGCCCCCAGGAGACCCGCCTCTCCTGGCCTTAAGGCGAGCACTCCTCCTGGGAGAAACCAGTTCCCTTCGCCTCTCTGCCCTGAGCCTCTGCAGTTCAGGAGAGGCTGAAGGGTTACTGGGCCCAGGGGGAGACTCACCTGTATGCACTGAGTCCTCAACCACCTCTGGAGCCAGAGTGGATTCACCTGGTGCCTGCTCCTGAGGATCCGGCACAGGTGCAGGCGCCTCAGAATCAAGGCCCTGCCCCTGTTCAGCCGGCCCTGGAGGCGGGGACTCCTGTGCAGGCTGGGATTCCTCCGGTTCACCCTCTGAATCGGATTCCCAGGCCATCACACTTTTCTTATACAAACATAAGGGAGTCCAATAGATTCTAAATTGTATTTTCTGTTGTAGAAGTCTTAGTTTAAGATCTAGCGATACATCAAATACCAAAGCCAAATGTGGTCCTTTAAACATTATTGAACTACGGTTCACAGCAGCCGTAGCCAAAGTAGACAGTGATCAGGGATGATGAGAGTTGTAGCCATTTACCACAATATCAGTAAAGATAAAGTAAAGGGACGTGGGTGGCACTGTGGGTTAAACCACAGAGCCTAGGGCTTGCCGATCAGAAGGTCAGCGATTCGAATCCCTACGACATGGTGAGCTCCCGTTGCTCTGTCCCTGCTCCTGCCCACCTAGCAGTTTGAAAGCATGTCAGTGCAAGTAGATAAACAGGTACCGCTCCGGCGGGAAGGTAAATGGCGTTTCCGTGCGCTGCTCTGGTTCGCCAGAAGCGGCTTAGTTGCTGGCCACATGACCCGGAAGCTGTACGCCGGCTCTCTCGGCCAATAAAGCGAGATGAGTGCCGCAACCCCAGAGTCGGCCACGACTAGACCTAATGGTCAGGGGTCCCTTTACCTTTACCTTTAAGTAAAGATCAGTACAATCCAGGATAGAATTAAGTGCATTAAAGCACATTGTATTCTGTGTACTGTGGTGTTCTAGTTAATTCTACAGGCTTTGTGATAATTCTGTGGGTAGGCTAAATGACTTAAGAGTCCTCAACTCCAGATGCTTGATGGAATGACATGTAACATTGGCTTCCTTAGCAAATTCCAAACTTATGAACTGGGTGACATCCAACTAAAGTTGAAAATGAAAAAAAATAATAAAAATAATAGCAGCTGTGACTCAGGGGATAGCATATGGCTAAGCTGAGCACACACCCAGGCAATTCTGAGAATGTCCCTTTCTCAGAAGCTGCTCTCCACAGAATTCCCAAATTGCTGTTTCCTGGACCCTGAGTTCAAGACAGAGTGCTGAATTCATCTAGCCCAGAACGCTAGCAGAAGGCAGCTCAAGGACTCCTGCTAGCACAACTGCCCCCCCCCCTTAGGCTTGTACAATAATCTATAGTGGTACCTTGGGTTACAGATGCTTCAGGTTACAGACTCCGTTAACCCAGAAATAGTACCTCGGGTTAAGAACTTTGCTTCAGGATGAGAACAGAAATCGTGCAGCGGCAGCGGGAGACCCCGTTAGCTAAAGTGGTACCTCAGGTTAAGAACAGTTTCAGGTTAAGAACGGACCTCCAGAACAAATTAAGTTCTTAACCCGAGGTACCACTGTATCCATATATCGCCCAGGACCGGTATTAGGGGCAGACCGCCATGACGGCTCCTGAGCCCTTCTGCTACCATCGCCCAGCACGCTGAGGGAAAAACAAACTGCAGCCAGGCGCTGGAGGCAGAGGGACTCGGGAGCAGTGGCAGTTTCGCCAGCGATGTACCCCTGAGTGAAACCGCCAGCTTGTTCCTCCCTCTGCTTCAACAAGCCTCATGTCCCTCTGGCTGGAGCACGCTGAAGGAACATGGGGCTTCCTCAGCTGGGGGGCAAGAAGGCTCGAAGAAGCACTCCTGCCCCCCAGCTGAGCCTTGCCAGTCTCCCTTGCCTTCCGCCACCCTGGGATGGGTGAGGGGAGGTGCCAATGGGCTGCTTCTTCATCCAGGGAGGGAGAGGCTTGCTCCCGTCCCTGCCCGTGCCAAGGCAGCGGATGAGGCAGGCCTAGAAACAGAGGGTTGGCACTGCTGCCTCATCCGCCACTGCTTGGACATGGGCTCTTTTCTGACACTGTGATGTACAGTGGTACCTCAGGATGCGAATGGGATCCGTTCCGGAGCCCGTTCGCATCCTGAATGGAACGTAAGACTCGACGGCGTGTCTGCATGTGCGCGGACCACGTTTTGCAGCTTCCGCGCATGCGCATGATGTCTTTTGAGCATCTGCGCATGCACGAGCGGCAAAACTTTAGGTTACTTCCGGGTTGCCACGGAGCACAACCCGAAAGCGCTCAACCTGAAGCACATTCAACTCGAGGTATGACTGTACCGCCACATCGCGGTATTTAGTGGGCAGTATATTATGACGTTGGCAAATAGTTATCACCCAGCCCTACCCCCCATGCCTGCCCGAAACTTACTCTGGAGGGTCAGGAGAGACCCCAGGGCAGTGCACAGGGCAAAGGGGGGGGTGTTTCATCTGGCGAGTAATAAATGCTTGCACTGCTGGGACCTTCAGAAGAACATGGCATCAAGTTCCCCTGACAGTCTGGAAATTTCATGTGATCTTTTTCCACAGGCAAAATATTTTCAGGGCATGAATATGCTGTCTGCCCAAGTTTAAAAAGCTGTTGAAATCCTCCCCCCCCCCCTTATGTGCAGCCCTTTGAGACAAAATTCAGCTTGTATCTAGGTGGTTGGTGGATATACCACTGGGGAATGCAGCCAGTTTTCGATACGATACGATATCTTTATTGTCATTGTCCCATACAGAACAATGAAATTGAAAAATCTACATAAGACATTTAAAAACCCCTAAAAACTCTGAAACCCCATTTTAAAATACAATATACTATAGAGACTCCTTATAATGCGTTTAAAACCAGAATTGCATTTGGATAGAAACTGTTTCTCAGGCGGCTAGTCCTGGTCTTTATAACCCTATACCTTCTTCCAGAAGGCAGAAGCTGAAAGAGATCATTTCCGGGTGCGTACTATCCTGCGCTATCTCTGCAGCTTTCTTATGGCACCTGGAATCATAGATTTGATCTAAGGTGGGAAGAGTGTACCCAGTTATTCTCTCTGCAGTCTTTACAACCCTGGACGGCATTGTTTTTTCCCTGGCCGTGCGGCTCCCAAACCACACACACAGACCATAAGTTAATAGACTCTCCACAGTACAATGGTAAAATGCCATCAACAGGTCCTTTGAGAGATTGTTTTTCTGGAGGATTCTCAGAAAATATAACCTCTGCTGTGCTCTCTTCATCAGGTCTTTGCTGTTTTCTCCCCAGGTTAGGTCATCTCTCAACTCCATTCCCAGAAATCAAAACACCGAGACTTGTTCCACGCACTTCCCTCAATAATAAGTGGCTGAATATTCAATTTACATTTCCTAAAGTCCACAATAATCTCTTTTGTTTTCTTTAAGTTAAGGAGTTTCCTCTTTTTTTAAAAAAGAAAAAAAGAAAGCTGGCTAACCGTAGCCATTGCGTCAGTAAGTTTCTGCTTAGATTAGTAAGAAGAAGAAGAGCTTCAGCGGTGGGCAAGACCGGTCAGGGAGCCTCATCTCCTGACTTGACATCTGGCAGGAAAAATATCTTACCCTGGAGAAAACTAAGGCGTGAAGGAGACAGCTGGTTTGGAACAAAGGGGAGATTAAAAGCAGCTTTAAAACAACAACATAACCTTGCATGTCAAAATTGGTAATGATAGCGCTGTCTGATGTGACTAAAATGAGATGGGCTGTGTTCTTGTGTGTGGACTGTGGAGGCCAGGGGTTGGGAACTTTGTAGCCTCCAGATGTTGATAAAATGCAACTCCCATCAGCACCAGCAAGCGTGGCCAACAGCCAGGGGTGATGGGAGCTATAGTTCAGTAACATCTGGAGGACCAGAGGTTCCCCACAGCTGGAATAGATTGATAATGTGGGTGGGCGTGAGACGTGGCACAAACTGATCCTAAGTTAGTCTCTCACATTTCAATTAATAATAATAATAATAATAATAATAATAATAATAATAATAATTTATTTATACCCCGCCCATCTGGCTGGGCTTCCCCAGCCACTCTGGGCGGCTTCCCAAAAAATATTACAATACTGTAATACATCAAGCATTAAAAGCTTCCCTAAACAGGGCTGCCTTCAGATGTCTTCTAAAAGTCTGGTAGTTGTTGTTCTCTTTGACATCTGGTGCGAGGGCGTTCCACAGGGCGGGCGCCACTACCGAGAAGGCCCCCTGCCTGGTTTCCTGTAACTTGGCTTCTCGCAGTGAGGGAACCGCCAGAAGGCCCTCGGTGCTGGACCTCAGTGTCCAGGTAGAATGATGGGGGTGGAGACGCTCCTTCAAATATACTGGACCGAGGCCCTTTAGGGCTTTAAAGGTCAGCACCAACACTTTGAATTGTGCTCAGAAACGCACTGGGAGCCAATGTAGGTCTTTCAAGACTGGTGTTACATGGTCTTGGTGGCCACTCCCAGTCACCAGTCTAGCTGCCGCATTCTGAATTAGTTGTAGTTTCCGGGTCACCTTCAAAGGTAGTCCCACGTAGAGCGCATTGCAGTACTCCAAGCGGGAGATAACCAGAGCATGCATCACTCTGGCGAGGCAGTCCGCAGGCAGGTAGGGTCTCAGCCTACGTACCAGATGGAGCTGGTAAACAGCTGCCCTGGACACAGATTTGACCTGTGCCTCCATGGACAGCTGTGAGTCCAGAATGACTCCCAGGCTGCGCACCTGGTCCTTCACCTGGTGGAAAGGTGGGGAAACCTGTTTCCAGAACAATTTAGCATCGTTCTTTAAGGAAGCGTTTAATAGTAGGGACCAGGAAATATATTCAAACGGCCTTTTCTTTGTTGCTGACAGTGCTTTATAGTCTCTTTTAAATTCAAGATACGACTTAAGACCCACTTTCCTATACTCTCTGCAAGAGTCCCCAAGATCTTTTTTCTTTCCACGACAATCATGGTCGAACCAGTCACACCCTGTGGAATTAATGGTTTTGTCACCTGAATTTACGTTAGTTGAGACCACATCCTTTAGGAATTCAGTAAGATTATCATGTGCCTCAATAGAAGCTTCTGCAGATTAACCATTTATAATTTTTGATCTTAAATGAATTGCTGGTTCCAAATTGAGTCTGGTGTTAACTGCAGTAGACTACAGTGGTACCTCAGGTTACATACATTTCAGGTTACAGACGCTTCAGGTTACAGACTCCACTAACCCGGAAATAGTACCTCGGGTTAAGAACTTTGCTTCAGGATGAGAACAGAAATCGTGCCCGGCAGCGGAAGCCCCATTAGCTAAAGTGGTGCTTCAGGTTAAGAACAGTCCTCCAGAACAAATTAAGTACTTAACCAGAGGTACCACTGTACTTCAGAGACCGTTTTATTCTTTGCTTCATAGGGACATCTGCCTCAGCGGTTTGGCATCTGTAATTAATTAACTAATAAGCAAACGTTCTAAAAGCAGCTTCTTTCATTTTTCAGCGAGGGAAATTTGGCCACAAAGCAAGTTGTTTTCCTCCAGAGGCCTGTTATGTGGAGCCCAGCTGCTCAGACGCCTGAGGTAAGAACGATGATCTGAGTAGGTATGAGTGAACAGAAAGATGCAGGTGTGGCGCAACAGCTGTTAAAATTAGCGTGTGTTGTTTGCATGCTTCCACTGTGCTTCATGACTGAGCAAGAGGAGTTTAAAGCCTCAGCCAGAGTTGTTGGCTCAGAGGATTTTGCCCAACTTTTCTCCTGTTCTCTTCTTTAAACTTGCTTCTTCACAAATAGGCTAAGATAACACTGTGTAGACTTAGAAAATAATAATAATACAATAACCACTAGCTCCCCCCCACCCCTTAGATTCTTTGTTGAATTTTCTGCAAAACCATTTGGCATTCCTCTGCAATCCAGGGCAAGCAGACAAATTATGCCTGGGGCTGTGTCTGGGAAAGAAAGAACTTCATTATAACCCCAGCAGCAGCAACAGAGGTTTCCTTTCCCCCACTCCACAATAAGGAGCACATTGTGTGCGGTTACGCAATGACTAGGATGAGCTGTGCGACAGACTATTATCCGTTTCCTCACGGGTTGGAAAAAAAAGACGTTAAAAGGGCTCAGAATAGTTTGTGCAGTTGCTGACCTCAGATGATCCGTCGTCCAGCTGGGTAATTTCCCTGCGAGGAGTATCTGTGCAAAAACCACACTGGCTATTTTGCTGCCGCCTGAGAAGGGTGTGGTGGCAGAGGCCCCACGGCTTGCAGTTGCCCTCTCTCCATAGTCACCGTGGCCAGATCACTGGGTTATTATTAACATTTTCTTTTTTTTCTTCTTTTTTTATAAATTTTTAATTAGATTTTCCACAAGGATAACACAAACCGCAAAGCAGAATGATACACAAAAACAGAAGGGGGAAAAAGAGAACAATAAACAGATAGACAATAACAACAAACTTCATTCTTCACAAATCCAACCTTTTAAACATCTTGGTTGACTTCCTCAAATCCCTCCCTTCTGAGTTTCCTTGTAATTAACAGTAAAAGCTTTCCAATATCATTATTAAATAAACAGTTTCCAATTATAGTCCATCTTAGTCACTTTGCTTAACATTCTAAATCCCATTTATTTAATTATAACTTAGTTTAATCCTAGGCCTATGGGCCTATTTGTTTCTTTCAAGTAATTTCTAATTTTTTATATTACAATATTTATTCAAATAGTCCTTAAATTTCCTCCAGTCCTCTTGAAACTCCTCTTCTTTCTGGTCGCGGATTCTTCCAGTCAGGTCAGCTAGCTCCGAAAAAGTTAATTTATTAACATTTTAAATGTTAAATTATTAACATTTTCCTTAATAGGGCATCCCTACAAGCTACTGTTATGGACACCTTAAATGCAACCTCTGGCAGTGAGGTTCATGTATTCCCAAACTTAGGGCTCCAGCTGCTTTTGGACCACAATTTCCATCATCCCTAGCTAGGATTTGTAATCCAAAAACAGCTGGCGACTACTGCGGCCCGTGTTTTGTCAGTCCCAAAATGGAAAACGAGCGAGGTCCCAGCTAAAGAAGAATGACAACTTAAACTGGTGGGATATGCGCAGCTTGAGGACCTAACACAGAATAAGAGGACATACGTTTAAAGAAGATTGGGAAATGTTTATTGAATATTTTGGGGGGAATTGTGCACACTTGAAAACGTTGGCAGCGTTAAGATAAATTCAGCCATGTATACAAGTTTTGATGGATGTAATAATGGGAAATTGAATGCTTTTGTTTATGTAAAATATGCAGGGGTTTATATGCAAAATGTACCATGGAAAGTGAAGAAGGGAAGTCAGTGATGTTTTAAGGTTGTTTAAATGAATATTCCAAATTGTAAAACAGAAAATTTAATAAAAATATATAAACCGCTGGCGACCCAAGTTTAGGAAACCCTGCTCTAAACTAAAAAGTCCCAAACACTGTTTCCCCATCTCTTCAGTCATTTGTGTTGCCCTTTTTTGAACCTTCCCCAATTCTTCAATATCCTTTTTGAGGCGAGGGAACCGGAACCGTGCCGAGTACTCCAAATGCAGTCACACCATAGCTTTGAATAACAGCATTATGAAATCAGCAGTTTTATTTTTTATTCCTTTCCTAACGATCCCCAACACGAAATGTACCTTTTGCCGCAACTGCTGCACACCGCCTCTGATCAAAGCATTCAGAGATGGCTGCACATTATTCCTGTTTGGGCATCAGAAACATGCAAGCAGCAACTGTCTAGTGCATCCAGTTCTCAGTCCATGCATGCACAAAAGCCTGTTTCCATGGGCACATGCGTTGCTCTCACTGATTCAGGGTGAATGGCATGTGCAATAGAAAACATCTCCTATTCCTCAGTTTGTTCAAGGCAAATTCTGGATGTGCCCAGAAAAAGTTAGCAACACTTACACTGCAATCCTGCACATATCTACTCACAAGTACTAATTAATTCAGTGGGGCTTACTCCCAGTATATAGGTCCTATTGAAATCAGTGGGATTTAAGTCATCATGACTTTTTGAATTCCTTTCAATGATATCAACCAAGTTGCGTTGGATCTAAGGTAGCATAAACTTTTCTTTTAACATTAAGTGCCAACTTTTAAAAAATTATTAAATTGACATTCAAGAAAAACTGTCCTTTTAAGGAGCTCCAGAAAGGCACATTCGTTAACATTATCCATTATCTTCTAAGCTATTAAACCTAGGGTGCAATGCAAGTTTACTCAGCAGTTAAGTCCCAGTGGGGTTTGCTCCCAGGTCAGTGTGCTAATACAATTGCCTTAACAACTTTCTGTGCATAACATCCTCAGAGACTTAAGATTAAAATGTGAGGCATCAAGCACAAACCGCCCCCTCCAATTAAGAAATTTATTATTCCTACTTTTATTTTATTTTTTTAAAAAATAACCTAAAACAAAATAACTGGAGTACAGTAATGTAACATTTACTGTATTTTTCGCTCTATAAGACGCACCAGACCACAAGATGCACCTAGTTTTTGGAGGAGGAAAACAAGAAAAAAAATATTCTGAATCTCAGAAGCCAGAACAGCAAGAGGGATTGCTGTGCAGTGAAAGCAGCAATCCCTCTTGCTATTCTGGCTTCTGGGATAGCTGCGCAGCCTGCATTCGCTCCATAAGACGCACACACATTTCCCCTTACTTTTTAGAAGGGAAAAAGTCTTATAGAGCAAAAAATACGGTATTTAAAATTATCTTCAGTGAATTGGCAGCCCTCTCTCTCCCTGTTTCCTTCCTTCGCTGCTTTTTTATAATGAGGAAAACAGAAGAAGGAAAGAAATGTAATCGGAGGAGCAGCTCTGTTTAAAAACCTTCGCTCTGGCTAAACCTCTACTGCATTACATGCCGAAGTAATATTAAGTTCTGGGAAATTTCCTTCCAGAGATGTAATAAACTAAGCAGCACAGGAAGCATTTAAGAACTCCCATAACTTTTACGTACTTTAATGTGCCCTGTTTTTGCATAGGAAGGATATCAGCTGGCTGCCCCATTCTGGCAAATACCTCCCACATGCTAGTCCAGGAGGCTGAGGTTTTCAGTTACAACGAAATCAAAGAGAGGGTACAGAATGGCAACCTTATGCCTCAGTACCTCAAAGGCTGCAAAGGTCAAACAACTGCTGATCCCTACCCCCAGGGCTATTTGACACAGAATATTTAAACCGTAGGGCAGAGACAGACGGCCCTCCTCTTCTGTGCTTCAAAGATTCACCCGTCCCTTTTGATTCAAAACCTTTAGAAGCATTTTTCAAATCGCAGTCTCCTATAGCTAGCAGCTGCCATTACGTTGCTAAAGTTGCCCATGTTGTGGCGCCTTGTAAATGATGCTGTTTAATAAACCATAGGCGCTTTGATGAGACAAAGGCTCCAAGGGCCTTACAGGGCCACCCTGACCATGTCTACTGAGAAGTAAGTCCCACTGAATCCAAGGAAACTTATTCCCAAGTAAATGGGGTTGAGGATTGCAGCCTTTGTGAACAGACCCATTGAAATCAATGGGATTCGTCGGTTTCGATGGGTCTTCTCGAGGCGTTTTTAGACTTTGTAGAAGGGAAAGGGGAAGAGGACAAATCTTATTCCTAGAATTGCCCACTCAGTACTAAACAGAGGCTAGGTAAAGGTAAAGGGACCCCTGACCATTAGGTCCAGTCGTGGCCGACTCTGTGGTTGCGGCGCTCATCTCGCTTTACTGGCCGAGGGAGCTGGTGTACAGCTTCCGGGTCATGTGGCCAGCATGACTAAGCCACTTCTGGCGAACCAGAGCAGCGCACGGAAACGCCATTTACCTTCCCGCCAGAGCAGTACCTATTTATCTACTTGCACTGGTGTGCTTTCGAACTGCTAGGCTGGCAGGAGCAGGGACCGAGCAACGGGAGCTCACCCCGTTGCGGGGATTCGAACCGCCGACCTTCTGATCGACAAGTCCTAGGCTCTGTGGTTTAATGCACAGCGCCACTCGCGTCCCTAAACAGAGGCTACAGGAAACCAATTTTCCAGTGGGAAGAGCAATGCTCTAATCACACACGTCATGCTCCTGAGACTCCGATACCAGTTCAAGTATTGGCTATGAAGTATTGATTTAGATTCCTAATGCAGACCCAAGTCGTATCTCTGAGAGCTTACTTTTATGTTCTGCTTGGTTAAGAATGTCTTTGGAGAATTATTCTAGGTAACCCTTTAGGTCAAAATCAAAAGCAGTATCTCCAGCATCACAAAAATATGCTTTTGAGCCCCAGCCTGTTATGCAGACAGGACCAAATTAAGGATTCTTTATCCAAAAGTTTCAATGGGTGTTGGGAGTGTGAGATTCTTTGCCTGTTGCATTAATTTTTGGTCCCTGTTACAATGTAAGAGTATGGTGCAAAGTTATTACTTGGCAGGGTCCCCCCGTAGCTCACTTGCACAGCATCTAAAGGCTTTTCAAACTCCTGGGAACTTGGCTTTACCCAGCATTGGCCACACATAATTATGAAGACAGGGATGGGGAACTGCATGCCAGAATTGGAGCTAACTTTCGCTTCAGACAATAGATGTCAAAGTTTCTATCACTGCACAGGAAACCAGTGCGTGGGACCAGACTGTAAATTCTGCAAATATTCAGCCATTTCATTCCCGATTCTTTTGTTCCCAGATCCAAGTGCACATTCTTTCAGCTCTCTTCCTCTGTGAACTCTTAATTCAAATATTCTTTTTTTTTCCGTTTCAGAAGAAATCCACCAAGCAACTTAGAGAAGAAAAAGGAAAGGCTCCCAGCAGAAGTGTTGGATTAGACACAGCTACTTCCCAGCCTGCACAAAATACACAAGCTACGGATGAGTTTCATCTATCGCCTTCTGCAGAGTGTTGGCCCAAGGACAGAGCAGTCCACTTTGAAAGCTTTGCCGGATTCAGCAGCAGTGATGGCATACTAAGGGAACTAGATGATGGGCAGTTTGACCAAGAAGATGGAGTCACTCAGGTCACTTGCATGTGACCAGGAAATGGATTAGATGGACCTGTACATATTTTTTTAAAAAATGTAAAAATAGAAATTGCTTTTTATATGTGTCGGTATAATTTTCTCCCTTTGTCTTATACAAACGTGCACATTATACTTCCCCTCAACTCTGTAAATATGCTCATAAAAAAGGTAAAGGTAAATAGCACAACTCTTATTTGTTTAGTGTTGGCGGAAGTGCTAACTTTTGAGTGAGGTCTGTTTTACTGGGATTTTGAATTTCTAGAACAGCACTATATGACATCTCAGCAGTCTTTCTGTCAATTGGAAGCAACTGCAGATAAGGTGTTGCCTTCTGCTCTTCTGCAAAACGTAAGACTTTTTACAAAGTGCTTGAAATGTAATACAGCAGCATTTCTCTTAATATACTGTTTTAAATATCATAAGGTTTAACACCAAATTAAAACTGTACATAGAGAACCGTGTGCCATTTTTAGGTTTCAGGTTTAAACTCTCCTCGTGTTAAAAGAGTGCAAACTCAAACACTATAATAAAAAATTGGTACTAAAAACAAATCACTAATAGTGTGCAGTCACAAGTGTTATTAGGTGGCTATTTGTGAATGACTGGAAATCATT